CATTATGTGGCTGAGGAAGACAGACCACCAGATATACCCTGGCATTAGTGGCTGAGGAACAGCCCCACCAGATATACCCTGGCATTAGTAGCTGAGCCATGAGGGGCAAAGGAGGAGGAGACAGACCACCAGATATACCCTGGCATTATGTGGCTGAGGAGACAGACCACCAGATATACCCTGGCATTATGTAGCTGAGCCATGAGGAGAAAATAAAATGTTTTTTTGTCCATTGTGTATTTCAGTTTGCGGAATATTTAGATAAAAGCCTGGAATAAAAGAAAAAGGGCTATCTATAATTAAATGATAGAAATGTGGTAAATGGTACGTGTGTGTATATAGATTGTGTAGAGGCTTGTGTCACGCCCTGGCTCTGGGGACTCTAGTATGTTGAGCCAGGGTGTGAGTGTTCATTTGTTTATGTTCTAGTTTGTATTTCTATGTTGGCCTGAGTGACTCCCAATCAGAGGCAACGAGTGTCAGCTGGTTGTCTCTGACTGGGAGCCATATTTAAACGGTCTATCTTTCCCTTTGTTTTTGTGGTTTCTTGTTCTTATTTGGTTTGTTTATGTAACCAGAGACATCACGTTTTCGTCTGTTGTTTTGATCGTGTGATCATACTTTAATAAATATAAATATGTTCACCTTCAACGCTGCGCATTGGTCCTCCTCCTTAGACGATCGTGACAGCTTGTCTCCCCACATGAATCTCCTCTTTGTGACAGACTGGGTTAAAATGCCTTCTGTTTCTATAATTAATGTTTTTATTTATTTATTTTATATTTTTATTTATGTTATATTTACTATTTATTATGTATTGATTTTATTATTTTTATTTGTTCACTCTTTATGCGATGCGCACTGCAGAGAACACCGGAAGAAGAATTATCACTGAATTACCACAGTGAATTATTGTAACGTTTGTTTATGTGTTGATTAATCCTATAAGGGATGGGGGTTGGCAACTGGCGATTTGACATGAAAATAAAAATTACATTTAATTCATTCATTCAACAGTGAAAGAGAGAGACAGTGAGAGAGCGAGAGAGTGAGAGTGAGAGAGAAAGACAGTGAGAGAGACAGTGAGAGAGACAGTGAAAGAGACAGTGAAAGAGACAGTGAGAGAGTGAGACAGTGAGAGAGAGAGAGAGAGAGAGAGAAAGACCTTGAGAGAGTGAGTGAGAGAGAGAGAGAGAGACAGTGAGAGAGAGAGACAGTGAGAGAGAGAGAGAGTGAGAGAGAGAGAGAGACAGTGAGTGAGTGAGTGAGTGAGTGAGTGAGTGAGTGAGTGAGTGAGTGAGTGAGTGAGTGAGTGAGTGAGTGAGTGAGTGAGTGAGTGAGTGAGAGAGAGAGAGAGAGAGAGAGAGAGAGAGAGAGAGAAAAGACAGTGTGATCAAAACACACCATATATGTAGCCTGCTAATGTACCTTTCTGGAGCTTGTAAACTGTCGAGAATGGACCCATAACTGATCCAAATGGTTGCATAATCAAGTAAAATAATGTCCTTGTCTAAAAATGTAGACCTAATCAATATTGGAGACTTGCGTGCCCGGGGACTGCAGAGCGCAACCTGGAGGAATGCACAGATCTGCCATTTCATAACCTGTAAACTTTTTTTATTGCATTTTGCCAGGTCATATTTATAGCCCTACTATTTAGCTACACGTGGTTCTAAATAGTACCACATATGGGTTCTTTGGCTTGTAACCATAGGGGAACCCTTTTGGGGACTATATAGAACCCTTTTTAGAAGGTTCAATAAAGAACCATGCTCATAAGGTTCTAAATGGAACCTTTATGGTGCTATATAGAACCCTTTCCTAACGTTCTATAAAAGAACCACTAAAAGGTTCTATATAGCACCAAACAAGGGTTCCGCTGTGGTTACAACACTTTTTTTTATGGTTCTTTATAGAACCATTCTCAATCTGAAAGGTGCTTTGTAGATCATTTTGAAGAACCGGACAGGGTTTTTTTATTCAGGTCAGCCATATTATATTGTTAAAATTCCCAGAGGTGTTATTATTGTGTTGATAATTGACTAGCTGAATCAGGTGAGCTAGTTCTGGAACAGCTGGGGGTCCCTGAGGAGAGACCTGAGAACCACTGACTGATTTAGTCAACCATTCTCACCATTCTCACCATTCTCACCATTCTCAATTGACACAAGGCCTTATGTGATTTATGAGAGTCTTTCCCAAGACACCATAGTCATCTATAACATGTAATGGCATTACACAACACATTAAATAAACTGGAATGACACTCTCTCACCTTTAACAAAAAAAGAGCTGTGAGCAAACCACTCCCCCAGATATTCTAATGAGCCGCCTCCCTTACATTTTTATTATCACTAAAAAGAGCAAAGAACCGTTTTGTGAAAAGTAAAGAATCCTTGAAGAGCTCAAAGGGTCCGTTGAGTCATTAGGAACCCTCATTTTTTGAGGAACATCACACTTGAGGAACCCTCATTTTGTTGTATGCAATGAATGGCCTAACATCTTGCTAATATTTAACTTCTTACTTCGGCCACGCAACTGGCCGTTCTCTCTTCCAGCTGTTCTTATGTGCAATAGGCTGTGCGGACTCAAGCCTCTACTTGATTTCTTTTCACCTGAAATCCCAGGTAAAGCTGTAGGCTACTAAATCCACAGGACATGTATTTGTATTATGTTTTATACTAGGCCTAATAGCCTTTTCTTGGAGAGATGTATTATGTTTTATACTAGGCCTAATAGCCTTTTCTTGGAGAGATGTATTATGTTTTATACTAGGCCTAATAGCCTTTTCTTGGAGAGATGTATTATGTTTTATACTAGGCCTAATAGCCTTTTCTTGGAGAGAAACTGGCTTGCTCTTGTTATTTGCTGAATTTAAAATCGACCTAGGCCAAAATTAACTGTCGGGGAAGGAAGGTTGGCTTCTTATCGTTCATAGCAATGGTTATCAACTCCACCGCAGAGATGGAACGTAAATCACAGAAAAATAGATATTGTGGTGGCAGCTGCAGATAAATACTTGGGTGTACGAAAGTTGGAAGGGTGTTTTTTATTTTATTTTAATACTTTTTGAATCACAAAGTATAATGGATTTATACTATAGTCCAGTTGGAGACGGCAATGCAACATATTGGATGCCAACCGCCGTTAAACCCCACCGAAGAAGAACTCTGGCCACAGTAATGATATTGTTACACTGATGCATTGCTAATGGTTACACAGGTCAAACAGAGAGACGAGCACAGTGAAAAAGAAAATACAAACAAATTGACATATATTCGAAAAATGGAAATAACTTGCAAACCAAGCAATCAATGACATGAAGCAAAAGACACGCAGGCTAAACAGCGTATGTTGTTGAATTGCGTCATTTAAATACGAGTTTCTATATTATGTTTTCGTTACATGTATGTTGAAGTATTATTTGCAGTTGTCACTATGACAATGAACACACCCTGAAGCACTGAATCGTCTGTGTAACTTACCACCTTATTAATAGGCCGACAGCGTGCAGTAGGATGAGTTGATCAGTGGATCGACCAGTGTAGAACGATCAACTTTCCTCTAGTATGGATGATCTCCAACGTTTTATAGATATGTATAATGTATTGTTATAGTTACCGTCCTTTGTGTGAATGGCACCCAGAAGTGTTTGAATATTTACCCGCTGTCAGTGTCCAGTCATCACGCTTGACTTTCGTTTTGTGTTTCTAAACAGAGGAAAAGGAAGAGAGGCCCAACTCGGAGGACAATCTGTCTCCCTCCAGCAGGTGGCGTCTTGTCGTTGTTTCGCCCACCAACCAATGAGTTTTTGAATGGAGGTCAATGTGAGTGTCGAATCTGGTCAACAACAAAAAGTTATGACTTATTTGCAACATGAGATTTATTTGCTCGAATATAAGTTTCGTAATGCTTAAGTTGTTATGAGTGTACTGATTTAAGTAGGACACGTGACATCCCGGCAACTTAACACTTCATATGGGAGTGGCTATGCATATTCATGAAATGAGGCTAGTTGCGTAGCGTCTCTCTCCATTGAATACAGGTGGTTGACGTCAACAACCCTCATCGAATATTCAAAACAGGATTACAATAATGAGACGTATCCACCAATCCAAAGAAAGGATAGGCTGGACAGCCCCGCCGTTCCGCGTTGTGGACAGAGGCGTATCTTGTCAGTGTATCCAGAATTTTTGGTTTCGATTTCCCGAACCATACGTCATCAGCCAATATAGCTACTGGGCTGACGTCCATGTGTCGGCTGCAAATAATTATATTCCCATGATAAAACCAAAACAAAATTCAGTTAGTGATATGTATGTGAGAGGTTTTAGAGGTTAAACGAATAAGAAAAAAGTGTTTACATGCCAGTAAAGTTTTAAACGGCTCCAAACATTATATCTGCAATGCAATAATTCTTGCGTCCTATTGAATACCACTTATTAGTTAACGAGGCAAACATCTCGACCTGGTGGTCTGTGGATGCAACTTAGTATTTAATGAGGCAAACATCTTGACTCGTTGGTCTGTGGATGCCATGGATAAATAAACTATGCAGATGTCATGTTTGCCTGTCAAATTGACAAATAACACAATCCAGATTATGATACAAGTAACATTTAAATTCATTGTTTCTGAATCATATAAAATGTGTTTTAATTTATTAATAAATAAAAAAACATGTTCAGGAAGAAAATACATAAAATGCCCTGTCTGCATTATAAATAATACAAATTCACACTTTATAGGTCAAAACTCGCCTATATATCATACAGGGGCAGATGTTATATGTATCAAGCAGCTCAGAATAGGAGTGTTGATTTAGAATCAGTTCCCCCCCTGTCCGTGTAACCTTATTCATTGTGATCTAAAGAGAAAAACTGATCCCAGATCAGTCCTCCTACTGAGACACTTCATACCTACGTCCTCTGATCCCATTTATAATCCCCAATCCAAGTTGCTGATGCCTCCAGTCTCTTCTGTAGATTATTCTGCAGTGTTCAGTCGTCGTGGTCTGCAGCTGTGTCTCCAGGACAATCGGAACACAGATCCTCCTCATCTGTAGGTCACAAACTGCGTGAGGTGGTGTTCGATCTCTTGTCAAGAAGGACATGGCCAGGTATGTTTTATTTAAGTGAGTAGGATTCATTCTTACCATTGTAAGCAGTCCCACACCATATGCAGTAAAAATGGACCCCTCTTAAATATGATGTCAGAATTTGTAGCTTGTCCAGTGACTAGAAAAGATCATTAAAACAAGGTTGTCACAGGAGGAACTTCAAAATATGAATCTAGATTTAATTCAATCCTACTGTTTCATGCCATTATAACGTCTATTCTTAATTCAAACCTACTGTTTCATGCCATTATAACGTCTATTCTTAATTCAATCCTACTGTTTCATGCCATTATAACGTCTATTCTTAATTCAAACCTACCGTTTCATGCCATTATAACGTCTATTCTTAATTCAGTCCTACTGTTTCATGCCATTATAACGTCTATTCTTAATTCAATCCTACTGTTTCATGCCATTATAACGTCTATTCTTAATTCAAACCTACCGTTTCATGCCATTATAACGTCTATTCTTAATTCAATCCTACTGTTTCATGCCATTATAACGTCTATTCTTAATTCAAACCTACCATTTCATGCCATTATAACGTCTATTCTTAATTCAATCCTACTGTTTCATGCCATTATAACGTCTATTCTTAATTCAATCCTACTGTTTCATGCCATTATAACGTCTATTCTTAATTCAGTCCTACTGTTTCATGCCATTATAATGTCTATTCTTAATTCAAACCTACTGTTTCATGCCATTATAACGTCTATTCTTAATTCAATCCTACTGTTTCATGCCATTATAATGTCTATTCTTAATTCAATCCTACTGTTTCATGCCATTATAACGTCTATTCTTAATTCAATCCTACTGTTTCATGCCATTATAACGTCTATTCTTAATTCAACCCTACTGTTTCATGCCATTATAATGTCTATTCTTAATTCAGTCCTACTGTTTCATGCCATTATAATGTCTATTCTTAATTCAGTCCTACTGTTTCATGCCATTATAACCTCTATTATTTAGTCTCCTTCCTGAGCTTCTATCATATTAAAATGAAATGTACTAACAGTTAACTCTTCCTCCTCCACTTTGTCTTCCTCCTCCACTTTGTCTTCCTCCTCCTCTCCTCTTCCCTCTCCCCTCCTCCTCCTCCTCCTCAACCACCAGTTTAGGCCAGTACCAGTCTTCTCTGGGCACCGTGACACCCTGGAGTTCAAAGGAGAGTATTCAGTATGGTCAGCGTTAACGATAAAAGGCCTTTTCTTCTTGTCAATAGATTTGTGAGTAGCTAGGTTTCAATCCAATTGGCGACAGATTTTCAGGAAAATAATTGTAAAATCTGCTTAAAAACACATTTTCCACCAGAGCTGTTTCCATCAAATGGACTTTTGGCTGATAAAAGGCTGTGTGAGGACCTAGTGCACGTAAATATTTATATAGCGGTTAAATTCCCACGTAACAAAAAGATCCCACCTTGTCTGGCGTATTTTGTCTTGTCGACATTTGGAAAGTTTACCGACACATTTTCTGTTTCCAACCTGTTTGAACTGACATGTCCTTTACTCCCATTAGACATGTTGGATGGAAACCTGGCTGGTGTCAACATGGTAGAGTAGAGTTGACTTTGTGGGATTAGTGGTAGACTGTTCTAATATCCACACTACTAATGTAACGGGCATGTAAGGGGTATGCTACTATGGACATTGGTATGTGGTCTCTCACCTTCTCACAGGCTTTCAGACTCTGTGTGTGTGTGTGTGTGTGTGTGTATCTAACCTTCTGACTGTCCAGCTGCTCACAGGCTTTCTGACTCCTCCTGAGGTCCCCCTCAATCTTTTGCTCCTCCCGCTCTGTCCTCATCCTCACTCTGATGTACAGCATTAGAACACATGTACAGCATTAGAACACATGTACAGCATTAGAACACATGTACAGCATTAGAACACATGTACAGCATTAGAACACAGAACAGCATTAGAACACAGAACAGCATTAAGACATGTACACAGTGAAAAGAAGGTAGTGTGGCCATTATCTATCAACACATGTACACACAGATATATACAGATATATACAAATCATACAGAAATACAGAAATATATGCAATTTGATTTGGCAATAAACAACCTTAGATAGGCATCTTTACTAAGATAAATAATATAGGCTACCTCTATTTGGGAGATTGACCATGTCATCCTGTAACACTTTGTCTACGTCCCAAATAGTACACTATTCCCTATATAGTGCAGTATTTTTTTTTTAACCAGAGCCAATAGGGAATAGGGTGCCATTTGGGACTTGGCCTTTACCTGAAGTCCTCCAGGGACTGTTTCTCATTGTGTTGTTTGGCCCGGGCTTTCTGACGGTAATGTTCCAGTTCCTCCTCTGCTTTCCTCTTCTTCACTCCCTCCATCCCGATGCCCCCTCTGTCTGAGTGATACAATAACCACAGGATGATGCACTATGTTTACAACCATTGCAACAACAAAAGGTTATGTTAGAGGTAATTGGTCAATTGCATTAGGTAGGCTACATCTCTTAAAAAAGATACATTGATGCCCACCCTGTCAATGTGTAGGTTAGGATTTTGTCTTGGATATGTTAATACATTCTCACCCGTTTTGATACTTAGTGGAATAGGTTCGACTCTTCCCGCCCCTGCGAAAAGGAACAAAGACAGAAATCAATACTTTAAAAAAAAATCTACCATGTGATGTCAGGCCTGATCATCATATTGTAACAACCTTCTCCCAACACAGCGACCTCGTCAAGGGTTCAGATGTCTTAGCGGAACTGCTAAGGTGTTGGGTTGACAGTATCAAAGGTCAGGGTTCAGATGTCTTAGCGGAACTGCTAAGGTGTTGGGTTGACACTTGACAGTATCAAAGGTCAGGGTTCAGATGTCTTAGCGGAACTGCTAAGGTGTTGGGTTGACAGTATCAAAGGTCAGGGTTCAGATGTCTTAGCGGAACTGCTAAGGTGTTGGGTTGACAGTATCAAAGGTCAGGGTTCAAGCCCCAGTCTGTAATATCCCTTGACTTCGCTACAACACTAATAACTCCATTACTAAAGAGGCCTGACTGACTTAGTTCATGTGATGATCTGGCCTAACTCCTAGCTGAATACATTAAACTCAGGCACTTATTTCCGAGTTGAATTGATTCAGATAAGAAGTAATACGATACATTCTGAGTTGAACTGGAGAGGACTGACCCTGCTTCCCCAGGCCTTGTCCAGCTTTGTAGCCCATCTTCTGCAGCAGAGCAAAGCCCTTGTTCTGGTTGCTGATGGTGCTGTGCTGTGCTGCCTCTCTACTCTCCTGCTCCAGCTCTTTAATAGTTTTCTGCCGGTTCTTAACGTTCTTCTCCTTGTGAAGCACCTCTTTCCTCAGGGCCTCCTTCACACGCTTCACCATGGGGATACCGGGCTTCACATCTGGTCTGCCAGGGAGATGGACACAGAGAGAACATTGCACATAAATTGAGAACTTAGCTATAAATAGACACTCAATTGTTTTTTTTGAATACTCTTCTGCGGAATGTGTAACAAAATCTGAGGTGAGACAGTCAAGTCAGACGCTACGTGCAGGCTTTTGATCCAGCCAATTACTACTACTACTAAAACACCAAATTAAATTAATCAGCATGCCTTTGCATGCTCGCTAGCTAAATCTGGGGCGCGTTCAGCAGGACACAACGTTTTGGACATTCAGATAGGAATATGTAATATAGAACAAACATGCCTCTCCAACATTTAGACCAAGCAGGAGACCAAGGTTTTATGTCGTCTTTATTCATGGCATTTCTATCTGCAACGTTTGGCAACTGAACGGGGCACCTATTCAGCTGTGTAGCTAGCTAATTAGCTACGTTAACTAACGTTACAGTAACTAGCTAGCTAATGATACCCAACATCACAACTTCACACACCGATGTAGCCGTTAGCTACAATTCATTTGCTCACCGTACGGTAACTGAAAAAAGAAACTCACATTTGACTGAGAAAGGCATCAGACATATAATCATCTTCGTCTTCAGCCATTATTGACTTGTAAAACCGAACAAGTGAACTATTATTTTTCAGCTAGCTTTCGCCTTTTTCTCGGTTGTCACTAGTTAGTTACCACATCCACAATGTCATAATCGGCTAAACCCCGCCTATTTCTACAATTTATCTTCTTCAAATCTGATTTTTAACCTAATCTTGAACACACTGCTGACCTTATGCCTAACCCTAACCTTAAATGAAGACCAAAAAGCTATTTTTTGTTTTTATGAATTTTTACGATACAGCTAGACACTTTTGACTTTGTGGCTGTGGTAACTAGTGACAACCATTTTCCGTTCGCGAAAAGGTTCCGGCTGGAACCTCTGCACATTTGATTGGTTCCGGTTACATGTTGCGCGTATAAACAATATTTTGTGAAGAAAAAATATAACAAATAAATGTACATAAGGCCAAGAACTAATACAGTATTATACCTTTAATCAAATCATAAGATTCAATATTGCCCCAAAATGTTGTCCTGACATTTTGATGAGTTTCCCGCCGGAACAATTACATTGCCAATTTGTTTTATTTTATGTATTTTTTTAACAACAATAAATCAATACAAGAATGTACACAAGGTACACAAGTATACATAAAGAATATACAAAGGACAAGTTGGCTATGGGAGGGGCCAGGGGCGGGGCTAACATGTTACACAAAGTCTAAAAGGGACACACACATCTAGAATTCTAACACCTTTTTGTTGGTACAGTATTTGATTGTCTTAAAATATTCTTCAATTTATTTTTGTAAGGTAAGAAAAAAGGGGTGTTACGTTTGTAAATTTACATTTGTGAATATGAAATTTGGCCAAAATATTTAATTACATAAAATTGTTTCATATTATTTATATCGTAGGTAAAGAATCCAAGCAGTACATCTCTCCATAATAGGGTAAAATCTTTATAAATATGTTCAAATATAAATCTACTGTGTGCCACCGGTGTGCCACCGACCAATGACGTGTATAACCCCGGTTTTTCTGACGTTATTGCTAAATTCACAGCTAGTCGGACCTGAAAAGTCGGAAATATCCGAGTGTTTTGAAGCCTCTGGTCGGCCATATTGGCACACCCTAGCTAGCAGTCCTCCGTAGGAATGAATGCAATTCTACAGTATTTGAATGAAATGTTTCAAGGACAAAATTACATGTATTTAAGTATTTTTTGTTGTTTTATTGTGGAAAGTAACATTAGTACTCTCTAAAAAATATATTTAAAGGAAAATGTTTTATATATATATTTTCATTTTTCCTGTTTAGCTCACATAATATAATTTAAAAGTATGGATTAAGGTGTTTGTAATATAATAAACGTGTCAAAAACGAATGTACACGTTAATAAATGCATTTCTATAGCTTCCAAAATATTTTTGACAATTGAGGAGGAGGACCAAGATGGTTGCGCGGTGACTTCAATACGTCAAATGATTCGTCAGTCGTCTTGGCGACAAACAAGTAGGACGAGGCTATGTTTTTTGTTTATTTGGTTGATTTAAAGCGTATTCAATGTTTGCATCTGTGATTAACTGTATAGAGTAGATTGTCGTGTTAGTGTAAGGCCTTTGATCGTGCATTTTAGGCATTAATTTGCGTCAAGTAAGCTGTCGTGTGGCAAGTGTCCTGAATGCTAATGCTTGCTAGCTAACGTTAGCTGTGGTCCTAACTATCTTCTATCATTGCAACGTCAGTCAACATTTTATGAACATAGTTAGCTAGCTAGGTATCAGTTAAATTAGTTGGTTACACGACGGACTGGTTCCATGAGCATTGTAACGTTACCCAGTTCATATTTATTTGTGCTAGTGTTTGCTAACTACTAGCCTGGACAGTTGGCAGGTGCGAACACCTAGCTAACGTGACATCCTCTTTGCTCTGACGTTTATCTTTGGTCTCTATCTGACCTGATATAATACCATTGTGAATATACTGAGATCGTGACCCTCTCTTCCCCGATACATTTACAGAGTTGAGGAGGCTGTATCATTGGGCTCTGTGAGCTGAAGCAGAGGACCCTCTACCCGAGAGCTGTCGGCTATTAGCTAGCGAGATTACAGTAGTGTTTCGCCATGGAGTTGGCTCACAGTCTGCTTCTGAACGAGGAAGCCCTAGCTCAGATCACCGAGGCTAAGAGACCCGTCTTCATATTCGAATGGCTCCGCTTCCTGGACAAGGTTCTGGTGGCAGCAAACAAGGTGAGTTAATAATAATAATAATAGTTGACAGAGACTCGTTTACTCAGGCTAGCCCATACACCTGTGCTGTCGGGGTTATTCGATTTCCTCTATCTGCAACCTACGTTTTGTTGATTATGTGTGTTTGCCTGCTTGTGTTTGAGTGTCTCACTCTCTCTCTCTGTGTCTGTCTCTCTCTCTCTCTCTCTCTCTCTCTGTGTCTCTCTCTCTGTGTCTCTCTCTCTCTCTCTCTCTCTCTGTGTCTGTCTCTCTCTTTCTCTGTGTCTGTCTCTCTCTCTCTCTCTGTGTATGTCTCTCTCTCTCTCTCTGTGTCTGTCTCTCTCTCTCTCTCTGTGTCTGTCTCTCTCTCTCTCTCTGTGTCTCTCTCCCTCTCTCTCTGTGTGTCTCTCTCTCTCTCTCTCTCTGTCTCTCTCTGTCTCTCTCTGTCTCTCTGTGTGTCTCTCTGTCTCTCTGTGTGTCTCTCTCTCTCTCTGTGTGTCTCTCTCTCTCTGTGTGTCTCTCTCTCTCTGTGTCTCTCTCTGTCTCTCTCTATGTCTCTCTCTCTCTCTCTCTCTCTCTCGCTCTCTCTCTTTCTCTCTTTCTCTCTCTCTCTCTTTGTATATGTCTCTCTCTGTGTGTGTCTCTCTCTCTCTCTCTGTCTGTGTGTGTGTCTCTCTCTCTGTATCTCTCTCTCTCTCTCTCTGTGTATCTGTGTGTGTGTGTGTGTGTGTATGTCTCTCTGTGTGTGTGTGTGTGTCTCTCTGTGTGTGTGTGTGTGTCTCTCTGTGTGTGTATGTCTCTCTCTCTCTGTGTGTATGTCTCTCTGTGTGTGTGTGTGTGTCTGTCTCTCTCTCTGTATGTCTCTCTCTGTGTGTCTCTCTGTGCCAGGTGGATGTGAAGGAGAAGCAGAAGAAGTTGGTAGAGCAGCTGACAGGGTTGATCAGCAGCGCCCCCGGCCCCCCCACCAGGAAACTGCTAGCTAAGAACCTGGCTACCCTCTACAGCATAGGAGACACCTTCACCGTCTTCCAGACACTGGACAAGTGCAACGACATCATCAAAAGCAAGGATGACACGCCTACCTACCTCCCCACCAAACTGTGAGCTTTTTAGATTGATATATCTTTATGCATTAGATATAGTTCTGAGCATTATAGTTATCTGCATTAGATATGCACTAATATATATATATATATATATATATATATACAGTATATATATATATATATATACATACATACATACATACATACATACATACATACATACATACATACATACATACATACATACATACATACATTCAGAAAGTATTCAGACCCCTTGCCTTATTCTAAATATATATATTTTTAAAACACACAGTACCCCATAATGACAAATTAAAAACAGGGTCATCTCCCTGTCCAAGGCTCTTCTCCCTCGATTGCTCAGTTTGGCCGGGCGGCCAGCTCTAGGAAGAGTCTTGGTGGTTCCAAACTTCTTCCATTTAAGAATGATGGAGGCCACTGTGTTCTTGGGGACCTTCAATGCTGCAGAAATGTTTTGGTACCCTTCCCCAGATCTGTGCCTCGACACAATCCTGTCTCGGAGCTCTACGGACAATTCCTTCGACCTCATGGTTTGGTTTTTGCTCTGACATACACTGTCAACTGTGGGACCTTATATAGACAGGTGTGTGCCTTCCTAAATCATGGCCAATCAATTGAATTTACCACAGGTGGACTCCAATCATTGTAGAAACATCTCAAGGATGATCAATGGAAACAGGATGCCCCTGAGCTCAATTTCGAGTCTCATAGCAAAGGGTCTGAATACTTATGTAAATAAGGTATTTATGTTTTCTATGTTTAATAAATTAATACACATTTCTACACACCTGTTTTCGCTTTATCATTATGGTGTATCGTGTGTAGATTGCTGAGGATTTTTTATTTTTTTAATCAATTTTAGAATAAGTTTGTAATGTAACAAAATTTGGAAAACGTCAAGGGGTCTGAATACTTTCAGAATGCACTGTATGTACACACAGAAATATGTGGACACCACTTCAAATTAACGGATTTGGCTATTTGAGCCACACCCGTTGCTGACAGGTGTATAAAATTGAGCACACAACCATGCAATCTCCATAGACAAACATTGATAGTAGAATGGCCTTACTGAAGAGCTCAGTGACTTTGAACGTGTCATAGGATGCCACCTTTCCAACAAGTCAGTTCGTCAAATTTCTGCCCTGCTAGAGCTGCCCCGGTCAACTGTAAGTGCTGTTATTGTGAAGTGGAAATGTCTAGGAGCAACAACGGCTCAGCCGCGAAGTGGTAGGCCACAAAAGCTCACAGAACAGGACCGCCGAGTACTGAAGCGCATAGCGCATAAAAATTGTCTGTCCTGGTTGCAACACTCACTACCGAGTTCCAAACTGCCTCTGGAAGCAACGTCAGCACATTCACTTTTCGTCGGGAGCTTCATGAAATGGATTTCCATGGCAGAGCAGCCGCACACAAGCCTAAGATCACTATGCGCAATGCCAAGCGTCGGCTGGAATAGTGTAAAGCTCGCCGCCATTGGACTCTGGAGCACGCTTCACCATCTGGCAGTCCTACGGACAAATCTGGGTTTGGCGGATGCCAGGAGAACGCTACCTGCCCCAATGCATAGTGCCAACTGTAAAGTTTGGTGGAGGAGGTGTAATGCTCTCAGGCTGTTTTTCATGGTTCGGGCTAGGCCCCTTAGTTCCTGTGAAAGGAAATTTTAACACTACAGAATAAAATGCCATTCTAGATGATTCTGTGCTTCCAACTTTGTGGCAACAGTTTGGGGAAGGTCCTTTCCTGTTTCAGCATGACAATGCCCCCGTCCACAAAGGGACGTCCATACAGAAATGGTTTGTCGAGATAGGTATGGAAGAACTTGACTGGCCTGCACAGAGCCCTGACTTCAACCCCATCGAACACCTTTGGGATAAATTGGAACGCCGACTGCGAGCCAGGCCTAATCGCCCAACATCAGCGCCCGACCTCACTAATGCTCTTGTGGCTTAATGGAAGCAAGTCCCCACAGCAATGTTCCAACATCTAGTGGAAAGCCTTCCCAGAAGAGTGGAGTCTGGTATAGCAGCAAAGGGGGGACCAACTCCATATTAATGCCCATGATTTTGGAATGAGATGTTTGACGAGCAGGTGTCCACATACTTTTGCTCTTGTAGGTGTAGGTATCAGTAGCTCTGTTGAGATTATTTCACTTTCGTCATTCAATGGACTTGACGAAATCAAACACACACAGGTATTATTTTTACATTCAACTCGCTGAACCCTCTTATCATGTGTTTCTATGTAGCCGGAAGCAAGGTTACGAACGACTAGGCCTACATCCGTAGCTGGGAGGTTTTTTGTCAGAGTTAGTAGTTGATGTTGCTCTGCAGTGGGATTATTCTGTGGTTCTAAAGTGGGATTAAGATGAGAGGTTTGAGAGAGCGGTGGATCCCAGCGGATTATGTGTGTGATCTACAGTTGGTGTTAATGGTGCTGCAGTATTCCATCATGGCCTTTTCCTTTTCAGATGAAACATCTGTCCTGCAGTGTGTGTGTGTGTGTGTGTGTGTGTGTGTGTAATAATGGAATACAGGAGATTTGCCTGATTTGAGTTCACATGAAGATGGACAATGATTTTATAATATTTGCGTGAAAATCTGTAGCAAGTTGGATGGAAACCTAGCTATTGTCTATGACTGTAGACTATGTACATTTAATGTCAAATGTCACGCATGTGAACGGATTAAGAATAGCTTCCAGTCTATAATTGAGTGGTAATTAACTGCTCACTTACACTCATGATGGTTTGTTTTGCAGAGCTGCGGTGGCCTGTGTTGGGGCCTTCTATGAGAAGATGGGGCGGATGCTGGGAAGCTCCTTCCCAGACACCATCACCAACATGCTGAAAGCACTGAAGACTGCAGAGGTATGGGCTTCCTAGGTTTTAAAGAGCAGAGGTATGGTCTTCCTGGGTTTTAAAGAGCAGAGGTATGGGCTTCCTAGGTTTTAAAGAGCAGAGGTATGGGCTTCCTAGGTTTTAAAGAGCAGAGGTATGGGCTTCCTAGGTTTTAAAGAGCAGAGGTATGGGCTTCCTAGGTTTTAAAGAGCAGAGGTATGGTCTTCCTAGGTTTTAAAGAGCAGAGGTATGGGCTTCCTAGGTTTTAAAGAGCAGAGGTATGGGCTTCCTAGGTTTTAAAGAGCAGAGGTATGGGCTTCCTAGGTTTTAAAGAGCAGAGGTATGGGCTTCCTAGGTTTTAAAGAGCAGAGGTATGGGCTTCCTAGGTTTTAAAGAGCAGAGGTATGGGCTTCCTAGGTTTTAAAGAGCAGAGGTATGGGCTTCCTAGGTTTTAAAGAGCAGAGGTATGGGCTTCCTAGGTTTTAAAGAGCAGAGGTATGGGCTTCCTAGGTTTTAAAGAGCAGCTCATAATGCTTCTTATCATGGCATGCTAGGAACGCCACGAGTATCTCTATCGTTACTCAGAACAATGTACAGTTCATTTTCATCTTGGCAACAATAGTGGGATAGGCTTGATAGGCTTAGAATGACTTGGTAGGCTTAGAATGACTTGGTAGGCTTAGAATGACTTGGTAGGCTTAGAATGACTTGGTAGGCTTAGAATGACTTGGTAGGCCTAGAATGACTTGGTAGGCTTAGAATGACTTGGTAGGCTTAGAATGACTTGGTAGGCTTAGAATGACTTGGTAGGCCTAGAATGACTTGGTAGGCTTAGAATGACTTGGTAGGCCTAGAATGACTTGGTAGGCTTAGAATGACTTGGTAGGCCTAGAATGACTTGGTAGGCTTAGAATGACTTGGTAGGCCTAGAATGACATGGACGACGTAGAATGACTTGGAAGACTTGTATGTAATGCCACCCCATTTCTCCTCTCCTCTCCTCTCCTCTCCTCTCCTCTCCTCTCCTCTCCTCTCCTCTCCTCTCCTCTCCTCTCCTCTCCTCCTCCTCTCCTCTCCTCTCCTCTCCTCTCCTCTCCTCTCCTCTCCTGTCCTCTCCTCTCCTGTCCTCTCCTCTCCTCTCCTGTCCTCTCCTCTCCTCTCCTCTCCTCTCCTCTCCTCTCCTCTCCTCTCCTCTCCTCTCCTCTCCTCTCCTCTCCTCTCCTCTCCTCTCCTCTCCTCTCCTCTCCTCTCCTCTCCTCTCCTCTCCTCTCCCCTCCCCTCCCCTCCCCTCCTCTCCAGTCCCAGGGTCGTAGTGAGATTCTACTCAGTCTACAGAAGGTGTTGAATGGTCTTGGTGGAGCAGCAGCCTCTTGCCATAGAGACATCTATAAGAATGCTCGCTCGCTACTCACAGACCGCTCCATGGCTGTGCGCTGTGCTGTGGCTAAGGTTAGTGAATATGTGTCCACAAATTGGGCTCAGGGACATTGATAACCCTCAAATGATATGATAATGATAACCTTGAATCGATGCGATAACAATAACCTTGAGGTGATATGATAATGATAACCTTGATGTGATGCGATAATGATAACCTTGAGGTGATGCGATAATGATAACCTTGAGGTGATGCGATAATGATAACCTTGAGGTGATATGATAATGATAACCTTGAGGTGATATGATAATGATAACCTTGAGGTGATGCAAAAATGATAACCTTGAGGTGATATGATAATGATAACCTTGAGGTGATACGATAATGATAACCTTGAGGTGATGCGATAATGATAACCTTGAGGTGATATGATAATGATAACCTTGAGGTGATATGATAATGATAACCTTGAGGTGATATGATAATGATAACCTTGAGGTGATGCAATAATGATAACCTTGAGGTGATATGATAATGATACCTTGAGGTGATGCGATATGATAACCTTGAGGTGATATGATAATGATAACCTTGAGGTGATGTTAATAATAATGACCGTGAGTTGATGTGATATGAGAACCTTCAATTGATGTGTTCATGTGAACCACACAGCTGGAGAACATAGCTACTCTGTGCTTCAAGGTCCTGGAAGGTTTAAATTTTTAAATGGTTTCCCGTTCTTTTTTTTTATTCTTTTTTTCCTCTCTTTTGTTTGTTTTTCTCTTGTTTTCTTTTTCTTTTTGTTTTTTTTTATCCTCTTCTCCTTCTTCTTTTTTTCTTTGTTTTGTTTCTTCTGTCTCTTCTTTATCTCCTCTTTTCTCTCTCTTCTTTCTCTTCTTTTTCTGTCTCTCCTCTTTTGCTCTTTTTATCTTTTCTTCTCTCCTTCTCTTTTCCCTTCTTGCTCTTTCTCTTTCTCTTTTATCTCTTTTCCCCTTTTCTCTCTCTCTCTCTCTCTCTCTTTCTCTTTTTTCTTTCTTATCCTCTCTCCCCTTCTCTTCTCTCTCTCTCTTTTCTTCTCTCTTTCTCCTCTGTCTCCTTTCTCTGTTTCTCTTTATTCTGTCTTGTTTGTTCTTTTGTCTCAGGTCTGCTAAGCTGCAAAAGGGGTTTGTTTCATGGGGCCCCACAGGGGAGAACTAGACTTGTGTTTAAAGGCCCTGGAAGGATCTAACTATGGTGTGAGGGTAGCTGTATCCAGACTACTGGGGACCGTCATGGCCACGGCCCTGATGCCCAAACAAGCTGCAGGTTAGGAGCATGCTCGAACTGGGTTTCCTTTGTCAGGTTTTACATGTTGAAATGTAAAATGGATTAAAAAAACAACAAAAAAAACATCCTCATCAATCTACACACAATACCCCATAATGACAAAGTGAAAACAGGTTTGTAGAAATGTTTGCTAATTTATTAAAGAAACAGAAATACCTTATTTACATAAATATTCAGACCCTTTGCTATGAGACTCAGAATTGAGCTCAGGTGCATCCTGTTTCCATTGATCATCCTTGAGATGTTTCTACAACTTGATTTGGAGTCCACCTGTGGTAAATTCAATTGATTGGACATGATTTGGAAAGGCACACACCTGTCTATACAAGGTCCCACAGTTGACAGTGCATGTCAGAGCAAAAACCAAGCCATGAGGTCGAAGGAATCGTCCGTAGAGCTCCGAGACAGGATTGTGTCGAGGCACAGATCTGGGGAAGGGTACCAAAACATTTCTGCAGCGTTGAAGGTCCCCAAGAACACAGTGGCCTCCATCATTCTTAAAATGGAAGAAGTTTGGAACCACCAAGGCTTTTCCTAGAGCTGGCTGCCAGGCCAAACTGAGCAATCGGGGAAGAAGTGCCTTGGTCAGGGAGGTGACCAAGAACCCGATGGTCACTCTGACAGAGCTCTGGAGTTCCTCTGTGGAGATGGGAGAACCTTCCAGAAGGACAACCATCTCTGCAGCACTCCACCAATCAGGCCTTTATGGTAGAGTGGCCAGGAATGTTCTCTCTAGAGCTCTGTCAGAGTGACCATCGGGTTCTTGGTCACCTCCCTGACCAAGGCCCTTCTCCCCTGATTGCTCAGTTTGGCCGGGCGGCCAGCTTTAGGAAGAGTCTTGGTGGTTCCAAACTTCTTCCATTTAAGAATGATGGAGGCCACTGTGTTCTTGGGGACCTTCAATGCTACAGAAATGTTTTGGTACCCTTCCCCAGATCTGTGCCTCGACACAATCCTGTCTCGGAGCTCTACGGACAATTCCTTCGACCTCATGGCTTGGTTTTTGCTCTGACATGCACTGCCAACTGTGGGACCTTATATAGACAGGTGTGTGCCTTTCCAAATCATGTCCAATCAATTGAATTGACCACAGGTGGACTCCAATCAAGTTGTAGAAACATCTCAATGATGATCAATGGAAACAGGATGAACCTGAGCTCAATTTCGAGTCTCATAGCAAAGGGTCTGAATACCTATGTTAATAAGGTATTTCTGTTATTTATTTTTAATAAATTAGCAAAAATTTCTACACACCTGTTTTCACTTTGTCATTATCAGGTATCATGTGTAGATTGCCGAGGATGTTTTCTTTTTCAAAAATCCATTTTAGAATAAGTCTGTAACGTAACAAAATGTGGAAAACGTCAAGGGGTCTGAATACTTTCTGAATGCACTGTATAACACTCATTCAACTCTAACTGTTGTAGTTTTTGGTTCATCATCAAATATTTGGCAGCTATCAAATAAATATTATTTTGTTTTCAAATAACTTGCATATTTTCTAAAACCTTCAAATATTATTTGGTTTTCTGAGAGGTATTCAAAATACCTTCAAATATGATTTGGTTTTCTGAGAGATATTCAAAATACTTTCAAATATTATTAATTTTTCTGAGAAATATTCAAAATACTTTCAAATATTATTACTTTTTCTGAGATCTGTATTTGAATATCAAAGAAAATAGTTGCCTTTTAGTTTATAACTCTTTATAAACTATGTTTGACTACCACCATTATTTGAAAAGTTGACATTTTAAAATAAACAAGAAAATCCAGCTGTTTTCTGCCCAGGTCTCGTCTGCGCTGCTTGACAGGTGAAAACAGCATGGTGGAGTGTCACTATACTGGCTTTTCCAAGGTCCATTCTTTCAGATCAGAGCAAATGAAGGAGAGGAGACAGGAAGCAATTCAAGACAAGTGCAGAAAAGCCTCTGTCCGTCTGTCATTGGTTGACGCTTTGCCCCCTGACCTCTCTGTCCCTCTGCTATGTCGCTGTCTCCTCCAGTGATGCGCCAGAACGTGAAGCGTGCCACCCTGGACGAGGTGTTGGAGCTGATGGCTACAGGATTCCTGAGAGGGGGGTCTGGCTTCCTGAAGAGCGGGGGGGAAATGCTGAAGGGAGGGGGCTCTGTCAGCAGAGAGGTGCGGGTGGGAGTCACACAGGTGGGTAAAGGTGCCTCCCGTTTTGGATCGGGTTGTTGAATAATAATGTGCGTGTTTGAGATCGACTACATTGCTGTCAGACTGTGCAGTATCACTGATTTGACAAATCACCTTGCGTTTTATTTTATTTTATTTATTTCACCTTTATTTAACCAGGTAAGCCAGTTGAGAACAAGTTCTCATTTACAACTGTGACCTGGCCAAGATAAAGCAAAGCAGTGTGATAAAAACAACAACACAGAGTTACATATGGGGTAAAACAAAACATAAAGTCAAAAATACAACAGAAAATATATATACAGTGTGTTCAAATGTAGTAAGTTATGGAGGTAAGGCAATAAATAGGTCATAGTGCAAAATAATTACAATTAGTATTAACACTGGAATGATTGAGGTGCAAGAGATGATGTGCAAATAGAGATACTGGGGTGCAAAAGAGCAAAATAAATAACAATATGGGGATGAGGTAGTTGGGTGGGCTAATTTCAGATGGGCTGTGTACAGGTGCAGTGATCGGTAAGGTGCTCTGACAACTGATGCTTGAAGTTAGTGAGGGAGATAAGAGTCTCCAGCTTCAGAGATTTTTGCATCCCTAATAACTAGTCATTATGTGATGAAGATGAGTCATTATGTGATGAAGATGAGTGATTCTGCACCTCCCCTTGCTCAAACTGATCCCCTCAAACACGCTGATTGGTGTGTGGTACCAGTGATAATGGTGTTATAGCATTAATAATAAAACCATGCATAATATGGGAATACTGGTGTTATAACATTCATTTTAATTTTTTTATCATTAAGGTGATAATGGTGTTATAACATTTATAATACGTCATGATGGTGTTATAACCATTCATAATAGGATGATAATGGTGTTATAACCATTCATAATAGGATGGTAATGGTGTTATAACCATTCCTAACATGGTGATAATGGTGTTATAACCATTCAAAATAGGTGATAAAGGTGTTATAACCATTCATAATAAGGTGATAATGGTGTTATAACCATTCATAATAAGGTGATAATGGTGTTATAACCATTCATAATAAGGTGATAATGGTGTTATAACCATTCATAATAAGGTGATAATGGTGTTATAACCATTCATAATAAGGTGATAATGGTGTTATAACCATTCCTAACATGGTGATAATGGTGTTATAACCATTCATAGTAGGTGATAATGGTGTTATAACCATTCAAAATAGGTGATAATGGTGTTATAACCATTCATAATAAGGTGATAATGGTGTTATAACCATTCATAATAAGGTGATAATGGTGTTATAACCATTCATAATATGGTGATAATGGTGTTATACCCATAATATGGGGATAATGGTGTTGGAACCATAATATGGGGATAGTGGTGTTATAACCATAATATGGGGATAATGGTGTTATAACCATTCATAATAAGGTGATAATGGTGTTATAACCATAATATGGGGATAATGGTGTTATAACCATTCATAATAAGGTGATAATGGTGTTATAACCATAATATGGGGATAATGGTGTTATAACCATTCATAATACGGTGATAATGGTGTTATAACCATTAACAATACAGTGATAATGGTGTTATAACCATTCATAATAAGGTGATAATGGTGTTATAACCATTCATAATACGGTGATAATGTAATAATGTAACGCTCCTTCTCTCCTTCAATAGGCGTATGTTGTATTCGTGACCACGCTGGGCCGCCAGTGGCTGGAGCGGAACTTTGCCACGTTCCTGTCTCATGTTCTGGACCTGGTCAGCCACCCACGGGCCACCCAGACACACGTGGAGGCGGTGAGTAGCGTTATGCTGTCCATGCTAGGGAAGTTAGCATTGTGTCAGCAATAGTTATGCTGTCCATGCTAGGGAAGTTAGCATTGTCAGCAATAGTTATGCTAGCCATGCTAGGGAAGTTAGCATTGTGTCAGCAATAGTTATGCTAGGGAAGTTAGCATTGTGTCAGCAATAGTTATGCTGTCCATGCTAGGGAAGTTAGCATTGTGTCAGCAATACTTATGCTAGCCATGCTATGGGATCTTTCAACGAAAATCACGGAAGTGGGGTACAGGCCAATATTTCCCCATTGAAAGCAGGTAGGCTAAGGAATAGGGCGGCAGGTAGCTTAGTGGGTAAGAGCGTTGTGCCAGTAACCGAAAGGTCGCTGGTTCTAATCCCCGAGCCAACTAGGTGAAAAATCTGTCGATGTGCCCTTAAGCAAGGCACTTAACCCTAATTGCTCATGTAAGTCGCTCTGGATAAGAGCGTCTGCTAAATGACTAAAATGTAAAATGTAAATGTAAAATGAATAATTCAAGCAATAACAACACACAGTTTACTTTTTGGGGTATTATAACTGTAATATAGCTCCCGTCCAAATGTCGTGAATGATATATATTAATGTCATAGGCTAGGTTTTTATCCAATTTTGCGACAGGTTATAATGTGAATATTCTAAAATCTGCATAAAACAATATGCATTTTCCTCCCGGAGATGTGTTTCCATCAAACATACTTTTTGCAGATAAAAGTCTGTGTGATGACGTAGTGCACATTAAAAATTCATTTTACTGTTAATTTCTCATGTACCTAATGAGAAACACAAGTTAAATGGGTTTCCATCACATTTTCAACTCCACTGATGGTTTTGTCAGAATAGTTTTTGCGTTATATAGCGACTATGCCTCCTCTGGTCTTGGCACGTGCGCTCTAGCCAACAGCTGGCAGATACAGGGCGGGTAGACTATCTACAGGATGAGATTATTATGGATAAGAGAGAGAATATTTGTATTTGTCAAACGGCAGTCGAGCATCGATCATCATGTCACCAGAATAAGACCCTCTATATTTATTGGAAAGGAGCATCCAGCTCATCACCGTGCCCTTTCACCACCCTGTGAAGTTCATCATAACTTCTTTCATCTGTAGCTTAATTGTGTCAGCAATAGTTATGCTAGCCATGCTAGGGAAGTTAGCATTGTGTCAGCAATAGTTTTGCTAGGAAAGTTAGCATTGTGTCAGGGCGGCAGGTAGCTTAGTGGTTCAGAGCGTTGTGCCAGTAACCGAAAGGTCGCTGGTTCTAATCCCCGAGCCGACTAGGTGAAAAATCTGTCGATGTGCCCTTGAGCAAGGCACTCAACCCTAATTGCTCCTGTAAGTCGCTCTGGATAAGAGCGTCTGCTAAATGACTAAAAATGTAAAATGTAAAATGTTAATAAACTGCATGGTTTCCCCAGTCCTAGTGGGAGGACCACACCACATGTCATCGCGTGACTCCAAGTTTACTTCAGTATGATGGTTATTATATCAATATTTGCGCATAAAGGCATTTCAACCACCAGTTCTCGCACAATTAATTTTACCAACACGAAAAGATCCCACCATGTCGAACGAACAAGTTGTATGTTGGCATTCATAAAATTGTTCCGGCATTTGTTTCCATCAGCCTGGTTGTGACGCGTCAGGTGATTCATCCGCATGAAATGATTGGATGGAAACGACCTTGTAGTCACCAGTCAACTCCATTATACTGAAATGTTACTTCAACTATGCTACCAGTCTTTCTTAATGAGTGTTAACAAAAAGGTATATGATAATGAACATTTACATTTTAGTCATTTAGCAGATGCTCTTATCCAGAGCGACTTACTGTGAGTGCATACATTATTTTTCATACTGGCCCCCCGTGGGAATCGAACCCCACAACCCTGGCGTTGCAAACGCCATGCTCTACCAACTGAGCTACATCCCTGCCGGCCATTCCCTCCCCTACCCTGGACGACGCTGAGCCAATTGTGCGCCGCCCCATGGGTCTCCCGGTCGGGGCCGGCTACGACAGAGCCTGGATTCGAACCAGGATCTCTAGTGGCACAGCTAGCACTGCGATGCAGTGCCTTAGACCACTGCGCCACTCGGGAGTACAACCAAATTATGTTATCAGAAATTTCAAACAACATTCCCAGCTAATGAGAAAACAGTCATGGTATTTAGTTTAAGAGAATGAGGCAGATTTAACAAGGCAACCTTAGGGGCTATTTTGAATTGGGCGCCAATGGCAGATTTTGCGGTATTTTGACATCCGTACCCCAGAACGACCCACGTGACCACAGTAAAACGTGGTCTTTTGTCAACAATTCTTATGCTAGACAAGGCTAAGGAAGTTAGCATTGTGTCAACAATAGTTAAGCTAGCCAAGGCTAAGGAAGTTAGCATTGTGTCAACAAAAGTTAGCTAATGATTCCTGCCTGTCATTCTTATAGAGGTGCTAGCTGCTAAATGATAGCATCCTAGACCCTACATGCAGTCCAAGCTAACGTGTGGTTACTGTAAAGCACTTTGTGACAACTGATGACAAAATGGATTGATTGGTTTCAGGTGTTCTCTCCAGGTGTGTGTGTGTCAACATGTGTACTCTCCAGGTGTGTGTGTTAACGGGTGTTCTCTCCAGGTGTGTGTGTTAACAGGTGTTCTCTCCAGGTGTGTGTGTGTTAACAGGTGTTCTCTCCAGGTGTGTGTGTGTGTGTGTGTGTGTGTTATCAGGTGTTCTCTCCAGGTGTGTGTGTTAACAGGTGTTCTCTCCAGGTGTGTTAGTGTTAACAGGTGTACTCTCCACGTGTGTATGTGTTAACAGGTGTACTCCCGTCGCTGTGTGTCGTTCATGCTGCGTTCCACCCTGGGTGGGCTGCTCGGGGAGAAGGCCCAGATCGCTGCAGGGAAAGACATCTGCCAGGCTATCAGTAAACAGATGAGGGCTGTGGGTAAGGAGATAGATGGGGGGGAAATATCACGGTTCAGAGCTTTACAGAGTAAGTACACATCCACTCAATTATTATTATTGTTATTGCATTTTTATTTCTCATCATTTAAGATATACTTAATCATTTATAATTTGTTTAATTTGATCATCATTTCTCATGATTTACTTTAGAGTCTTTGTCTTTCTTGTTTTATCATGGTATTTTAAAACCCCAACTTCAACTTAGGTCGAATCTCCCTTTGACATCAACGACATGGATGCATGACTAAGTGGAAGTTGGGGTTGGCCAACACACACAAGTCTTTTTTCATCTCTCATTTTGGAGTGGGTGTGCTTGTGTTGCGTGGGCTTTTCACCTGCTCTGTTCTGCTCTGTTCTGCTCTGCTCTGTTCTGCTCTGCTCTGTTCTGCTCTGCTCTGCTCTGCTCTGCTCTGCTCTACTCTGTTCTGCTCTGCTCTGCTCTGCTCTGCTCTGCTCTGTTCTGCTCTGCTCTGCTCTGCTCTGCTCTGTTTGCTCTGCTCTGCTCTGCTCTTGCTCTGTTCTGCTCTGCTCTGCTCTGCTCTGCTCTGCTCTGCTCTGCTCTGCTCTACTCTACTCTTACTCTACTCTACTCTACTCTACTCTACTCTACTCTACTCTACTCTACTCTACTCTACTCTACTCTACTCTACTCTACTCTACTCTACTCTACTCTACTCTACTCTACTCTGCTCTGCTCTGCTCTGCTCTGCTCTGCTCTGCTCTGCTCTGCTCTGCTCTGCTCTGCTCTGCTCTGCTCTGTTCTGCTCATCCTCCGACTCCACTGGTCTAGCTCTTTCACCTGTTCTCTCTCTCTCTCTTCTCTTCTCTTATATTTCTCTCTCTCCTCTTTCATCTGTTTGCTCTCTCTCTCTCTCTCTCTCTCGCTCTCTCCTCTTTCACCTGTTCTCTCGGTCTCTCTCTCTCTTCTCTTTCACCTGTTCTCTCTCTCTCTCTTCTCTTCTCTTTCTCTTCTCTTTCTCGCTATGCTCCATGTATCGTGTGTTGCTCTCTCTCTCTCTCTCCTCTTTCACTGTTCTCTCGGTCGTCTCTCGGTCTCCTCTCGCTCTCTCTCTTTAACCGTTTTCTCTCTCTCTCTCCTCTGTCGTTTTCGCTCTCTCCTATGTTCTCTCTCTCTCTCTCTCTTTCACCTGTTCTCTCTTTCTCTCTTCTCTCTCTTTCAATGTTATTCGTCTCTCTATCTCTCATCTCTTCATTCAGCGATTTCCTCCTAGTCTCCTCTCTTCTCTCTCTCTCGGGTCTTCTATCTCTCGCTCTTCTCTTCTTTCTCTTCTCTCCTTCTTTCTTCGCTTACCTCTTTCACCTGTTCTCTCTCTCTCTCTCTCTCTCTCTCTCTCTTCTCCTCTCTCTCTCTCTCTCGTCTCCTTTCACCTGTTCTCTCTCTCCACCCTCTACCTGGTTATTTTCTCCTCTCAGCTCTTACCTCTGCTCGGAGGCACAGTTCTGCTGGTATTGACCTTTTCTTACATCATACTAGCCTCCACACCAGCCGTTCTAGGGCCGATGTGTCCCAAATGGCACCTAATTTTCTATATAGAGCACTACTTTTGACTGGAGCCCTATGGGTCCTGGTCAAAAGTAGTACACTATAATAGGGAATATGGTGCCATTTTGGATGCTTCGTAGGTTTCTCCAGAATGAGACTTAACATCCTACTGCTATACAGATATTATATCCATTAATGCCAGACTCCATAAGTCTCATTTATGTTATGAAATATCAAACTGTCGGGGCGACAAAACAAACCCAGGCCAGACATAATGTAAACAAACCCAGGCCAGACATAATGTAAACAAACCCAGGCCAGACATCATGTAAACAAACCCAGGCCAGACATAATGTAAACAAACTCAGGCCAGACATCATGTAAACAAACCCAGGCCAGACATCATGTAAACAAACCCAGGCCAGACATCATGTAAACAAACCCAGGCCAGACATCATGTAAACAAACCCAGGCCAGACATCATGTAAACAAACCCAGGCCAGACATCATGTAAACAAACCCAGGCCAGACATCATGTAAACAAACCCAGGCCAGACATCATGTAAACAAACCCAGGCCAGACATCATGTAAACAAACCCAGGCCAGACATCATGTAAACAAACCCAGGCCAGACATCATGTAAACAAACCCAGGCTAGACATAATGTAAACAAACCCAGGTCAGACATCATGTAAACAAACCCAGGCTAGATGTCATAACGTTTTCTGAGTGTTTTCAAGCGGCTGCTGGGCCAGCCACCCTTCCATCATTCAGTACCAGACAGCTGGGCCAGCCACCCTTCCATCATTCAGTACCAGACAGCTGGGCCACCCTTCCATCATTCAGTACCAGACAGCTGGGCCAGCCACCCTTCCATCAGTCAGTACCAGACAGCTGGGCCAGCCTTCCATCAGTCAGTACCAGACAGCTGGGCCAGCCTTCCATCATTCAGTACCAGACAGCTGGGCCAGCCTTCCATCATTCAGTACCAGACAGCTGGGCCAGCCTTCCATCAGTCAGTACCAGACAGCTGGTGTTCTCGTTTGCTTGTAGCCTACAACAAGCCTGCAGGTTCCTCTACTGTATAAACATTACAGTTTACAGGTGGAGTCAGATATGAACGTGACAGCAGTAAAGGCCCCCTACTGCGGTGCAACGGTAGCGCCGTTATCCGCTTCATCTCTTGCAGTGAATAACACTTGCCTGGAAAAGTCATTCCTTACCAACTATAGGGTTGAATAAATTCACCGTCAAAAGGTTGCAATAGGAAACTCCACATCCAAGAGGAAAACATTTAGCCAGCTAGCAACTCCAGCAAAGTTTGCAAGTGCATAAACGTTTATTTGGCTGTAGGCTAATCCCACCACCGGTAGGCTATGCACATGTTCAAGCAATGCAGGTGTGGATCTATCTGTTTGCTAGCCAGCTAAATAAGCTAGCTTCACTTACCAGTAGAAAGAGCTGGCTTTCGTGGTTATTATCCATAGTGTCCAGCATGCTGCTGGCACTGTTCGTGCTGACTGAAGTATGGTCCAACTAGCAAGTGTTGCACTAATAAAAATATTCTCAATCCATTGCTGAATGAAAATCACCCACAATTCCAGATTTCATTCAGAAGCTCAAGCTAGCAACATCAAAGCAACTTTGTATCGACAGACCCACCAGTGTTTTCAAATCTGTGCTCCTGTCAGCTGTCACACACACAGGCAGACCCACAGACAGACTGACAGCCAGGAGCCAATATTATTAACCGTTGTTACAAATGAAATTGTATTTGTCACATGCCCTTAGCCAACAATGCAGTTTTTAAGAAAAATAAGAGTTAAGAAAATATTTACTAAATAAAATATATTTTAAAAAAAAAGTTACACACTAAAATAACATTAACGAGGCTATATACAGGGGGTACCGGTACCGAGTCAATGTGCGGGGGTTACAGGTTAGTCAAGGTAGTTTGTACATGTAGGTAGGGGTAAAGTGACTATGCAAAGATAATGTAATGTAAATAGTCTGGGTGGCCATTTGATTAATTGTTCAGCAGTCTTATGGCTTGTTGGTAGAAGCTGTTAAACAGCCTTTTGGACCTAGACTTGGCGCTCCGGTACCGCTTGCCGTGTGGTAGCAGAGAGAACAGTCTATGACTTGGGTGACTGGAGTCTTTGACAATTTTTTTGGCCTTCCTCTGACACCGCCTGGTATAGAAGTCCTGGATGGCAGGAAGCTTGGCCCCAGTGATGTACTGGGCCTTCCGCACTACCCTCTGTAGTGCCTTGCGGTCGGAGGCCGAGCAGTTGCCATACCAGGTGGTGATGCAACCAGTCAGGATGCTCTCGATGGTGCAGCTGTAGAACCTTTTGAGGATCTGAGGACCCATGCCAAATCTTTTCAGTCTCCTTAGCAGGAAAAGGCGTTGTCGTGCCCTCTTCACAACTTTCTTGGTGTGTTTGGACCATGATAGTTTGTTGGTGATGTGGACACCAAGGAACTTGAAACTCTCGACCCGTTCCACTACAGCCCTGTTGATGTTAATGGGTCCGTGTTCGGCCCTCCTTTTCCTGTAGTCCACGATCATCTCTTTTGTCTTGCTCACGTTGAGGGAGAGGTTGTCTCTGACCTTCTCCCTGTAGGCTGTCTCATAATTTTTGGTGATCAGGCCTACCACTGTTGTCGCCAGCAAACTTAATGATGGTGTTGGAGTCGTGCTTGGCCACACAGTCATGGGTGAACAGGGAGTACAGGAGGGGCCCCCGTGTTGAGGATCAGTGTGGCAGATGTGTTGTTACCTACCCTTACCACCTGGGGGCGGCCCGTCAGGAAGTCCAGGATCCAGTTGCAGAGGGAGGTGTTCAGTCCCAGGATCCTTAGCTTAGTGATGAGCTTTGTGGGCACTATGGTGTTGAACGCTGAGCTGTAGTCAATGAATAGCATTCTCACATAGGTGTTCCTCTTGTCCAGGTGGGAAAGGGCAGTGTGGAGTGCGATTGAGATTGTGTCATCTGTGGATCTGTTGGGGCGGTATGCGAATTGGAGTGGGTCTAGGGTTTCTGGGATGATGGTGTTGATGTGAGCCATGACCATCCTTTCAAAGCACTTCAGGTCTACAGACGTGAGTGCTACGGGTCGGTAGTCATTTAGGCACATGCGTTTGTCAGCTAAATCAACTGTGTATATACTGTATCAACTCTCATTGATGAGTCTCATTTTGCATTGAGAGGGCTGTAGTTAGATATGTGTTGATGTGTTGCTGTAGTCGTGGATGGATCAGAGGAGCACATAGAAGTTATTGTCAATAGGGCTATGCGTCATATTTCCCTGGAGAAATCTGACCTGCAATTTATAAACAAAGCCGCTGTACTTATAATTTATTAAAAATAAAAAATGGTATCACTTTGAAGTTATCCAAATGGCAAATTAATCTTTCATCTATACATTTCAAGATATTTTAAACCAGAAATAAATAGACATTTTATTTGGGACTGAGTCTGGCATTATATGTACAGTAGATAGGGTAACTTTCCCATAATTCCCTGGTTTTCCAGAAATCCTGGTTGGAGGATTCCGTATTTCCTTCTTATTCATTCGTAGTTCAAGCAATCTTCCAACCAGGATTTCTGGAAAACCAGGGAATTATGGGAAAGTTGCTGAAATTGTGCAACCCTATCAGTTACCATTGCACACTCCCCATAGTGTATTTAACTATACCCTACTAACCCGTTGAAAGATATCACATTGTCTTCTTATAGAACTGAAAAACGTTACCAATTAACCAATTAACTCACACACTCAGCAGAAGCAAGCCTGTTATCCCCCTGAGGAGCTTTTTAAAAAAATCACACATTTTGTCAAACATTATTTGACATATTTTTATCATTTGGTGTTCGAATTACTCCGTCCCATCGTCACAATCACTTTTTCTTTTTACAAAATAACTTCTCCAGATTCTTACTCTGTGATTCCCTCTGAAACCTCCTGTATCGACCGTCTGTATCGACCGTCTGTATCGACCGTCTGTATCGACCGTCTGTATCGACCGTCTGTATCGACCGTCTGTATCGACCGTCTGTATCGACCGTCTGTATCGACCGTCTGTATCGACCGTCTGTATCCCTTATGAAGAACTCTACTCTACTTCTCTACCAAACTAACTATATCATAGAAAACATAATCGCTTCCTACTGTGCTCTGAGGGTTTTCATTCATCATTAGGAACCATCTCTAATGAGACTCAAGTCAAGTGAAAGGGGGAAAGCAATCTATTCGAGACATTTCATTATTCCAGATGTCTTGCACATCTTTGGCTAGCGGAGAGACAATGGCAGATGCCCTATCCAAACTCCCAGCCATGTTTGATGAATGTGGGTTCATTAAAGGTCTTGGTGATGATGAATCCTCAGACCTCTGCTGTCTGTCTTAATGCTGATATTCAGTACTGTTAATGCATGATAAAAATACAATTATTACAATATCCCTGTTAACTGTTAGCTAGAGATTCCTGTTTAACTGTTAGCTAGTGATCCCCTGTTAACTGTTAGCTAGAGATTCCTGTTTAACTGTTAGCTAGTGATCCCCTGTTAACTGTTAGCAAGAGATTCCCTGTTACCTGTTAGCTAGAGATTCCTTGAGGTTTATTAAACAATAATACAATAATACAATGGGGCATCTTGACAAAAACTACTTTGGCCCTCTCTTCCTCTCTCCTCCCCCCCCCCTCCCCCCCCCCTCCCCCCCCATCCACCCCCGTTCCCTAGGTCTACCGTAAGCAACAACGCAGTTCATCTATTCAGCCAGTCACATGCTGTGCCCATCAGGAGCTGCAGGCACCTGTCAAGTCCTAATGCCACCCCACCGCTCATCACAGGATCCCCGTCTGGTAGGACATTACCCCACTCACAGCAGACACACCATCCACCCCCTGTCACCTCAACATTACCACCCATCCACCAGCAACACACCCCTCCTCAGCACACACCATGCACCATGCCCTACCACTCTCTTACTCACCCACCCTCCCACACCCCACCCCCCCCCTCTCCAGAGGCAGTAGTGAATGATACCAGTGGAGAGAACAAGGCAGGTGCAGCTGATGTGTCAGCCAGTCAACATGTTATGGTCTGTGCCCTCAAGGAGCTGGGCAGCCTGGTGCAGAGTCTCAGTGCCACATCCTCACCGCTCATACAGGAGCCCTCTGTTGGTAGGACATTACACACACCATGCACCATGCACCATTACACACCCATGCACCATGCAGACACACCATGCACCATGCACCATGCAGACACACCATTACACACACCATGCACCATGCAGACACACCATGCACCATGCAGACAGGAACACACACACACACACACACACACAATCACACACACACACAATCACACACAATGCACCATGCAGACAAGAACACACACACACACACACACACAATCACACACACACACACAATCACACACAATGCACCATGCAGACAAGAACACACACACAACACACACACAACACACAATCACACACACACACACCACACACACACACACACACACCACACACACATCCACACACAATGCACCATGCAGACAAGAACACACACACCACACACACAATCACACACAACACAATCACACACACATGCACCATGCAGACAAGAACACACAATCCACACACACACACACAATCACACACACACACACACACACACACACACACACAATCACACACAATGCACCATGCAGACAAACACACCCAGGACCAGCCCAGGACCAGCCCAAAAGGTCCTCGTACACTTTGATAATGTAATGTGGGGCCCTCACAAGTATACAATTATAGGGGCCCTCACAAGTATACAATTATAGGGTTCCTCACAAGTATAACAATTATAGGGTTCCTCACAAGTATACAATTATAGGGTTTCCTAACAAGTATACAATTATAGGGTTCCCTAACAAGTATACAATTCTAGGGTTCCTCACAAGTATACAGGTATAGGGTTCCTCACAAGTATAACAATTATAGGTTCCTCCAAAGTATACAATTATAGGGTTCCTCACAAGTATACATTATAGGGTTCCTCACAAGTATACCAATTATAGGGTTCCTCACAAGTATACATTATAGGGTTCCTAACAAGTATACAATTATAGGGTTCCTCACAAGTATACAATTATAGGGTTCCCTCACAAGTATACAATTATAGGGTTCCTCACAAGTATACAATTATAGGGTTCCTCACAAGTATACAATTATAGGGTTCCTAACAAGTATACAATGATAGGGTTCCTCACAAGTATACAATTATAGGGTTCCTCACAAGTATACAATTATAGGGTTCCTCACAAGTATACAATTATAGGGTTCCTCACAAGTATACAATTATAGGGTTCCTCACAAGTATACAGGTATAGGGTTCCTAACAAGTATACAATTATAGGGTTCCTCACAAGTATACAATTATAGGGTTCCTCACAAGTATACAATATAGGGTTCCTCACAAGTATACAATTATAGGGTTCCTAACAAGTATACAATTATAGGGTTCCTCACAAGTATACAATTATAGGGTTCCTAACAAGTATACAATTATAGGGTTCCTCACAAGTATACAATTATAGGGTTCCTCACAAGTATACAGGTATAGGGTTCCTCACAAGTATACAATTATAGGGTTCCTCACAAGTATACAATTATAGGGTTCCTCACAAGTATACAATTATAGGGTTCCTAACAAGTATACAATTATAGGGTTCCTCACAAGTATACAATTATAGGGTTCCTAACAAGTATACCAATTATAGGGTTCCTCACAAGTATACAATTATAGGGTTCCTAACATAGTAACAGGTATAGGGTTCCTCACAAGTATACAATTATAGGGTTCCTCACAAGTATACAATTATAGGGTTCCTAACAAGTATACAGGTATAGGGTTCCTCACAAGTATACAATTATAGGGTTCCTAACAAGTATACAATTATAGGGTTCCTAACAAGTATACAATTATAGGGTTCCTCACAAGTATACCAATTATAGGGTTCCTCACAAGTATACCATTTAGGGGTTTCCTAACAAGTATACAATTATAGGGTTCCTCACAAGTATACAATTATAGGGTTCCTAACAAGTATACAATTATAGGGTTCCTCACAAGTATACAATTATAGGGTTCCTCACAAGTATACAATTATAGGGTTCCTCACAAGTATACAATTATAGGGTTCCTCACAAGTATACATTATAGGGTTCCTCACAAGTATACAATTATAGGGTTCCTCACAAGTATACAATTATAGGGTTCCTCACAAGTATACAATTATAGGGTTCCTCACAAGTATACAATTATAGGGTTCCTCACAAGTATACAATTATAGGGTTCCTCACAAGTATACAATTATAGGGTTCCTAACAAGTATACAGTTATAGGGTTCCTCACAAGTATACAGGTATAGGGTTCCTCACAAGTATACAGGTATAGGGTTCCTCACAAGTATACAATTATAGGGTTCCTCACAAGTATACAATTATAGGGTTCCTCACAAGTATACAATTATAGGGTTCCTCACAAGTATACAGTTATAGGGTTCATCACAGTATACAATTATAGGGTTCCTCACAAGTATACAATTAGTTAGGGTTCCTCACAAGTATACAGTTATAGGGTTCCTCACAAGTATACAATTATAGGGTTCCTCACAAGTATACAATTATAGGGTTCCTAACAAGTATACAATTATAGGGTTCCTCACAAGTATACAATTATAGGGTTCCTCACAAGTATACAATTATAGGGTTCCTCACAAGTATACAGTTATAGGGTTCCTCACAAGTATACAATTATAGGGTTCCTAACAAGTATACAGGTATAGGGTTCCTCACAAGTATACAATTATAGGGTTCCTCACAAGTATACAATTATAGGGTTCCTAACAAGTATACAGTTATAGGGTTCCTAACAAGTATACAATTATAGGGTTCCTAACAAGTATACAATTATAGGGTTCCTAACAAGTATACAATTATAGGGTTCCTAACAAGTATACAATTATAGGGTTCCTAACAAGTATACAATTATAGGGTTCCTCACAAGTATACAATTATAGGGTTCCTCACAAGTAACACATACACACACTAACCCTGCCCCTGTCTCCTCAGGTCTCCTGGAGACTGTCTCCTCGGTGCTGCTCCACCCCAGCATGGCTGCCCGTCTGGCGGCGGCCTGGTGTTTACGCTGCGTTGCCGTGGCGCTGCCCTATCAGTTGACTCCACTGCTGGAGCGCTGTGCGGAGCGCATCAACAACCTGAAGAGCTCTCCGGAGGCCGTCAGCGGCTACAGCTTCGCCATGGCTGCCCTGCTGGGGGGCGTGCACCAATGTCCTCTAGGTTTACCACACTCCAAGGGCAAGGTAGGGACCCATTTCCCTTGGTCCAAACCTAGGACCCTAGCAAATCTGTAATACAGAGAACACCGACGGAATCACGGAATCCAGACATTAAAACTGAATTCAACAATATAATAAAATGTATTGAACTTAGTAGGGAATCAACTAAATGTATTGAACTTAGTAGGGAATCAACTAAATGTATTGAACTTAGTAGGGAATCAACTAAATGTATTGAACTTAGTAGGGAATCAACTAAATGTATTGAACTTAGTAGGGAATCAACTAAATGTATTGAACTTAGTAGGGAATCAACTAAATGTATTGAACTTAGTAGGGAATCAACTAAATGTATTGAACTTAGTAGGGAATCAACTAAATGTATTGAACTTAGTAGGGAATCAACTAAATGTATTGAACTTGAATCAACTAAATGTATTGAACTTAGTAGGGAATCAACTAAATGTATTGAACTTGAATCAACTAAATGTATTGAACTTAGTAGGGAATCAACTAAATGTATTGAACTTGAATCAACTAAATGTATTGAACTTAGTAGGGAATCAACTAAATGTATTGAAGTTAGTAGGGAATCAACTAAATGTATTGAACTTAGTAGGGAATCAACTAAATGTATTGAACTTAGTAGGGAATCAACTAAATGTATTGAACTTAGTAGGGAATCAACTAAATGTATTGAACTTGAATCAACTAAATGTATTGAACTTAGTAGGGAATCAACTAAATGTATTGAACTTAGTAGGGAATCAACTAAATGTATTGAACTTAGTAGGGAATCAACTCTGTTCTCCCTAGTCTAGCAGGTGTTATATACTCTGTGTTATATACTCTGTTCTCCCTAGTCTAGCAGGTGTTATATACTCTGTTCTCCCTAGTCTAGCTGGTGTTATATACTCTGTGTTATATCTCTCTGTTCTCCCTAGTCTAGCAGGTGTTATATACTCTGTGTTATATACTCTGTTCTCCCTAGTCTAGCAGATGTTATATACTCTGTGTTATATCTCTCTGTTCTCCCTAGTCTAGCAGGTGTTATATACTCTGTGTTATATCTCTCTGTTCTCCCTAGTCTAGCAGGTGTTATATACTCTGTGTAATATACTCTGTTCTCCCTAGTCTAGCAGGTGTTATATACTCTGTGTTATATCTCTCTGTTCTCCCTAGTCTAGCTGGTGTTATATACTCTGTTATATACTCTGTTCTCCCTAGTCTAGCTGGTGTTATATACTCTGTTCTCCCTAGTCTAGCTGGTGTTATATACTCTGTTATATACTCTGTTCTCCCTAGTCTAGCTGGTGTTATATACTCTGTTCTCCCTAGTCTAGCTGGTGTTATATACTCTGTGTTATATCTCTCTGTTCTCCCTAGTCTAGCAGGTGTTATATACTCTGTGTTATATCTCTCTGTTCTCCCTAGTCTAGCAGGTGTTATATACTCTGTGTTATATCTCTCTGTTCTCCCTAGTCTAGCAGGTGTTATATACTCTGTGTTATATACTCTGTTCTCCCTAGTCTAGCAGGTGTTATATACTCTGTGTTATATACTCTGTTCTCCCTAGTCTAGCAGGTGTTATATACTCTGTGTTATATACTCTGTTCTCCCTATTCTAGCAGGTGTTATATACTCTGTTCTCCCTAGTCTAGCAGGTGTTATATACTCTGTTCTCCCTAGTCTAGCAGGTGTTATATACTCTGTGTTATATACTCTGTTCTCCCTAGTCTAGCAGGTGTTATATACTCTGTGTTATATACTCTGTTCTCCCTAGTCTAGCAGGTGTTATATACTCTGTTCTCCCTAGTCTAGCAGGTGTTATATACTCTGTGTTATATCTCTCTGTTCTCCCTAGTCTAGCAGGTGTTATATACTCTGTGTTATATACTCTGTGTAATACCTCTCTGGTTGTTCTAGCTGGTGGTGAGCATAGCTGAGGACCTGCTCCGTACAGCAGCCCAGAACAGCCGTCTGTCTCTGCAGAGAACCCAGGCTGGATGGCTGCTGCTGGGGGCACTAATGACCCTGGGTGAGTTAGTTCCCTACTCCTAACATCTAACCCCTAGCACTAATGACCCTGGGTGAGTTAGTTCCCTACTCCTAACATCTAACCCCTAGCACTAATGACCCTGGGTGAGTTAGTTCCCTACTCCTAACATCTAACCCCTAGCACTAATGACCCTGGGTGAGTTAGTTCCCTACTCCTAACATCTCACCCCTAGCACTAATGACCCTGGGTGAGTTAGTTCCCTACTCCTAACATCTAACCCCTAGCACTAATGACCCTGGGTGAGTTAGTTCCCTACTCCTAACATCTAACCCCTAGCACTAATGACCCTGGGTGAGTTAGTTCCCTACTCCTAACATCTCACCCCTAGCACTAATGACCCTGGGTGAGTTAGTTCCCTACTCCTAACATCTAACCCCTAGCACTAATGACCCTGGGTGAGTTAGTTCCCTACTCCTAACATCTAACCCCTAGCACTAATGACCCTGGGTGAGTTAGTTCCCTACTCCTAACATCTAACCCCTAGCACTAATGACCCTGGGTGAGTTAGTTCCCTACTCCTAACATCTAACCCCTAGCACTAATGACCCTGGGTGAGTTAGTTCCCTACTCCTAACATCTAACCCCTAGCACTAATGGACCCTGGGTGAGTTAGTTCCCTACTCCTAACATCTAACCCCTAGCACTAATGACCCTGGGTGAGTTAGTTCCCTACTCCTAACATCTAACCCCTAGCACTAATGACCCCTGGGTGAGTTAGTTTCCCTACTCCTAACATCTAACCCCTAGCACTAATGACCCTGGGTGAGTTAGTTCCCTACTCCTAACATCTAACCCCTAGCACTAATGACCCTGGGTGAGTTAGTTCCCTACTCCTAACATCTCACCCCTAGCACTAATGACCCTGGGTGAGTTAGTTCCCTACTCCTAACATCTAACCCCTAGCACTAATGACCCTGGGTGAGTTAGTTCCCTACTCCTAACATCTAACCCCTAGCACTAATGACCCTGGGTGAGTTAGTTCCCTACTCCTAACATCTCACCCCTAGCACTAATGACCCTGGGTGAGTTAGTTCCCTACTCCTAACATCTCACCCCTAGCACTAATGACCCTGGGTGAGGCCCTATACTGGCCATAGCTGTACATGTTCACCTTCAGGCCTTAGATGGGTTTTCCAGCTCCTCTTCTATATTACTCCCAGTCAGCTAAAGCAATCCAGAGTTTGGCTTTCTTCCTATTAGAAGTGTATGGTCCAACACGACTTGTTTGGTCTCCAGCTCTGTCCTAACACTGCTTGTTTGTGGACATGACGCTGTGTCCAGGCCCGTCCCTGGTGCGTTACCACCTGCCCAAGATGCTGCTGCTGTGGAGGAACGTATTCCCCCGTTCCCAGAAAGAGATGGAGGCAGAGAAGGCTAGAGGAGACAGCTTCACCTGGCAGGTTACACTGGAGGGACGTGCCGGAGCGCTCTGTGGTAGGCACACGTGCCCTTCAGTACAGTTTCAATGTGTGGCTGTCACCCTGCGTTCCACCCTGGATCCCAAGGAGTTTTGCTTTGTCTAAAAGTCCATCCCTCTCCTCTTCCTCCCTCATCTCTCTCCCTCTCCTCTTCTCTCCTCCTCTCTCCAGCCTCCCCTTCTCCCTCACTCCTCACATCTCCTCTCCTCCTTCCCTCCCCCTCCCATGCTCCCTCTCCACTCCTCCATCTCTCGCACGTCCTCCATCTCCCTCCTCGAATCCTCTCCTCCCTCTCCTCTCCTCTCTCTCACTCTCCTCTCCTCTCCTCTCCTCTACCTCTCCTCGTCCTCTCCCTCCTCTCCTCTCCTCTCCTCTCCTCTAGCCATGCGTAGCTTTGTGGCCCATTGTGCTGAGCTGCTAACAGAGGATGTAATCCGCAGGCTGATGACGCCTATAGAGTGCGCCATGACCATGATGTCACAGTGAGTAGGATTGATTGATTTGATTGATTGATTGTTGTGGTCCCCTCCCCTCCTGACCGGTTGTTGTTGTCTATGCTCAGTGTCCCGTCAGTCATCAAGGTGCATGGGACCCATCTGAAGGCCAGTGCAGCTATGGTGAGGCTGAGGCTCTACGACATCTTGGCTCTGCTACCTCCCAAGACATACGAAGGTAAGGCTGGGTGAAATATTACAGCTGTTGTACTTTTAAAGTCACACTCTTAAATTAGAGCTTTGATCCAAGCAGTGGTGTTGAGTTGTTAGTCATACAGGGCTTGTTTACTGGACCCTGATCAAGTCTAGTCCTGGAGCACAAAGCATATGTTCAATCTGTGTCCGGGAAGGTGGCCCTTACCTTTCAATCTGTCCTCTGTAGGTAGTTTCAATGCCCTGCTGAGAGAGCTGGTAGCAGAGTTCACTCTGACTGATAACTCGGCCAATACCACCACCTCGTTGCTACGCTCCCTCTGTCACTATGACGACAGTGTTCTCATGGGGTCCTGGCTCCAGGAGACTGACCACAAGTCCATTGAGGACCAGGTAACTAAGGACAGTAAAACTAAGGGCCCAACTCCCCATGGCGACTCCAGTTCAGGAGGATGTATCAATGCATTGTGTAGAACCTCATGGTTTTCTATCAGATGGAATTGTGTCCAATCTGTTCATTCTGTTTCTATCTGCAGTTGTCAAAATGTTTCACATCACTGAATAGACCCCTGCTTTTGTTAATTGTGTGTGTGTGTGTGTGTGTGTGTGTGTGTGTGTGTGTGTGTGTGTGTGTGTGTGTGTGTGTGTGTGTGTGTGCGTGCGCGTGTCTGTGTGTGTGTGTGTGTGTGTGTGTGGTTAGCTCCAGCCCAACAGTGCGTCAGGAAGTGGCGCTCTAGAACACGACCCCTCCTCCATCTACCTGAGGGTACCTATGGGCGAGGCCATGCCTGGACCCCTACCCCTTGGCGTGTCTGTCATCGACGCCTCTGTGGCTCTGTTCGGAGTGGTGTTCCCTCATGTCTCCTTTAAACACAGGTGAGGCTACCTCTCAGTCTAAACTCTGACCCCTGACCCTAACCCTAACCCCTAACCCCCCCGTGGCTCAGTTCGGAGTGGTGTTCCCTCATGTCTCCTTTAAACACAGGTGAGGCTACCTCTCAGTCTAAACTCTGACCCCTGACCCTAACAGGTGAGGGACCTAGTCCACTGACACTTGACATTCCTAGTAGAATCTAATAATGTTTGTCTCAGTCTTCAGAGGTGTCCAGGCCAGCAGTTGAATCAGTAGTGCTTCCTCTAGATGATGTCCAACAGGGGGACTGGCTGGGGTTACTTCAGGAGAGGTTTGGGAAACTCCAGATGATGTCCAACAGGGGGACTGGCTGGGGTTACTTCAGGAGAGGTTTGGGAAACTCTAGATGATGTCCAACAGGGGGACTGGCTGGGGTTACTTCAGGAGAGGTTTGGGAAACTCTAGATGATGTCCAACAGGGGGACTGGCTGGGGTTACTTCAGGAGAGGTTTGGGAAACTCTAGATGATGTCCAACAGGGGGACTGGCTGGGGTTACTTCAGGAGAGGTTTGGGAAACTCTAGATGATGTCCAACAGGGGGACTGGCTGGGGTTACTTCAGGAGAGGTTTGGGAAACTCTAGATGATGTCCAACAGGGGGGACTGGCTGGGGTTACTTCAGGAGAGGTTTGGGAAACTCTAGATGATGTCCAACAGGGGGACTGGCTGGGGTTACTTCAGGAGAGGTTTGGGAAACAATGTATTTTATTAATCACTCACATTTGTGTGTGTGTTAGGCTGCAGATGCTGGACCACTTTGCAGAGTGTATAAAACAGGCCAAGGGAGTCAGACAGCAGGCTGTCCAGCTCAACATCTTCACCGCTGTACTGAGCGCCCTCAAGGTGAGGCCTTCTAACATATACAAACTCCTGTTAAAGTTGCACAGGAAAATCTCCTAAACACAAAAACCTTTCCAGTAGTGGCAGCTTACTCCTTTAATGCATATGAGATAGGAGCTCATTGGACTGTCTGTATTTGGCTGATATGTATCAGGGCGAGAAACCCTCCTGCACTGTTTTGACTCCAAACCTGTTCCTGGAGAGAGACCCTCCTGGACGGTTTTGACTCCCACCCTGTTCCTGGAGAGAAACCCTCCTGCACTGTTTTGACTCCAAACCTGTTCCTGGAGAGAGACCCTCCTGGACGGTTTTGACTCCCACCCTGTTCCTGGAGAGAAACCCTCCTGGACGGTTTTGACTCCAACCCTGTTCCTGGAGAGAGACCCTCCTGGACGGTTTTGACTCCCACCCTGTTCCTGGAGAGAGACCCTCCTGGACGGTTTTGACTCCAAACCTGTTCCTGGAGAGAGACCCTCCTGGACGGTTTTGACTCCAAACCTGTTCCTGGAGAGAGACCCTCCTGGACGGTTTTGACTCCCACCCTGTTCCTGGAGAGCTACCGTCCAGGAGGGACCTGATATGTGTCCTGTCCTCTCCTCCCCAATCAACCAATGAACCAGCCAATCTTCTCTCCTCCCTGTAGGGTCTGGCAGAGAACAAGTCTACCCTGGGTCCTGAAGAGGTCCGTAAGTCAGCCTTGGCTCTTGTGATGGGTGCCCTGGACAACCCTAACCCCATCCTGCGCTGTGCTGCTGGGGAGGCCTTGGGAAGGATGGCTCAAGTAGTGGGGGAGGCCACATTCATCGCCCGCATGGCCCAGTACAGCTTCGACAAGTACGACCTGTCTGTTGATACTCATCTCTAGCTAGCTTCATGTGGCCCAGTGGCTTTCCTCTCTGAGAACGGTCTCTCTCTTGACCTGCTTGACCTCTTGTGGTATTTCCTCTTAACCCCCATATTTGCACTGTTGTCTTTTTGCACACAATATCATGTCACAATATCATGTCACAATATCATGTCACAATATCATGTCACAATATCAACTCACAATATGTCACAATATCAACTCACAATATCATGTCACAATATCAACTCACAATATCATGTCACAATATCAACTCACAATATGTCACAATATCAACTCACAATATGTCACAATATCAACTCACAATATCATGTCACAATATCAACTCACAATATCATGTCACAATATCATGTCACAATATCAACTCACAATATATCACAATATCAACTCACAATATCATGTCACAATATCAACTCACAATATATCACAATATCAACTCACAATATCATGTCACAATATCAACTCACAATATATCACAATATCAACTCACAATATCAACTCACAATATATCACAATATCAACTCACAATATCATGTCACAATATCAACTCACAATATATCACAATATCAACTCACAATATCATGTCACAATATTAACTCACAATATATCACAATATCAACTCACAATATCATGTCACAATATCAACTCACAATATATCACAATATTAACTCACAATATCATGTCACAATATCAACTCACAATATATCACAATATCAACTCACAATATCATGTCACAATATCATGTCACAATATCAACTCACAATATATCACAATATCAACTCACAATACCATGTCACATGGCCTCTTTATCTTCCTCTGTCATATGCCTCATGTCTATTCAGAACCCAACCATTAAGCTCTTAGGCATCTGTGTTTACTAAGTAGTCCTCTCCTCTCCTCTCCTCTCCTCTCCTCTCCTCTCCTCTCCTCTCCTCTCCTCTCCTCTCCTCTCCTCTCCTCTCCTCTCCAGACTGAGGTCAGCCCGTGACGTGGTCTCCAGAACAGGTCACTCCCTGGCTCTGGGCTGTCTACACAGATATGTAGGAGGGATTGGCTCAGGGCAGCACCTCAAAACCAGCGTCAGCATCCTATTGGCCCTAGCCCAGGATGGAACCTCCCATGAGGTCCAGGTGAGTGAACGGTGGACAGGTGAGGCTCTGTGAGTCTCAGGCTGCATTCTGATTCGCCACCCTTCTCCCGACGTGTGCACTTGCACACCCGCTATAGTGCCTTTAAAAGCGTGATACTGCTGTATGCATTGGCAGGAGGGGCTTTCCCTCTAGCAGAGAATCTGGACATAACCTTTCTTCAAAAAGCCAGCTCCTTCCCTAATACTTGGCTTGGGGTTTGGAGAAGTCTAACGGGCCAGTTTCCCGGACACGGATTAAGCTAAAATCCTAGACTAAAAAGCAGTTTGTTGATTCTCCATTGAGTTTGCTTTTTAGTCCAACTCCTTAATCTGTATCTGGGAAACCGCCCCAATGTTTAGTTTCTCCATATACGGTATGCTTTATATACGGTGTGCTTTATATACGGTATGCTTTATATACGGTATGCTTTATATACGGTATGCTTTATATACGGTATGCTTTATATACGGTATGCTCTTTATACGGTATGCTTTATATACGGTATGCTTTATATACGGTGTGCTTTATATACGGTGTGCTTTATATACGGTGTGCTTTATATACGGTGTGCTTTATATACGGTATGCTTTATATACGGTATGCTTTATATACGGTATGCTTTATATACGGTATGCTTTATATACGGTATGCTTTATATACGGTATGCTTTATATACGGTATGCTTTATATACGGTGTGCTCTATATACGGTATGCTTTATATACGGTATGCTTTATATACGGTATGCTTTATATACGGTATGCTTTATATACGGTATGCTTTATATACGGTGTGCTCTATATACGGTATGCTTTATATACGGTATGCTTTATATACGGTATGCTTTATATACGGTATGCTCTATATACGGTATGCTTTATATACGGTATGCTCTATATACGGTATGCTTTATATACGGTATGCTCTATATACGGTATGCTCTATATACGGTATGCTTTATATACGGTATGCTTTATATACGGTATGCTCTATATACGGTATGCTTTATATACGGTATGCTTTATATACGGTATGCTCTATATACGGTATGCTTTATATACGGTATGCTCTATATACGGTATGCTTTATATACGGTATGCTCTATATACGGTATGCTCTATATACGGTATGCTCTATATACGGTATGCTTTATATACGGTATGCTTTATATACGGTATGCTCTATATACGGTATGCTCTATATACGGTATGCTCTATATACGGTATGCTTTATATTTGTCCCTCCTCTCTGTCTCTACAGACGTGGGCGCTCCACTCCCTGGCTCTCATCGTAGACTCCAGTGGTCCCATGTACCGAGGCTATGTGGAGCCCACCCTGTCCCTGGTTCTGACCCTGCTCCTAACTGTACCCCCCTCACACACTGAGGTACACCAGTGTCTGGGACGATGTCTGGGAGCTCTCATCACCACCGTCGGACCCGAGCTACAGGGTGATGGTCAAATGCAACTAGACTACCGTCTCTAGCTTTCAGGCTGGCTAATATTATCTCTAAAATGCAACTAGACTACCGTCTCTAGCTTTCAGGCTGGCTAGTATTATCTCTAAAATGCAACTAGACTACCGTCTCTAGCTTTCAGGCTGGCTAGTATTACCTCTAAAAGCATTGATATGCCAGCAGATGGCAGTGTACTGCTCCAACATATTTACAGACAAGTCATGAATGTGGTGTTTACAGATGACAACTTTTACTTTGACTGCTAATGAATGCTGCTGATCTCTCTTCCTCCTCCTCCCCCCCCCGTCCCTCCAGGTAACGGAGCGACCATCTCGACTATCCGCTCATCATGTCTGGTGGGCTGTGCCATCATGCAGGGCCACAGTGACTCTCTGGTGCAGGCGGCGGCCATATCCTGCCTCCAGCAGCTACACATGTTTGCCCCACGCCATGTGAACCTCTCCAGCCTGGTGCCCTGCCTCTGTGTGAGTGTGTGAGAGAGTGGGGGCGTATACGATGCAGGCTTAGGTTTGTGGGCGTGGCAGGGGGCGTGGCAGGGGGCGTGGCAATGGCCGCGGTTGGCCCCGTCTGCGCAGCTGAAGTTTAGAAGCCTCGATCTTGGCGGTGTAGAGACAAGTTAAGAGAAGTTTTTGATTTTTACGACAATTTCCTGCAATTCTACAAATCTCTATGTAGCTGAGAGACATTTTTCAGTTTTAAAGCAGATTTCCTGCAATTCTATGCATTTTGCCATGGCTAATGCTGTTTCTTTTGCTCAAACATAACAAAATCAATACTGCTAAATTCATAGTTTATTTTATATTCTCGCTGATTGTCTATCTTTTATTTTGGTGATTGTTAGTTCTCAAAGATTATGTTATAAAAAAATATATAGGTCAATTATCTTTTCTAAATACTTTTACATCCCAAAAATGTATTTCAAAAAATTGTGACCCTAAAAAATGCTTAGGCGGCCTGCCCAAGGATTTTTATGGCAGAAAACTCCCTGTGATGATTGACGCTTAAGTTGCATTTTCCGTCTATACATTTCTAAGTTGTGGTGGGTTGACGTGTGTGTGTGTGTGTGTGTGTGTGTTGTGGTAGTTTAAATCAAATCAAATTTTATTTGCCACATGCGCCGAATACAACAGGTGTAGACATTACAGTGAAATGCTTACTTACAGCCCTTAACCAACAATGCATTTATTTTTAATAAAAAAGTAAAATAAAACAACAACAACTAAAAAGTGTTGAGAAAAAAAGAGCAGAAGTAAAATAAAATAAAATAACAGTCGGGAGGCTATATACAGGGGGGTACCGGTGCAGAGTCAGTGTGCGGGGGCACCGGCTAGTTGAGGTAATATGTACATGTGACTATGCATAAATAATTAAGAGTAGCAGCAGTGTAAAAAGATGGTGGGGGGGCAGTGCAAGTAGTCCGGGTATCCATGATTAGCTGTTCAGGAGTCTTATGGCTTGGGGGTAGAAGCTGTTGAGAAGACTTTTGGACCTAGACTTGGCGCTCCGGTACCGCTTGCCGTGCGGTAGCAGAGAGAACAGTCTATGACTAGGGTGGCTGGAGTCTTTGACAATTTTGAGGGCCTTCCTCTGACACCGCCTGGTATAGAGGTCCAGGATGGCAGGAAGCTTGACCCCAGTGATGTACTGGGCCGTACGCACTACCCTTTGTAATGCCTTGCAGTCGGAGGCCGAGCAGTTGCCATACCAGGCGGTGATGCAACCAGTCAGGATGCTCTCGATGGTGCAGCTGTATAACTTTTTGAGGATCTGAGGACCCATGCCAAATATTTTCAGTCTCCTGAGGGGGAATAGGCTTTGTCGTGCCCTCTTCACGACTGTCTTGGTGTGTTTGGACCATGATAGTTTGTTGGTGATGTGGACACCAAGGAACTTGAAGCTCTCAACCTGTTCCACTACAGCCCCGTCGATGAGAATGGGGACGTGCTCAGTCCTCTTTTTTTTTTTCCCGTAGTCCACAATCATCTCCTTTGTCTTGGTCACGTTGAGGGAGAGGTTGTTATCCTGGCACCACACGGCCAGGTCTCTGACCTCCTCCCTATAGGCTGTCTCATCGTTGTCGGTGATCAGGCCTACCACTGTTGTGTTGTCGGCAAACTTAATGATGGTGTTGGAGTCGTGCCTGGCCATGCAGTCGGGGGTGAACAGAGAGTACAGGAGGGGACTGAGCACACACCCCTGAGGGGCCCCCGTGTTGAGGATCAGCGTGGCAGATGTGTTGTTACCTACCCTTACCACCTTGGGGCGGCCCGTCAGGAAGTCCAGGATCCATTTGCAGAGGGAGGTGTTTAGTCCCAGGATCCTTAGCTTAGTGATGAGCTTTGAGGGCACTATGGTGTTGAACGCTGAGCTGTAGTCAATGAATAGCATTCTCACGTAGGTGTTCCTCTTGTCCAGGTGGGAAAGGGCAGTGTGGAGTGCAATAGAGATTGCATCATCTGTGGATCTGTTGAGGCGGTATGCAAATTGGAGTGGGTCTAGGGTTTCTGGGATAATGGTGTTGATGTGAGCCATGACCAGCCTTTCAAAGCACTTCATGGCTACAGACGTCAGTGCTATGGGTCGGTAGTCATTTAGGCAGGTTATCTTAGTGTCCTTGGGCACGGGGACTATGGTGGTCTGCTTGAAACATGTTGGTATTACAGACTCAGTCAGGGACATGTTCAAAATGTCAGTGAAGACACTTGCCAGTTGGTCAGCACATGCTCGGAGTACACGTCCTGGTAATCTGTCTGGCCCTGCGGCCTTGTGAATGTTGACCTGCTTAAAAGTCTTACTCACATCGGCTACGGAAAGCGTGATCACATAGTCATCCGGAACAGCTGGTGCTCTCATGCATGCTTCAGTGTTGCTTGCCTCGAAGCGAGCATAGAAGTGGTTTAGCTCGTCTGGTAGTCTTGTCACTGGGCAGCTCGCGGCTGTGCTTCCCTTTGTAGTCTGTAATAGTTTTCAAGCCCTGCCACATCCAACGAGCGTCAGAGCCGGTGTAGTACGATTCAATCTTAGTCCTGTATTGACTCTTTGCCTGTTTGATGGTTCGTCGGAGGGCATAGCAGGATTTCTTATAAGCGTCCGGGTTAGAGTCCCGATCCTTGAAAGCGGCAGCTCTACCCTTTAGCTCAGTGCGGATGTTGCCTGTAATCCATGGCTTCTGGTTGGGGTATGTACGTACGGTCACTGTGGGGACGACATCATCGATGCACTTATTGATGAAGCCAGTGACTGATGTGGTGTACTCCTCAATGCCATCGGAAGAATCCCGGAACATAGTCCAGTCTGTGCTAGCAAAACAGTCCTGTAGCTTAGCATCTGCTTCATCTGATCACTTATTATTTATTTTTTATCTGTGTGTGTGTGTTGTGGTAGTTGACCTGTGTGTGTGTGTTGTGGTTGTTGACCTGTGTGTGTTATGGTAGTTGACCTGTGTGTGTTGTGGTAGTTGACCTGTGTGTGTGTTGTGGTAGGAACTGGGTGTGTGTGGTGTTGACTTGGTGTGTGTGTGGAGTTGACTGGTGTGGGTTGGTGGTAGTGACTGGTGTTATGGGGAGTGACGTGGGGTTGTGGTAGTTGGACTGTGGGTGTGTGGTGGTAGTGGACAGTTTGTGTGTTGTGGAGTTGACATGTGTGTGTGTGTGGGAGTTGACTGTGGTGGGATGTGTGTGAGGTAGTTGACGCGTGTGGTGTTGGTGGTAGTGACGTGGGGGTGTTGTGGTAGGTACCTGTGGGGGGGTTGTGGTAGTTGATCTGGTGTGTGTGTTGTGGAGTTGACGGGGGGTGTGTTGTGGTAGTTTGAGTGTGTGTGTTGTGGTAGTTGAACGTGTGGTGTGTGTTGTGGTAGTTGACGGTGTGTGTGTGTGTTGGGTAGTTGACCTGTGTGTGTGTGTTGTGGTAGTTGACCTGTGTGTGTTGTGGTAGTTGACCTGTGTGTGTTGTGGTAGTTGACCTTGGTGTGTGTGTTGTGGTAGTTGACCTGTGTGTGTGTGTGTGTTGTGGTAGTTGACCTGTGTGTGTGTTGAGGTTGTTGACCTGTGTGTGTGTTGTGGTTGTTGACCTGTTTGTGTGTTGTGGTAGTTGACCTGTGTGGGTTCCTTCCTCAGGTACACCTGTGTAGCTCTCACCTGTTGCTGCGGCGTGCGGCGGTGGCCTGTCTGAGACAGCTGGCCCAGAGAGAGGCTGCAGAGGTCTGTGAGTACGCCATGAGTCTGGCCCGAAACAAGGACAGCAAGGACTCAACCACCGTCAGTAAGTAGTAGACCCTAACACTAGACCTAGACCAGGGATGGCCCTAACACTAGACCTAGACTAGGGATGGCCCTAACACTAGACCTAGACCAGGGATGGCCCTAACACTAGACCTAGACCAGGGATGGCCCTAACACTAGACCAGGGATGGCCTACAACACTAGACCTAGACCAGGGATGGCCCTAACACTAGACCTAGACCAGGGATGGCCCTAACACTAGACCTAGACCAGGGATGGCCCTAACACTAGACCTAGACCAGGGATGGCCCTAACACTAGACCTAGACCAGGGATGGCCCTAACACTAGACCTAGACCAGGGATGGCCCTAACACTAGACCTAGACCAGGGATGGCCCTAACACTAGACCTAGACCAGGGATGGCCCTAACACTAGACCTAGACCAGGGATGGCCCTAACACTAGACCAGGGATGGCCCTAACACTAGACTAGACCAGGGATGGCCCTAACACTAGACCAGGGATGGCCCTAACACTAGACCTAGACCAGGGATGGCCCTAACACTAGACCTAGACCAGGGATGGCCCTAACACTAGACCTAGACCAGGGATGGCCCCTAACACTAGACCAGACCAGGGATGGCCTAACACTAGACCAGGGATGGCCCTAACACTAGACCAGGGATGGCCCTAACACTAGACCAGGGATGGCCCTAACACTAGACCAGGGATGGCCCTAACACTAGACCTAGACCAGGGATGGCCCTAACACTAGACCAGGGATGGCCCTAACACTAGACCAGGGATGGCCCTAACACTAGACAGGGATGGCCCCCTAACACTAGACCTAGACCAGGGATGGCCCTAACACCTAGACCAGGGATGGCCCTAACACTAGCCCGAGACCAGGGATGGCCCTAACACTAGAACTAGACCAGGGCTGGCCCTAACACTAGACCTAGCAACAAGGGATGGCCCTAAACACTAGACAGAACAGGGATGGCCCTAAACACTAGACTAGACCAGGGATGGCCCTAACAACGAGAACTAGACCAGGGATGGCCCTCCTAACACTAGACCCTAGACCAGGGGATGGCCCTAACAATAGACCTAGGACCAGGGATGGCCCTAACATAGACCTAGACAGGGATGGCCCAACACTAGACAAGGATGGCCCTAACACTAGACCAGGGATGGCCCTAACACTAGACCATAGACCAGGGATGGCCCTAACACAGACCAGGGATGGCCCTCCTACCACTAGGACCTAGACCAGGGCTGGCCCTAACACTAGACTAGACCAGGGAGGCCCTTAAAATAGGACCAGGGATGGCCCCTAACAATAGGACCTTAGACCAGGGATGAGCCCTCCCAACACTAGACCTAGACCAGGGGATGGCCCAACCTTTAACACTATAGACCAGGGATGGCCCTAACACTAGACCAGGGATGCCCCCCTCCTAACACTAGAACAGGATGGCCTACAATAGTATAGACCTAGGACCAGGGATGGCCCTAACACTAGACAGGGAGGCCCTCATAACACAGACCTAGAGCCAGGGATGTGGCCATCCTCCTAACAATAGACCAGGAGGGTATGGCCCTAACCTCCTCCTAACCACTATAGACCAGGGATGGCCCTAATCCCCCTAACAATAGACCTAGACCAGGGAAGGGATGGACCTCCTAAACACTAGGACCTGAGGACCAGGGTAGATGGCCCTTCCTCCAAACTAGAACCAGGGGGGATTTGGGCACTAACACCTAGACACAGGGGGATGGCCCTAACACCGAGACTAGATAGAAAGCGGATGTGGAGAAAGAAGCGATAATATGGTACAGGGGGTTCCATATAGGGACTAGTCTTATAGGGGGGATGTGAAGAAGAGGTGCGGGGGACAGACGGAATGGAGGAAGGAAAAGAAAGGGGAGGAAAGGTGAAAAGGGTGAAAACGAGAGAGAGAGGGAGAGGAGAGAGAAAGAGAGAGAGAGAGAGGGAAGAGAGAGAGAGAGAGAGAGCGAGACGAGGAGAGAGAAAGCGATCTTGCTAGGAAAGGAGAGAGAGAGAGAGAGCGAGGCAGAGAGAGAGAGAGAGGAGAGAGAGAGAGCGAGAGAGAGAGAGAGAGAGGCGCAGCGCAGAGAGAGAGAGAGAGAGAGAAGAGAGAGAGAGAGATGAGAAGGAAGACGAAAGAAGAGAGGAGAGGGAGAAGAGAGAGAAAGAAGAGAAGAGAGAGAGAGAGAGAGAGCGAGAGGCAGGAGAGAGAGAGAGAGAGGAGAGAGAGAGAAAGAGAGGGAGAGAGAGAGAGAGAGCGAGAGAAGAGAAGAATCACGGGCAGAGAGAAAAGGAACGAGAGAGAGAGAGAGAGACAGTGGGAAAAGGGGAAGAGAGAAGGGAGAGAGAGAGAAAGAGAGAGAGAGAGAGAACGAGAGAGAGAGGGAGCGAGCATAAGAAAGAGAGGATGAAGAGAGTAGAGAGAGCAAGACGCAGAGAGAGAGAGAGGTGAGCAGATAGAGGGATGATGAGAGAGAGAAAAGGAGAGAGGGAGAGCATGATGAGAGGAGGGAGAGAGAGTGAAAGTCAGAGGAGCAGTAAGAAGAGAAGAGGGGAGAGAGCGAGGGGAGAGTAGAGAGAGAGAGAGAGAGAGAGAGAGAGAGAGAGAGAGGGAGAGGAGGAAAGAGAGAGAGAGGAAGGGGAAAAGGAAGAGAGAGACGGGAGGGAGGGGGAAAGGGGGAAAGGCGGCGGAGGGGGCACGGGGGGGAGGGGGGGCGGGGGGGGGGGGGGGGGCGGGGGGGGGGCGCGGGAGGAGGAGAGGGGGGGGGGGGGAGGAAAAAAGGGCCGGGGGGGGGGGAAAGGAGGGGGGAAAGGGGAGGGGGGAGGAAAAAGGGGGGGGGGGGGAAAGGGGGAGAGGAGAAAGGGGGGGGGAAAAACCCAAAGGGGGAGAAAAAGGGGGGGGGGGGGGAAAAGGAGAAAGGGGGGGGGGGAGGGGGGGGGGGGGGAGGGGAAAGGAAAGGAAAGAGAGAGAAGGGGGAAAGAAAAAAAGAAGAAAAGGAAAAAAGAGGGAAAGGGGGGAAAAGGGAAATGAAAAAAGAGAAAAGGGAAAGGGGGGAAAAAGGGGGAAGGAAAAAGGGAAGAAAGGGAAGAAGAGGGAAGAGAGAAAAAAAAAGGGGGGGGAAAAGGGAAAGAGGCCCAAAAAAAAAAAAAAAAAGGAGGGAAAGAAAGGAAGAAAAAGGGGAAAGGGGGGGAGGGGAAGAGAGGCAAAAGAGGAAGGGGGAAAAAAAAGAGAAAGAGAGAAAGGGGGGAGGGGGGAGAGGGAGAGGGGAAAAAGGGGGGGGGCCCCCCCGGGGGAAGGGGAAGCCCCGGGGCAAGGGGGGAAAAACCCCCCCCCGGGGGAAAAAGAGGGGGGGAAAGAAAAGGGAAAGAAGAGGGCAGAGGGGGAAGAAAAGGGAAGGGAACAAAGGAAAAAAAAAAGGAAAAGAAAAGAAAAAAAAGGGAAGGAAAAAGAAAAAGAAAAAAGGGAAGGGGAAAAAAAAAAGGGGGGAAAAAAGACCCAAAAAACAAATTGCCGGGAAAAAAGGAAAACCTTTTCCACAAAAAACCCCCCCTTTTAAAGGGGAAGGGCCCCCAAAAAAACCCCCCCAAAAAACCTAGAAAAACCCCAAAATTTTTTTTCCCCCCCCTTTTCCCCCCCAAATTTTTTTTCCCCCTCTCCTCTCTCCATCCCTCTTTCCCCCCTCTCCACTCCCTCTCTCTCCTCAGATTTGAACATAACAGAGACAGGTTTGGAGGGGGTTCTGTTTGGAATGCTGGACCGGGAGACTGACAGGAAGCTTTGTCACGACATCCATGACACTCTGGGCCACATGCTCTCCTCGCTCGCCGTGGACAAGCTCTCTCATTGGTTGAAGCTCTGCAAGGACGTCCTGGCTGCCACCACAGGTCACAGTCTGTGAAACTTGAATTAACTTAGTGTTTGGTGACGGGTGTAAATAAACATGTCTTTGATATATAAGTTATGCTCAGCTAAGTCACGACTAGGACTTGATGTGGAATGATCTGTTGATATATTTCCTTTGGCTGTTGGGCCATCTGTGTGATATATATATATAATTAGGCCACTAGCCATATGGGGCTTAGTATTGTCTTGTTGAATAATGCTGTATTTTTCTTCTAATCAAAAAGCAATGTTTTGAAATGGCCATTCTCCCTCCTTGTCTTAAAGGCCCAGTGCAGTCAAAACGTGATTTTCCTGTGTTTTATATTTCCACACTATGAGGGAATAATACTGTGAAATGGTATAAATGATGATAATTCCCTTTTAGTGTAAGAGCCTTTTGAAAAGACCGACTGAAATGTCAGCCTGTTTCGGTGGGATGGAGTTTCTGCCTTCCTGGTGACATCACCAGTAAATGAGTTAATAGACCAATAAGAAAGAGTTCCAAACCTCTCTGCCAATAACAGCTAGTTTTCCCCTCCCAACTCAAACCACTACCAGACTTGCTTGAGAAATTGCTCTTTGCTAAGAAGCTATTTGTGCTTATTTTTGACCATTTTAATATTAAACAATCACAGTAAGGTAAGGTACTTAGATGTTACCCAGAAATGATTTGATATTGAGACAAAAACAGCTGCATTGGGCCTTTAATGTGTGGTGTATGCCTGTATTTCGGTATGGGGACAGTTAAGTATTCATTCATTCCTGTCCAGAGGCTGGAGGTGGGGTGGTGGCACCGGTAGATCTGGGTAAAGAGGAGGACGACTCGGAGAAGCAGGATGAGATCGATGATGACATCATGTTTACGGCGCTGGGAGAGGATCATAACGGCAAGCCGTCCGTGGCGCCGCGCTGGGTGACCCGTGTCTTCGCCGCAGACTGTCTGTGTCGCATCATACTGCTGTGTGAGAACGCAGACAAGACCCACTTTGACCTGGCCGCCGCCCGCTCTGCTAAGGCCAAGAACCCTAAAGGTACGCACGCACACACACACACACACACACACACACACACACACACACACCACACACACACACACACACACACAAAGACAAGACCCACTTTGACCAGGCTGAAGCCCACTCTGCATGTTGTGGTATTGAAGAAGCCGTTTTGGTCTGCCTAGCTGTGGCGGTCTACTCCACCAGATAGAGAGCAGCGGTACTGATGAGGGAGAACCAAGGAGAACCGAGGAGAGCAGAGGGGGACATCATTATAATTCTCCCTGACAGAGAGAAAAGGGTTTAGTGTTTTAGTGTTTTACTGCTCCTAAACCAGAATCATTTAACAGTCAGAGAGACTGTCAGGAAACTAGCACCCCCGAGCTAAAGGAACAACCAATCAGGAATTACCCCATGTTTAGACCTACAGTAACAACCAATCAGGAGTTATCCAATGTTTGGAGCTACAGTAACAACCAATCAGGAGTTACCCATTTTTACATCTTACATTTTAGTCATTTAGCAGACGCTCTTATCCAGAGCGACTTACAGTTAGTGAGTGCATACATTTTCATACCCCATGTTTGGAACTACAGATTTTGTGCCCAAATGTGTTTCCATCCCTGTTAGTGAGCATTTCTCCTTTGCCAAATAATCCATCCACCTGACAGGTGTGGCATATCAAGAAGCTGATTAAACAGCATGATCATTACACAGGTGCACCTTGTGCTGGGGACAACAAAAGGCCACTCTAAAATGTGCAGTTTTGTCACACAACGCAATGCCACAGATGTCTCAAGTTTTGGCGTGCTGACTGCAGGAATGTCCACCAGAGCTGTTGCCAGATAATTGAACGTTCATAGGATGCCACCTTTCCAACAAGTCAGTTCGTGAAATCTCTGCCCTGCTAGAGCTTCCCCGGTCAACTGTAAGTGCTGTTATTGTGAAGTGGAAGCATCTAGGAACAACAACAGTTCAGCCGCGAAGTGATAGGCCACACAAGGTCACAGAACCAGACTGCCGAGTGCTGAACCGTGTAGCGCGTAAAAATCATCTGTCGTCAGTTGCAACACTCACTACTGAGTTCCAAACTGCTTCTGGAAGCAGCTGTTCATCAGGAGCTTCATGAAATGGGTTTCCATGGCCGAGCAGCCGCACACAAGCTTAAGATCAGCATGCTCAATGCCAAGCGTCGGCTGGAGTGGTGTAAAGCTCACCGCCATTGGACTCTGGAGCAGTGGAAACGCGTTCTCTGGAGTGATGAGTCACGCTTCACCATCTGGCAGTCCGACGGACGATTCTGGGTTTGGCGGACGCCAGGAGAACACTACCTGCCCCAAATGCATAGTGCCAACTGTAAAGTTTGGTGGAGGAGGAATAATGGTCTGGGGCAGTTTTGTATGGTTCGGCCTAGGCCATTTAGTTCCAGTGAAGGGAAATCTTAACGCTACAGCATACAATGACATTCTAGATAAAATAAATAATAATATACCATTTAGCAGACGCTTTTATCCAAAGCGACTTACAGTCATGCGTGCATACATTTTTACGTATGGGTGGTCCCGGGGATCGAACCCACTACCCTGGCGTTACAAGCGCCGCGCTCTACCAGCTGAGCTACAGAGGACCACCATGGTTCTGTGCTTCCAACTTTGTGGCAACAGTTTGGGGAAAGCCCTTTCCTGTTTCAGCATGACAATGTCCCCATGCACAAAGTGACGTCCATACAGAAATGGTTTGTCAACATCAGTGTGGAAGAACTTGACTGGCCTGCACAGAGCCCTGACCTCAACCCCATTGAACACTTTTGGGATGAATTGGAACGCCGACTGCGAGCCAGGCCTAATCGCCCAACATCAGTGCCCGACTTCACTAATGCTCTTGTGGCTTAATGGAAGCAAGTCCCTTCAGCAATGTTCCAACATCTAGTGGAAAGCCTTCCCAGAAGAGTGGAGGCTGTTATAGCAGCAAAGGGGGGACCAACTCCATATTAATGCCCATGATTTTGGAATGAGATGTTCGAGGAGCAGGTGTCCACATACTTTTGGTCATGTAGTGTATAGTGAATTAGTGAATTATTTAAAAAGGCATAAAACGTATTTGGTTGTAATGTTTTACATCAAGGGTAGTCAACCATCCTCCAGGAGAGCTAATGGGTGTGCAGGCTTTTATTCCAGCCCCCCCTCTAACAAACCACATTTTAGAAATGAGTTGCTCAACCGGACCTTGATAAAACTCTGATGTGTTTGAGCAGGGCTTGATCAAAAGCCTGCATACCCAGTATCTCTCCAGACTGACCACGTGGTGTTTTGGACAGCTGCCTAACAGGTATTCTACTTTACCAGGGTGGGGTGGTTGAGTGCCTTGCTCAACAACAGGAGATGGTACATGGTATCGGGGAGCAGCCTCCCAGTGTTGATGCCACATTACACTTTCTTTTTTTATACGTACAGAGACGCCGCGAATGATTGGTCATGGAAATTTGGTTAAAAGTCATTAAGAAGTCATGGAAAAGTCATGAAATTCTATTGAAAATATGTATGAGCACTGATCCATCCCTCCCTCCATGTGATCTGTTCCATCCATCCATCCCTCCCTCCCTCCATCCAGGTGATCTGTTGGTCCTCCACCTCTCTGACCTGATACGCATGGCCTTCATGGCGGCTACAGACAACAGTAACCAGTTGAGGATGGCTGGTCTTCAGGCCCTGGAAGACATTATCAAGAAGTTTGCCTCTGTTCCGGAGCCAGAGTTCCCGGGTCACGTGATCCTGGAGCAGTACCAGGCTAATGTGAGTCTATCGACACAGACCATCAGTGAAGAGATGTCCTCAAGGTAATCTATGTATTGTATTTATATTTAACTCTGGAAACCTTATTCTTATGTTCCTCAGGTTGGCGCTGCTCTTAGACCAGCGTTCTCCCCAGATACACCTTCTGACATCACAGCTAAGGCGTGCCAGGTGAGAGTCCTGTAGTCTCCACATAATATAATAATAATATGCCATTTAGCAGACGCTTTTATCCAAAGCGACTTACAGTCATGTGTGCATACATTTGTACGTATGGGTGGGTCCCGGGGGATCGAACCCACTACCCTGGCGTTACAAGCGCCGTGCTCTACCAATTGAGCTACAGAGGACCACATGACCACGAATAGCCTACACACTTTGGAAATCTTACTCACCGAAGTTCTACATTTTACATTTTAGTCATTTTAGCAGACGTTCTTATCCAGAGCGACTTACAGGAGCAATTAGGGTTAAGTGCCTCGCTCAAGGGTACATCGACAGATTTTTCACCTAGTCGGCTCGGGGGATTAGAACCAGCGACCTTTCGGTTACTGGCACAACGCTCTTAACCACTAAGCTACCTGCCGCCCCAATAATAACATAATTGTGAGAGCTCGGTGAGTAGGTTTTAGGGGTGTGAAGGTTGAAATGTTTAAATGAAATTGGGATTGTTAACATTAACAAAAAATCCCTAACCTAAAAACGATTTATTTTTTCCACACCCAAAAAAATCACAGTGCAGTTTTCCCAAAACAGTCCCCGGTCATCATCATGAAGGTAAAAATAAAAAATAAACAAATGTCTAACGCAACAATGTGGCAACGTTAGTAGGAGAAGAGTGGGCGGCAGGTAGCTTAGTGGGTAAGAGCGTTGTGCCAGTAATTGAAAGGTCGCTGGTTCTAATCCCCGAGCCGACTAGGTGAAAAATCTGTCGATGTTCCCCTAGAGCGTCTGCAAAATGTAAAATGTAAGCATAGCAGTATATATGATACAATGATCTCTCTCTCTCCTTGGGAAACGCGATGTCATCTGCATTGTGAATTCACATGGAATTTAATGCATTTTTCTTATTGTTTTAACGGAAAACCGATTTAAAAATAAAATAAAAAATTTAATGGCAGTTTAAACTATTTTTTTCCATTTGTGTCGGACGGGCTCGATTCGGTCTTATGTAGCAATATTTTAAATTGTGTTTTTTACATTGGATAAAAGTAGAGACTCAGAGATACAAAATGGTATGTCATACACTATAGTTGAGGAACAATTGGAAAGTAATTCTGCTTTTGAAAGTTGATAAACTTGTAACCTCACTTTTGAGTAAATGGCCCTTGAATGTTTTGGTACCTACTGGAGAGCTCTTCTTTGTCTACGTCCATTCAGCATAGTTCACACCCTCTTAAGCTTTAGCCCCACCCATCTCTTTAAGGATTCACATGTGAGGCCATGTACTAAACAACCTAAGATCTCAAGACTAAAGGCTGGTTTATACTACGGGTGTGTTCGTGAATTTAATCTGAAGTGCCAGAGTGCGCTCTGGGCGTTTGTAAACTCAGAGCGTTGTCAGATTGTCCGTTCTGAAATTCAGAGCGTTTCGCTCTCGGAGCGTTCAGAGCGCACACTGGACGTTCTGGCCGAGGAGGTGGTGACTGCAACTGTGCTGCTGGCAACTACTTAATTACGCTTTTTCGCCAACGTTTACTGACACCGGCCATATTCAACGGGTGTTGAGCGTTCGTCAATTTGTCAGTTATTCTGCGCTCTGGTACACTCAGACGAGAGTGTTCTGAAATCGGAGTAGATAACCAGAGCGAATTTACCAGCTACGTCTATCAACAGTTGTCAACATTGAAATGGTTACTTGCATAGTGGAGTCTTGTTAAGACATGTAGCTAGCTAGCTAAACAATGAACCATAATCCCAACTCATTATGTTACTACCCTGCATGAATCTGCAGGTAGCTAACCAACCAGGTTCAGTGTTAGCTAGCTAACATTAGGCTATAACTAGCAATGCAAATGGCTCTGAGATACTAATAATATTACCACACAGATCATACACGTAACGTTAGCTAGCGAGCCAGCCAGCTAACGTTAGCTAGCTAGCTAACAGTACACTTTAACTTAAAATGAAAATGACTTGCTGACAAAATTAGAAACGTATAATATCTAGCTAGACTCTCTTACCCGTATACATGGATGGACGCTTCTCCCTCTCTGTCACGGATGCCATGGTTGCCCTTAGTTTGAAGATGTAATCCAGAGACAGGTGTTTTATACAACAGCCTTCTGTGTGTTCTCTTTTTGACTCCCTCTGCATATTTGCAATCAAACGGCAGAATTTTCTCCGTCTCCTTAGCTATCATACTCTAATTCCACTGATTTCAAAAAGAAAATATATTCCAAAAAAGCGCGTTAGAAAGGATTACCTACACATACTGACCAGCTCATGTTATAGACAGAAGCATGCTACATGGCAGACCAATCCGAACTCCTCTCTCGGCATGTCCAGCCCACTCATTATCTCAGCCAATCATGGCTAGCGGGAAGGTTGCTGTCTTTTTCTGTGGCTAAACCAATTTGGCTTGTAATTTAACAATTGTATTCATATTTACAGATGGCATACAAGTTTGTTATTAAGGCACATGAAAGTCCTTCAAATGGCTCTCCTGTGAAATAGTGACCCGCGACATACGCCTAGTTTCTTGAAACGATTCACATTTGTCACATCCCTACTAGGATTTGCAATGGGCCAGTCATCACACATGACCACTCGGACCAGATCAGCATATGCCCCCCCCCCCCTGGTTCCAAGCATTGATTTTAGATCACATAGCTCCGTTCTACTCAGTAGGTAACGATGTGTCCTACATGGTCGCTGTATGCAGTGAGGCTGCTGTAGTGTATCGGATGCAGCAGACTCAGTCTCAGCTAATCCCCAGTACTGCAGAGCTCTGAGTCATCATGTCTCTGTGTGTAGTGGAGGTTTAGAGACCTGTGTACCAGTGTATGGATAGACAGATAGACAGATAGACGGACGGACGGACAGACAGAAACTTCTGCTTTCTAACTGATGTGGAGGCCGAGGCAGTAAGCCTACCTGTCAGATACACTGTTGACACTCCTCACACGGAGGGCTCTTTATGTCTCACTCTGACAATCACAATATCTCTATCTATTACTCTCTCTCTCTCTCTCTCTCTCTCTCTCTCTCTCTCTCTCTCCCTGTCTCTCTCTATCTCTCTCTCTCTCTCTCTCTCTCTCTCTCTCTGTCTCTCTCTCTCTCTCTCTCTCTCTCTCTCTCTCTCTCTCTCTCTCTCTCTCTCTCGCTCTCTCTCTCGCTCTCTCTCTGCTTCGTCCCTGCTCTCTCTCTCTCTTTGCTTCGTTCCTGTCTCTCGCTCTCTCTCTCTCTCTCTCTCTGCTTCGTCCCTGCTCTCTCTCTCTCTCTGCTTCGTCCCTGTCTCTCTCTCTCTGCTTCGTCCCTGTCTCTCTCTCTGCTTCGTCCCTGTCTCTCTCTCTCTGCTTCGTCCCTGTCTCTCTCTCTCTGCTTCGTCCCTGTCTCTCTCTCTCTCTCTTTGCTTCGTCCCTGTCTCTCTCTCTCTCTTTGCTTCGTCCCTGTCTCTCTCTCTCTCTCTGCTTCGTCCCTGTCTCTCTCTCTCTCTGCTTCGTCCCTGTCTCTCTCTCTGCTTCGTCCCTGTATCTCTCTCTCTCTGCTTCGTCCCTGTCTCTCTCTCTCTTTGCTTCGTCCCTGTCTCTCTCTCTCTCTCTGCTTCGTCCCTGTCTCTCTCTCTCTCTCTGCTTCGTCCCTGTCTCTCTCTCTCTTTGCTTCGTCCCTGTCTCTCTCTCTCTCTCTCTCTCGCTCTCTCTCTCTCTCTGCTTCGTCCCTGTCTCTCTCCCTCTCTCTCTCTCTCTCTCTCTGCTTCGTCCCTGTCTCTCTCTCTCTCTGCTTCGTCCCTGTCTCTCTCTCTCTTTGCTTCGTCCCTGTCTCTCTCTCTCTTTGCTTCGTCCCTGTCTCTCTCTCTCTCTGCTTCGTCCCTGTCTCTCTCTCTCTCTTTGCTTCGTCCCTGTCTCTCTCTCTCTTTGCTTCGTCCCTGTCTCTCTCTCTCTCTTTGCTTCGTCCCTGTCTCTCTCCCTCTCTCTGCTTCGTCCCTGTCTCTCTCTCTCTCTCTCTCTGCTTCATCCCTGTCTCTCTCTCTCTCTCTCTACTTCGTCCCTGTCTCTCTCTCTCTCTCTATGCTTCGTCCCTGTCTCTCTCTCTCTCTTTGCTTCGTCCCTGTCTCTCTCTCTCTCTCTGCTTCGTCCCTGTCTCTCTCTCTCTTTGCTTTGTCCCTGTCTCTCTCTCTCTCTCTGCTTCGTCCCTGTCTCTCTCTCTCTCTCTGCTTCGTCCCTGTCTCTCTCTCTCTCTCTCTGCTTCGTCCCTGTCTCTCTATCTCTCTGCTTCGTCCCTGTCTCTCTATCTCTCTGCTTCGTCCCTGTCTCTCTCTCTCTCTCTCTCTGCTTCGTCCCTGTCTCTCTCTCTCTCTCTGCTTCGTCCGTCTCTCTCTCTCTGCTTCGTCCCTGTCTCTCTCTCTCTCTCTCTCTCTGCTTCGTCCCTGTCTCTCTCTCTCTCTTTGCTTCGTCCCTGTCTCTCTCTCTCTTTGCTTCGTCCCTGTCTCTCTCTCTTTGGCTCTCTCTCATGATATCTTTTCCTCTCTCTTTTCCTCGTCTCTCTCTCGCTCTCTGCATTTTCCCTTTTTTCTATTTTGTTCTTCTCAGGAACAAACTGATCCCTGTTGTCTTCTACCAGCCAATAGTTTCTCTCCAATTCCCTTCTTGTCTGTGTGTCCTTCCATCTGTCCTCTAGGTGTGCAGTACGTGGATCGGTAGTGGGGTGGTCAGTGACCTGAACGACCTTCGTCGCGTCCACAACCTCCTGGTGTCCTCGCTGGACAAGGTGCAGGCTGGGAAGGGTTCCTCTAGTCAGCTGTACAGTGAGAGTGCTACCACCATGGAGAAGCTGGCTGTACTGAAGGCCTGGGCTGAGGTGAGATGGCTTGAATATGTTGGAAATATACCGGTCAGTTTCACCACAGTATTAAAACACTGATAACATTATATTTATTGTAGTGTTCTATTTCATTCCTTGCTCCTCACTTTGAGGTCTATATCTCTCAGAAGGGTTGTAACGGTTCCTCGGTTCGGTCCAAACTGTGAACCCGAAGGGTTGTAACGGTGCCTCGGTTCGGTCCAAACTGTGAACCCGAAGGGTTGTAACGGTTCCTCGGTTCGGTCCAAACTGTGAACCCGAAGGGTTGTAACGGTTCCTCGGTTCGGTCCAAACTGTGAACCCGAAGAGTTGTAACGGTTCCTCGGTTCGGTCCGCACTGTGAACCCGAAGGGTTGTAACGGTACCGTTCGTTACGGGGACCTCGGTTCGGTCCGCACTGTGAACCCAAATGAATACATAACAAAAATATATACAAAATCAAAACACTAGGCCTATAGACTAGACTGTGATGTAGACCTGTAACACTATAGACTAGGCTGTAGACCTGTAACACTATAGACTAGGCTGTAGACCTGTAACACTATAGACTAGGCTGTAGACCTGTAACACTATAGACTAGGCTGTAGACCTGTAACACTATAGACTAGGCTGTAGACCTGTACACTATAGACTAGGCTGTAGACCTGTAACACTATAGACTAGGCTGTAGACCTGTAACACTATAGACTAGGCTGTAGACCTTGTAACACTATAGACTAGGCTGTAGACCTGTAACACTAATAGCGCTTAGTGCTGTAGACCTGTAACACTATAGACTAGGCTGTAGACCTGTAACACTATAGACTAGGCTGGTAGACCTGTACACTATAGACTAGGCTGTAGACCTGTAAACCTATAGACTATGCTGTAGACCTGTAACACTATGACTAGGACTGTAGACCTGTAACACTATAGACAGGCTGTAGACCTGTAACACTATAGACTAGGCTGTAGACCTGTAACACTATAGACTAGGCTGTAGACCTGTAACAACTATAGACTAGGGCTGTAGACCTTAACCTATAGACTAGGCTGTAGACCTGTAACACTATAGACTAGGCTGTAGACCTGTAACACTATAGACTAGGCTGTATACCTTTAACACTATAGACTAGGCTGTAACCTGTAACACTATAGACTAGGCTGTAGACCTGTAACACTATAGACTAGGCTGTAGACCTGTAACACTATAGACTAGGCTGTAGACCTGTAACACTATAGACTAGGCTGTAGACCTGTAACACTATAGACTAGGCTGTAGACCTGTAACACTATAGACTAGGCTGTAGACCTGTAACACTATAGACTAGGCTGTAGACCTGTAACACTATAGACTAGGCTGTGCTGTAGACCTGTAACACTATAGACTAGGCTGTAGACCTGTAACACTATAGACTAGGCTGTAGACCTGTAACACTATAGACTAGCGTGTGACCTGTAACACTATAGACTAGGCTGTATACCTGTAACACTATAGACTAGCTGTAGACCTTGTAACACTATAGACTAGGCTGTAGACCTGTAACACTATAGACTAGGCTGTAGACCTGTAACACTATAGACTAGGCTGTAGACCTGTAACACTATAGACTAGGCTGTAGACCTGTAACACTATAGACTAGCTGTGCTGTAGACCTGTAACACTATAGACTAGCTGTAGACTTAACCTATAGACTAGCTGTAGACCTGTAACACTATAGACTATGCTGTGCTGTATACCTGTAACACTATAGACTATGCTGTATACCTGTAACACTATAGACTAGGCTGTAGACCTGTAACACTATAGACTAGGCTGTAGACCTGTAACACTATAGACTAGGCTGTAGACCTGTAACACTATAGACTAGGCTGTGCTGTAGACCTGTAACACTATAGACTAGGCTGTAGACCTGTAAACACTATAGACTAGGCTGTAGACCTGTAACACTATAGACTAGGCTGTGATGTAGACCTGTAACACTATAGACTAGGATGTAGACCTGTAACACTATAGACTAGGTTGTAGACCTGTAACACTATAGACTAGGCTGTAGACCTGTAACACTATAGACTAGGCTGTAGACCTGTAACACTATAGACTAGGCTGTGCTGTAGACCTGTAACACTATAGACTAGGCTGTGCTGTAGACCTGTAACACTATAGACTAGGCTGTAGACCTGTAACACTATGAGACTGGGCTGTAGACCTGTAACACTATAGACTAGGCTGTAGACCTGTAACACTATAGACTAGGCTGTAGACCTGTAACACTATAGACTAGGCTGTAGACCTGTAACACTATAGACTAGGCTGTAGACCTGTAACACTATAGACTTGGCTGTGATGTAGACCTGTAACACTATAGACTAGGCTGTAGACCTGTAACACTATAGACTACGCTGTAGACCTGTAACACTATAGACTAGGCTGTAGACCTGTACCACTATAGACTAGGCTGTAGACCTGTAACACTATAGACTAGGCTGTAGATCTGTAACACTATAGACTAGGCTGTAGACCTGTAACACTATAGACTAGGCTGTAGACCTGTACCACTATAGACTAGGCTGTAGACCTGTACCACTATAGACTAGGCTGTAGACCTGTAACACTATAGACTAGGCTGTAGACCTGTAACACTATAGACTAGGCTGTAGACCTGTAACACTATAGACTAGGCTTAAAGACCTATAGACTAGGCTGTAGACCTGTAACACTATAGACTAGGCTGTAGACCTGTAACACTATAGACTAGGCTGTAGACCTGTAACACTATATACTAGGCTGTAGACATGTAACACTATAGACTAGGCTGTAGACCTGTAACACTATAGACTGGGCTGTGCTGTAGACCTGTAACACTATAGACTAGGCTGTAGACCTGTAACACTATAGACTAGGCTGTAGACCTGTAACACTATAGACTAGGCTGTAGACCTGTAACACTATAGACTAGGCTGTAGACCTGTAACACTATAGACTAGGCTGTAGACCTGTAACACTATAGACTAGGCTGTAGACCTGTAACACTATAGACTAGGCTGTAGACCTGTAACACTATAGACTAGGCTCTGATGTAGACCTGTAACACTATAGACTACGCTGTAGACCTGTAACACTATAGACTAGGCTGTGCTGTAGACCTGTAACACTATAGACTAGGCTGTGCTGTAGACCTGTAACACTATAGACTAGGCTGTAGACCTGTAACACTATAGACTAGGCTGTGCTGTAGACCTGTAACACTATAGACTAGGCTGTAGACCTGTAACACTATAGACTAGGCTGTAGACCTGTAACACTATAGACTAGGCTGTGCTGTAGACCTGTAACACTATAGACTAGGCTGTGCTGTAGACCTGTAACACTATAGACTAGGCTGTAGACCTGTAACACTATAGACTAGGCTGTAGACCTGTAACAATATAGACTAGGGCTGTAGTCCTGTAACACTATAGACTAGGCGTGTAGACCTGTAACACTATAGACTAGGCTGTAGACCTGTAACACATAGACTAGGCTGTAGACCTGTAACACTATAGACTAGGCTGTGCTGTAGACCTGTAACACTATAGACTAGGCTGTAGACCTGTAACACTATAGACTAGGCTGTAGACCTGTAACACTATAGACTAGGCTGTAGACCTGTAACACTATAGACTAGGCTGTAGACCCTGTTAACACTATAGACTAGGCTGTAGACCCTGTCACACTATAGACTAGGCTGTGCTGTAGATCCTGTAACACTATAGACTAGCTGTGCTGTGATAGACCTGTAAAACACTATAGACTAGGCTTTGCTGTAGACCTGTAACACTATATGACTAGGCTGTAGACCTGTAAACACTCAGAGACTAGGCTGTAGACCATGTAACACTATAGACTTAGGCTGTAGACATGTAACACTATAGACTAGGGCTGTAGGACCTGTAAACACTATAGACTAGGCTGTAGGACCTGTCAACCACTATAGACTAGGCTGTGAGACCTGTACCACTATAGACGTCGGCTGGTGAGACCTGTAACACTATAGAACAGGCTGTGCGGTAGACCGGTAAACACTATAGACTAGGCTGTGCTGTAGACCTGTAACAAATAGACTAGACGGTAGACCTGTAAACACGATTAGACTAGGCTGTAGACCTGTAACACTATATAGACAGGCTGTAGACCTGTAACACCCTATAGACTAGGGTGCTGTATAGACCTGTTAACACTAGAGACTGGCTGTGCTGTAGACCCTGTAACACTATAGACTAGGCTGTGCTGTAGACCTGTAACACTATAGACTAGGCTGTAGACCTGTAACACTATAGACTAGGCTGTAGACCTGTAACAATATAGACTAGGCTGTAGTCCTGTAACACTATAGACTAGGCTGTAGACCTGTAACACTATAGACTAGGCTGTAGACCTGTAACACTATAGACTAGGCTGTAGACCTGTAACACTATAGACTAGGCTGTAGACCTGTAACACTATAGACTAGGCTGTAGACCTGTAACACTATAGACTAGGCTGTAGACCTGTAACACTATAGACTAGGCTGTAGACCTGTAACACTATAGACTAGGCTGTAGACCTGTAACACTATAGACTAGGCTGTAGACCTGTAACACTATAGACTAGGCTGTGCTGTAGACCTGTAACACTATAGACTAGGCTGTGCTGTAGACCTGTAACACTATAGACTAGGCTGTAGACCTGTAACACTATAGACTAGGCTGTAGACCTGTAACAAATAGACTAGGCTGTAGTCTGTAACACTATAGACTAGGCTGTAGACCTGTAACACTATAGACTAGGCTGTAGACCTGTAACACTATAGACTAGGCTGTAGACCTGTAAACTATAGACTAGGCTGTAGACCTGTAACACCTATAGACTAGGCTGTAGACCTGTAACACTATAGACTAGGCTGTAGACCTGTTAACACTATAGACTAGGCTGTAGACCTGTAACACTATAGACTAGGCTGTAGACCTGTAAACAATATAGACTAGGCTTGTAGTCCTGTAACACTATAGACTAGGCTGTAGACCTGTAACACTATAGACTAGGCTGTAGACCTGTAAACACTATAGACTAGGCTGTTAGACCTGTAAACACTATAGACTAGGCTGTAGACCTGTAACACTATAGACTAGGCTGTAGACCTGTAACACTATAGACTAGGCTGTAGACCTGTAACACTATAGACTAGGCTGTAGACCTGTAACAATATAGACTAGGCTGTAGTCCTGTAACACTATAGACTAGGCTTGTAGACCTGTAACACTATAGACTAGGCTGTAGACCTGTAACACTATAGACTAGGCTGTAGAACCTGTAACATATAGACTAGGCTGTAGGACCTGTAACAACTATTAGGACTAGGCTGGTAGACCTGTAACACTATAGACTAGGCTGTAGACCGTAACTACACTATAGACTAGGCTGTGCTGTAGACCTGTAACACTATAGACTGTCTCTCTGTCTCTGTCTCTCTCTGTCTCTCTCTCTCTCTCTAACTCTTTTCTTCTCCCCCCCCCCCCCCCCCCGTCTTTCAGGTGTATGTGGTGGCCATGAAGATAAAGAAGGAAGCAGAGTCTCGTCCGGTGAAGGAGGTGAAGGCAGGAGGAGAGGAGGAAGAGGAGGAGGAGGAGGTGGGAGCGGACATTCTTCCTCCTGATAGCCTGATTATGCTGGTGCAGCCTGAACTGCCGTCTCTGTCTCGGCTGTGGTTGGCTGTCCTCAGAGACTATGCTCTACTGACACTGCCTGCAGAGTTCTCCAGCCAACTGCCACCTGACGGTACACTACACCCTGCTCAACACTGTGGCCTCCTGACGGTACACTACACCCTACTCAACACTGTGGCCAACTGCCACCTGACTGCACACTACACCCTACTCAACACTGTGGCCAACTGCCACCTGACGGTACACTACACCCTACTCAACACTGTGGCCTCCTGACGGTACACTACACCCTACTCAACACTATGGCCTCCTGACGGTACACTACACCCTACTCAACACTATGGCCTCCTGACGGTACACTACACCCTACTCAACACTATGGCCTCCTGACGGTACACTACACCCTACTCAACACTATGGCCTCCTGACGGTACACTACACCCTACTCAACACTATGGCCTCCTGACGGTACACTACACCCTACTCAACACTGTGGCCTCCTGACGGTACACTACACCCTACTCAACACTGTGGCCAACTGCCACCTGACGGTACACTACACCCTACTCAACACTGTGGCCTCCTGACGGTACACTACACCCTACTCAACACTATGGCCTCCTGACGGTACACTACACCCTACTCAACACTATGGCCTCCTGACGGTACACTACACCCTACTCAACACTGTGGCCTCCTGACGGTACACTACACCCTACTCAACACTATGGCCTCCTGACGGTACACTACACCCTACTCAACACTGTGGCCTCCTGACGGTACACTACACCCTACTCAACACTATGGCCTCCTGACGGTACACTACACCCTACTCAACACTGTGGCCTCCTGACGGTACACTACACCCTACTCAACACTATGGCCTCCTGACGGTACACTACACCCTACTCAACACTGTGGCCACCTGACGGTACACTACACCCTACTCAACACTGTCGCCAACTGCCACCTGACGGTACACTACACCCTACTCAACACTGTGGCCTCCTGACGGTACACTACACCCTACTCAACACTTTGGCCACCTGACGGTACACTACACCCTACACAACACTGTGGCCTCCTGACGGTACACTACACCCTACTCAACACTGTGGCCTCCTGACGGTACACTACACCCTACTCAACACTGTGGCCTCCTGACGGTACACTACACCCTACTCAACACTGTGGCCTCCTGACGGTACACTACACCCTACTCAACACTGTGGCCTCCTGACGGTACACTACACCCTACTCAACACTGTGGCCTCCTGACGGTACACTACACCCTACTCAACACTGTCGCCAACTGCCACCTGACGGTACACTACACCCTACTCAACACTGTGGCCTCATGACGGTACACTACACCCTACTCAACACTTTGGCCACCTGACGGTACACTACACCCTACACAACACTGTGGCCTCCTGACGGTACACTACACCCTACTCAACACTGTGGCCAACTGCCACCTGACGGTACACTACACCCTACTCAACACTGTGGCCAACTGCCACCTGACGGTACACTACACCCTACTCAACACTGTGGCCTCCTGACGGTACACTACACCCTACTCAACACTGTGGCCACCTGACGGTACACTACACCCTACACAACACTGTGGCCACCTGACGGTACACTACACCCTACTCAACACTGTGGCCAACTGCCTCCTGACGGTACACTACACCCTACTCAACACTGTGGCCTCCTGACGGTACACTACACCCTACACAACACTGTGGCCTCCTGACGGTACACTACACCCTACTCAACACTGTGGCCTCCTGACGGTACACTACACCCTACTCAACACTGTGGCCACCTGACGGTACACTACACCCTACACAACACTGTGGCCTCCTGACGGTACACTACACCCTACTCAACACTGTGGCCTCCTGACGGTACACTACACCCTACTCAACACTGTGGCCACCTGACGGTACACTACACCCTACTCAACACTGTGGCCACCTGACGGTACACTACACCCTACTCAACACTGTGGCCTCCTGACGGTACACTACACCCTACTCAACACTGTGGCCAACTGCCACCTGACGGTACACTACACCCTACTCAACACTGTGGCCACCTGACGGGACACTACACCCTACTCAACACTGTGGCCTCCTGACGGTAAGCTACACCCTACTCAACACTGTGGCCACCTGACGGGACACTACACCCTACTCAACACTGTGGCCTCCTGACGGTACACTACACCCTACTCAACACTGTGGCCAACTGCCACCTGACGGTACACTACACCCTACTCAACACTGTGGCCACCTGACGGTACACTACACCCTACTCAACACTGTGGCCTCCTGACGGTACACTACACCCTACTCAACACTGTGGCCTCCTGACGGTACACTACACCCTACTCAAACACTGTGGCCACCTGACTGCACACTACACCCTACTCAACACTGTGGCCACCTGACGGTACACTACACCCTACTCAACACTGTGGCCTCCTGACGGTACACTACACCCTACTCAACACTGTGGCCTCCTGACGGTACACTACACCCTACTCAACACTGTGGCCACCTGACGGCACACTACACCCTACTCAACACTGTGGCCAACTGCCACCTGACGGTACACTACACCCTACTCAACACTGTGGCCAACTGCCACCTGACGGGACACTACACCCTACTCAACACTGTGGCCACCTGACGGTACACTACACCCTACTCAACACTGTGGCCTCCTGACGGTACACTACACCCTACTCAACACTGTGGCCACCTGACGGTACACTACACCCTACTCAACACTGTGGCCACCTGACGCTACACTACACCCTACTCAACACTGTGGCCACCTGACTGCACACTACACCCTACTCAACACTGTGGCCACCTGACGGTACACTACACCCTACTCAACACTGTGGCCTCCTGACGGTACACTACACCCTACTCAACACTGTGGCCTCCTGACGGTACACTACACCCTACTCAACACTGTGGCCACCTGACGGCACACTACACCCTACTCAACACTGTGGCCAACTGCCACCTGACGGTACACTACACCCTACTCAACACTGTGGCCAACTGCCACCTGACGGGACACTACACCCTACTCAACACTGTGGCCACCTGACGGTACACTACACCCTACTCAACACTGTGGCCTCCTGACGGTACACTACACCCTACTCAACACTGTGGCCACCTGACGGTACACTACACCCTACTCAACACTGTGGCCACCTGACGCTACACTACACCCTACTCAACACTGTGGCCACCTGACTGCACACTACACCCTACTCAAACACTGTGGCCACCTGACGGTACACTACACCCTACTCAACACTGTGGCCTCCTGACGGTACACTACACCCTACTCAACACTGTGGCCTCCTGACGGTACACTACACCCTACTCAACACTGTGGCCTCCTGACGGTACACTACACCCTACTCAACACTGTGGCCACCTGACGGCACACTACACCCTACTCAACACTGTGGCCAACTGCCACCTGACGGTACACTACACCCTACTCAACACTGTGGCCAACTGCCACCTGACGGGACACTACACCCTACTCAACACTGTGGCCACCTGACGGTACACTACACCCTACTCAACACTGTGGCCTCCTGACGGTACACTACACCCTACTCAACACTGTGGCCACCTGACGGTACACTACACCCTACTCAACACTGTGGCCACCTGACGCTACACTACACCCTACTCAACACTGTGGCCACCTGACTGCACACTACACCCTACTCAACACTGTGGCCACCTGACGGTACACTACACCCTACTCAACACTGTGGCCTCCTGACGGTACACTACACCCTACTCAACACTGTGCCACCTGACGCTACACTACACCCTACTCAACACTGTGGCCACCTGACGCTACACTACACCCTACTCAACACTGTGGCCTCCTGACGGGACACTACACCCTACTCAACACTGTGGCCTCCTGACGGGACACTACACCCTACTCAACACTGTGGCCAACTGCCTCCTGACGGTACACTACACCCTACTCAACACTGTGGCCTCCTGACGGTACACTACACCCTACTCAACACTGTGGCCTCCTGACGGTACACTACACCCTACTCAACACTGTGGCCACCTGACGGTACACTACACCTTACTCAACACTGTGGCCACCTGACGGTACACTACACCCTACTCAACACTGTGGCCACCTGACGGTACACTACACCCTACTCAACACTGTGGCCTCCTGACGGTAAGCTACACCCTACTCAACACTGTGGCCACCTGACGGTACACTACACCCTACTCAACACTGTGGCCACCTGACGGTACACTACACCCTACTCAACACTGTGGCCAACTGCCACCTGACGGGACACTACACCCTACTCAACACTGTGGCCACCTGACGGTACACTACACCCTACTCAACACTGTGGCCTCCTGACGGTACACTACACCCTACTCAACACTGTGGCCACCTGACGGTACACTACACCCTACTCAACACTGTGGCCACCTGACGCTACACTACACCCTACTCAACACTGTGGCCTCCTGACGGTACACTACACCCTACTCAACACTGTGGCCACCTGACGGTACACTACACCCTACTCAACACTGTGGCCACCTGACGGTAAACTACACCCTACTCAACACTGTGGCCACCTGCCACCTGACGGTACACTACACCCTACTCAACACTGTGGCCTCCTGACGGTAAGCTACACCCTACTCAACACTGTGGCCACCTGACGGTACACTACACCCTACTCAACACTGTGGCCACCTGACGGTACACTACACCCTACTCAACACTGTGGCCTCCTGACGGGACACTACACCCTACTCAACACTCTGGCCTCCTGACGGGACACTACACCCTACTCAACACTGTGGCCTCCTGACGGGACACTACACCCTACTCAACACTGTGGCCACCTGACGGTACACTACACCCTACTCAACACTGTGGCCTCCTGACGGTACACTACACCCTGCTCAACACTGTGGCCACCTGACGGTACACTACACCCTACTCAACACTGTGGCCTCCTGACGGGACACTACACCCTACTCAACACTGTGGCCACCTGACGGTACACTACACCCTACTCAACACTGTGGCCTCCTGACGGTACACTACACCCTACTCAACACTGTGGCCACCTGACGGTACACTACACCCTACTCAACACTGTGGCCACCTGACGGTGCACTACACCCTACTCAACACTGTGGCCACCTGCCACCTGATGGTACACTACACCCTACTCAACACTGTGGCCACCTGACGGTATACTACACCCTACTCAACACTGTGGCCACCTGCCACCTGACGGTACACTACACCCTACTCAACACTGTGGCCTCCTGACGGTACACTACACCCTACTCAACACTGTGGCCACCTGACGGTACACTACACCCTACTCAACACTGTGGCCACCTGACGGTACACTACACCCTACTCAACACTGTGGCCACCTGACGGTACACTACACCCTACTCAACACTGTGGCCTCCTGACGGTACACTACACCCTACTCAACACTGTGACCACCTGACGGTACACTACACCCTACTCAACACTGTGACCACCTGACGGTACACTACACCCTACTCAACACTGTGGCCTCCTGACGGTACACTACACCCTACTCAACACTGTGGCCTCCTGACGGTACACTACACCCTACTCAACACTGTGGCCACCTGACGGTACACTACACCCTACTCAACACTGTGGCCTCCTGACGGTACACTACACCCTACTCAACACTGTGGCCTCCTGACGGTACACTACACCCTACTCAACACTGTGGCCTCCTGACGATACACTACACCCTACTCAACACTGTGGCCTCCTGACGGTACACTACACCCTACTCAACACTGTGGCCTCCTGACGGTACACTACACCCTACTCAACACTGTGGCCTCCTGACGGTACACTACACCCTACTCAACACTGTGGCCACCTGACGGTACACTACACCCTACTCAACACTGTGGCCACCTGACGGTAAACTACACCCTACTCAACACTGTGGCCACCTGCCACCTGACGGTACACTACACCCTACTCAACACTGTGGCCTCCTGACGGTAAGCTACACCCTACTCAACACTGTGGCCACCTGACGGTACACTACACCCTACTCAACACTGTGGCCACCTGACGGTACACTACACCCTACTCAACACTGTGGCCTCCTGACGGGACACTACACCCTACTCAACACTCTGGCCTCCTGACGGGACACTACACCCTAATCAACACTGTGGCCTCCTGCTGATACACTACACCCTACTCAACACTGGCTAGTCTTAAGCCACAGATGAAGCCTAGTCTTGGACTAAACAGCCCTTTAAATAGAGAATCTCTCCAATGAACATGATTTCTAGACTTGGTTAATCTGTTTCCGGGAAACAGGCCCTAAAACTTGTTCATGATGTTCATGTGACAGCTTGGGTGCTAATCCACTACTGTCTCATCTCCAAGGCTGTTTTCCTGCTGTGTGTGTCCAGGTGGTGCATTCTACACCCCAGAGACCATTGACACAGCTCGTCTCCACTACCGTGGCTCCTGGGCCCCTGTCCTCCACGCTGTGGCCCTCTGGCTGAGCAGCACCAGCTTCGGGGAAGAGGAGGCCCCTGCTCCCCACCCACAGGCCCCTGGGGCCCCAGTCTACCTCCAGGGAAACCCTGTACCTACCCAGAGTCTGGAGGAGCTGGTTAAGGACAGGATGCATCTGATGTTGGGTATGAGAGTGCGAGAGAGAGAGTGCGAGAGAGAGAGAGTGCGAGAGAGAGAGAGTGCGAGAGAGAGTGCGAGAGAGAGTGCGAGAGAGAGTGCGAGAGAGAGAGGAGAGAGAGAGAGAGACAGAGAGACAGAGAGACAGAGAGACAGAGAGACAGAGTTAGCTAGCTACAGGACACTTAGTCACCTTCATAATAACTGACCACTCTGTCCTCCCACCCCCAGGTGTCAGTATAGAGTTCCTGTGCTTCCCCAGACCCGAGGAACCTATAGAACATGTCATGTCATGTCTACAGGCTCTCTGTACCCTGCTGGACTCGCCCTGCGCCAGGACACACATCAGTGAAGACCAGGTAAAGCTAGAGGAGAAAGAAGAAGTGGTAAAGGAAGAAGAGAGAGGAGAAAACAACTGGTAAAGAGAAAGGTTTGAGAAGGTTCTAGCATCATAGTCTAATTGTGATGCGGAGTTTACAGGAGAGAGGGAGGAACAGCTTTGGATGAGGACGGATACAGTAGCATGAGTAATGACTAATGTATATCACGTTCCGGAGGTGATGGTCTCATACGTTTCCCTTTCCCCACACACACACACACACACACACACACACCATCTCTATGTATCTCTCCACCACTCCTCATCACCCTCAGAGCCTCAGACACAGCTCATTGCCTGTCCGTCTCTCCTCATCCATAATAAGCCATGAGCATTACAGTGAGGAGAGGATTAGACTTGACCTACTGCAGGATAATGGATAGATTCACAGATCTATACAGGCAGGGGAAGAGGTCTGTGCAGGCAGGGGAAGAGGTCTATACAGGCAGGGGAAGAGGTCTATACAGGCAGGGGAAGAGGTCTGTGCAGGCAGGGGAAGAGGTCTGTGCAGGCAGGGGAAGAGGTCTGTGCAGGCAGGGGAAGAGGTCTGTGCAGGCAGGGGAAGAGGTTTGTACAGGCAGGGGAAGAGGTTTGTGCAGGCAGGGGAAGAGGTCTGTGCAGGCAGGGGAAGAGGTCTGTGCAGGCAGGGGAAGAGGTCTGTGCAGGCAGGGGAAGAGGTCTGTGCAGGCAGGGGAAGAGGTCTGTGCAGGCAGGGGAAGAGGTCTGTGCAGGCAGGGGAAGAGGTCTGTGCAGGCAGGGGAAGAGGTCTGTACAGGCAGGGGAAGAGGTCTGTGCAGGCAGGGGAAGAGGTCTATGCAGGCAGGGGAAGAGGTCTATACAGGCAGGGGAAGAGGTATGTACAGGCAGGGGAAGAGGTATGTACAGGTAGGGGAAGTCTATACAGGCAGGGGAAGAGGTCTGTACAGGCAGGGGAAGTATATACAGGCAGGGGAAGAGGTCTGTACAGGCAGGGGAAGTCTATACAGGCAGGGGAAGAGGTCTGTGCAGGCAGGGGAAGAGGTCTGTGCAGGCAGGGGAAGAGGTCTGTGCAGGCAGGGGAAGAGGTCTGTGCAGGCAGGGGAAGAGGTCTGTGCAGGCAGGGGAAGAGGTCTGTGCAGGCAGGGGAAGAGGTCTGTGCAGGCAGGGGAAGAGGTCTGTGCAGGCAGGGGAAGAGGTCTATGCAGGCAGGGGAAGAGGTCTGTGCAGGCAGGGGAAGAGGTCTGTGCAGGCAGGGGAAGAGGTCTGTGCAGGCAGGGGAAGAGGTCTGTGCAGGCAGGGGAAGAGGTCTGTGCAGGCAGGGGAAGAGGTCTGTGCAGGCAGGGGAAGAGGTCTGTGCAGGCAGGGGAAGAGGTCTGTGCAGGCAGGGGAAGAGGTCTATACAGGCAGGGGAAGAGGTCTATACAGGCAGGGGAAGAGGTCTGTGCAGGCAGGGGAAGAGGTATATACAGGCAGGGGAAGAGGTGTATACAGGCAGGGGAAGAGGTGTATACAGGCAGGGGAAGAGGTGTATACAGGCAGGGGAAGAGGTATATACAGGCAGGGGAAGAGGTGTATACAGGCAGGGGAAGAGGTGTATACAGGCAGGGGAAGAGGTGTATACAGGCAGGGGAAGAGGTATATACAGGCAGGGGAAGAGGTGTATACAGGCAGGGGAAGAGGTGTATACAGGCAGGGGAAGAGGTGTATACAGGCAGGGGAAGAGGTGTATACAGGCAGGGGAAGAGGTGTATACAGGCAGGGGAAGAGGTGTGTATACAGGCAGGGGAAGAGGTATATACAGGCAGGGGAAGAGGTATATACAGGCAGGGGAAGAGGTCTATACAGGCAGGGGAAAGAGGTGTATACAGGCAGGGGAAGAGGTGTATACAGGCAGGGGAAGAGGTATATACAGGCAGGGGAAGAGGTGTATACAGGCAGGGGAAGAGGTGTATACAGGCAGGGGAAGAGGTATATACAGGCAGGGGAAGAGGTGTATACAGGCAGGGGAAGAGGTATATACAGGCAGGCCAGAAAGATTCCAGATTGTTCTGTCTGTGTCTCGTACACAGGGCTGAGGAGTTAGTGACTTCACTGAGCTGTAGGGTAGCAGACATTCTGGGTGTGTTTCTCTCCACGTTGTAGCTCTTGGGTGTAGAGCTGACAGGCAGGATGTTTTTAAAAATGTCATGGCTAACCAGGTTTCTCTCCGCGTTGTAGCTCTTGGGTGTAGAGCTGCTCAACGTGCTCCACAGACTACTCCTGACCAGAGACCCTCCGGCCGTGCAGCTCCAAGTTACGGCTGTGGTGCAGGAGACTGTCCGAGCTGCACAGGACCACCTCACACAGCAGAGGGACGCCCAGGGTTAGTACCGACACGGGTCACTGTGTTACCCCGATGGACAGGCTGGTCCCAGATACCTTGGTGCTTGCCTTGCCAATTCATATGGTCATCTTTAACCATATGCTGATACAGACAAGCAGATCTGGGACCAGCCTATGAGTCTACTGTTAGGATATACCACATATACCTTTAAATTAATTTACATTTACATTACATTTTAGTCATTTAGCAGACGCTCAGTTAGTGAGTGCATACATTTTTCATACTGGTTTGCCTGTGTTAGTCGTATGTACAGGATACATATGGTATACACCTTCCAATGAAATGCTTACTAGCGGGTTCCTTCTGGACAATGCAAGAACAATGAGAAATAACAAAAGATACGAATACGAACATAAAGTTAAATAGCTCAGTAGAAAAATAATAAACATTTTGAGCTCCCAACTAGTTACTGCCATATGCATAGAGATCCATGACTTATCCATCATCTCTTTGAGCTCCCAACTAGTTACTGCCATATGCATAGAGATCCATGACTTATCCATCATCTCTTTGAGCTCCCAACTAGTTACTGCCATATGCATAGAGATCCATGACTTATCCATCATCTCTTTGAGCTCCCAACTAGTTACTGCCATATGCATAGAGATCCATGACTTATCCATCAGCTCTTTGAGCTCCCAACTAGTTACTGCCATATGCATAGAGATCCATGACTTATCCATCATCTCTTTGAGCTCCAACTAGTTACTGCCATATGCATAGAGATCCATGACTTATCCATCATCTCTTTGAGCTCCAACTAGTTACTGCCATATGCATAGAGATCCATGACTTATCCATCATCTCTTTGAGCTCCCAACTAGTTACTGCCATATGCATAGAGATCCATGACTTATCCATCCTCTCTTTGAGCTCCAACTAGTTACTGCCATATGCATAGAGATCCATGACTTATCCATCATCTCTTTGAGCTCCCAACTAGTCACTGCCATATGCATAGAGATCCATGACTTATCCATCATCTCTTTGAGCTCCCAACTAGTTACTGCCATATGCATAGAGATCCATGACTTATCCATCATCTCTTTGAGCTCCCAACTAGTTACTGCCATATGCATAGAGATCCATGACTTATCCATCATCTCTTTGAGCTCCAACTAGTTACTGCCATATGCATAGAGATCCATGACTTATCCATCATCTCTTTGAGCTCCCAACTAGTTACTGCCATATGCATAGAGATCCATGACTTATCCATCAGCTCTTTGAGCTCCAACTAGTTACTGCCATATGCATAGAGATCCATGACTTATCCATCAGCTCTTTGAGCTCCAACTAGTTACTGCCATATGCATAGAGATCCATGACTTATCCATCAGCTCTTTGAGCTCCCAACTAGTTACTGCCATATGCATAGAGATCCATGACTTATCCATCATCTCTTTGAGCTCCCAACTAGTTACTGCCATATGCATAGAGATCCATGACTTATCCATCATCTCTTTGAGCTCCCAACTAGTTACTGCCATATGCATAGAGATCCATGACTTATCCATCATCTCTTTGAGCTCCAACTAGTTACTGCCATATGCATAGAGATCCATGACTTATCCATCATCTCTTTGAGCTCCCAACTAGTTACTGCCATATGCATAGAGATCCATGACTCATCCATCAGCTATTTGAGCTCCCAACTAGTTACTGCCATATGCATAGAGATCCATGACTCATCCATCAGCTATTTGAGCTCCCAACTAGTTACTGCCATATGCATAGAGATCCATGACTTATCCATCAGCTCTTTGAGCTCCAACTAGTTACTGCCATATGCATAGAGATCCATGAATTATCCATCATCTATTTGAGCTCCAACTAGTTACTGCCATATGCATAGAGATCCATGACTTATCCATCAGCTCTTTGAGCTCCCAACTAGTTACTGCCATATGCATAGAGATCCATGACTTATCCATCATCTCTTTGAGCTCCAACTAGTTACTGCCATATGCATAGAGATCCATGACTTATCCATCATCTCTTTGAGCTCCAACTAGTTACTGCCATATGCATAGAGATCCATGACTTATCCATCATCTCTTTGAGCTCCCAACTAGTTACTGCCATATGCATAGAGATCCATGACTTATCCATCAGCTCTTTGAGCTCCAACTAGTTACTGCCATATGCATAGAGATCCATGACTTATCCATCATCTCTTTGAGCTCCAACTAGTTACTGCCATATGCATAGAGATCCATGACTTATCCATCATCTCTTTGAGCTCCAACTAGTTACTGCCATATGCATAGAGATCCATGACTTATCCATCATCTCTTTGAGCTCCCAACTAGTTACTGCCATATGCATAGAGATCCATGACTTATCCATCATCTCTTTGAGCTCCAACTAGTTACTGCCATATGCATAGAGATCCATGACTTATCCATCAGCTCTTTGAGCTCCAACTAGTTACTGCCATATGCATAGAGATCCATGACTTATCCATCATCTCTTTGAGCTCCAACTAGTTACTGCCATATGCATAGAGATCCATGACTTATCCATCATATCTTTGAGCTCCAACTAGTTACTGCCATATGCATAGAGATCCATGACTTATCCATCAGCTCTTTGAGCTCCCAACTAGTTACTGCCATATGCATAGAGATCCATGACTTATCCATCATCTCTTTGAGCTCCCAACTAGTTACTGCCATATGCATAGAGATCCATGACTTATCCATCATCTCTTTGAGCTCCAACTAGTTACTGCCATATGCATAGAGATCCATGACTTATCCATCAATTCTTTGAGCTCCCAACTAGTTACTGCCATATGCATAGAGATCCATGACTTATCCATCAGCTCTTTGAGCTCCCAACTAGTTACTGCCATATGCATAGAGATCCATGACTTATCCATCATCTCTTTGAGCTCCAACTAGTTACTGCCATATGCATAGAGATCCATGACTTATCCATCATCTCTTTGAGCTCCCAACTAGTTACTGCCATATGCATAGAGATCCATGACTTATCCATCATCTCTTTGAGCTCCAACTAGTTACTGCCATATGCATAGAGATCCATGACTTATCCATCATCTCTTTGAGCTCCAACTAGTTACTGCCATATGCATAGAGATCCATGACTTATCCATCATCTCTTTGAGCTCCCAACTAGTTACTGCCATATGCATAGAGATCCATGACTTATCCATCAGCTCTTTGAGCTCCAACTAGTTACTGCCATATGCATAGAGATCCATGACTTATCCATCATCTCTTTGAGCTCCAACTAGTTACTGCCATATGCATAGAGATCCATGACTTATCCATCATCTCTTTGAGCTCCAACTAGTTACTGCCATATGCATAGAGATCCATGACTTATCATCATCTCTTTGAGCTCCAACTAGTTACTGCCATATGCATAGAGATCCATGACTTATCCATCAGCTCTTTGAGCTCCCAACTAGTTACTGCCATATGCATAGAGATCCATGACTTATCCATCATCTCTTTGAGCTCCCAACTAGTTACTGCCATATGCATAGAGATCCATGACTTATCCATCATCTCTTTGAGCTCCAACTAGTTACTGCCATATGCATAGAGATCCATGACTTATCCATCAATTCTTTGAGCTCCCAACTAGTTACTGCCATATGCATAGAGATCCATGACTTATCCATCATCTCTTTGAGCTCCCAACTAGTTACTGCCATATGCATAGAGATCCATGACTTATCCATCATCTCTTTGAGCTCCAACTAGTTACTGCCATATGCATAGAGATCCATGACTTATCCATCATCTCTTTGAGCTCCCAACTAGTTACTGCCATATGCGTAGAGATCCATGACTTATCCATCATCTCTTTGAGCTCCAACTAGTTACTGCCATATGCATAGAGATCCATGACTTATCCATCACCTCTTTGAGCTCCAACTAGTTACTGCCATATGCATAGAGATCCATGACTTATCCATCATCTCTTTGAGCTCCAACTAGTTACTGCCATATGCGTAGAGATCCATGACTTATCCATCATCTCTTTGAGCTCCAACTAGTTACTGCCATATGCATAGAGATCCATGACTTATCCATCATCTCTTTGAGCTCCAACTAGTTACTGCCATATGCATAGAGATCCATGACTTATCCATCATCTCTTTGAGCTCCAACTAGTTACTGCCATATGCATAGAGATCCATGACTTATCCATCATCTCTTTGAGCTCCAACTAGTTACTGCCATATGCATAGAGATCCATGACTTATCCATCAGCTCTTTGAGCTCCAACTAGTTACTGCCATATGCATAGAGATCCATGACTTATCCATCAGCTCTTTGAGCTCCAACTAGTGACTGCCATATGCATAGAGATCCATGACTTATCCATCAGCTCTTTGAGCTCCAACTAGTGACTGCCATATGCATAGAGATCCATGACTTATCCATCAGCTCTTTGAGCTCCAACTAGTTACTGCCATATGCATAGAGATCCATGACTTATCCATCAGCTCTTTGAGCTCCCAACTAGTTACTGCCATATGCATAGAGATCCATGACTTATCCATCAGCTCCATCAAAGGGAGTGAATGAGGGTGCAAGGGAGAAAGCAACTTTCTGGAATGAAATGCAGCCAACTCAGCTGCCTAAGTACTGCTAGGAGTAAGACTGAGCCAGGTAGTAGTAGTAGTAGTAGTAGTAGTAGTAGTAGTAGTAGTAGTAGTAGCAGTAGCAGTAGTAGTAATAATAGTAGTAGTAGGAGTAGTAGCAGTAGTAGTAGTAGTAGTAGTAGTAGTAGTAGTAGTAGTAGTAATTTTAGTAGTAGTAGTAGCAGTAGCAGTAGTAGTAGTAGTAGCAGTAACAGTAGTAGTAGTAGTGGTAGTAGCAGTAGTAGCAGTAGTAGTAGTAGTAGCAGTAGCAGTAGTAGTAGTAGTAGTGGTAGTAGCAGCAGTAGTAGTATTAGTAGTAGCAGTAGTAGCAGTAGCAGTAGTAGTAGTAGTAGTAGTAGTAGTAGCAGTAGTAGTAGCAGTAGCAGTACCCACCAATACTATTTATTTATACTATTTAATTTAAAATCTATTTGACCTAAATGGGCTCATTACTACTGATTTTAAAGTCAAGTACAGGCTCAGAATGTTCTCACCCCCCCCCCCGTTGATCTACTCTACTTATCTCCATCCAGGTAAGGAGGATGGAGGGGAGAAGGACAGTCTGTGTCTCCAGGGAGAGGGAGGTGAGACTGGGGAGCTGCTCCCGGGGAAGTCCCTGGTCTTCGCTGCCATGGAGCTCCTGGTGTTCATCCTGGTTCGCCACCTGCCCCAACTCAACACCAGGTAATATATTCATGTATTTTTATTCATTTATGTTTTTGCTTCTTAGTTCTATTGTAACTTATCAGTGGTGTTCTATTGTAACTTATCAGTGGTGTTCTATTGTAACTTATCAGTGGTGTTCTATTGTAACTTATCAGTGGTGTTCTATTGTAACTTATCAGTGGTGTTCTATTGTAACTTATCAGTGGTGTTCTATTGTAGTTCCCTGGTTATCCATAGTTCCCTGGTTATCCATAATTCCCTGGTTATCCATAGTTCCCTGGTTATCCATAGTTCCCTAGTTATACATAGTTCATTGGTTATCCATAGTTCCCTGGTTATCCATAGTTCCCTGGTTATCCATAATTCCCTGGTTATCCATAGTTCTCTGGTTATCCATAGTTCCCTGGTTATCCATAGTTCCCTGGTTATCCAGAATTCCCTGGTTATCCATAGTTCTCTGGTTATCCATAGTTCTCTGGTTATCCATAGTTCCCTGGTTATCCATAGCTCCTTGGTTATCCATAGTTCCATAGTTCCCTGGTTATCCATAGTTCCCTGGTTATCCATAGTTCCCTGGTTATCCATAGTTCCCTGGTTATCCATAGTTCCCTGGTTATCCATAGTTCCCTGGTTATCCATAGTTCTCTGGTTATCCATAGTTCCATAGTTCCCTGGTTATCCATAGTTCCCTGGTTATCCATAGTTCCCTGGTTATCCATAGTTCCCTGGTTATCCATAGTTCCCTGGTTATCCTGCTTATTCCCTCCTGATTCTGGGTCTCTTCTAACCAGGACTTCTGCAAAACCTGGGAATTGTGGGAAACTCATGTACTATTATAATTACTATTATTATTATTATTCCCAGGGTGAACGAGTCCCCCAGCCACCTGCCCCTCCGGCCCCAGCCTCGTCTGCCTGAGGAGAGCACCCGGCTGGTGGCTCACACTGTCACTATACTGGCTGAGCTGTCATCGCTGTGCTCCCCCGCAGGTAACACACACACTCATCATGTCTCCTCCATTCATCTCCCCACAACAGTCTCTCTGCCTTAGACTCAGTCTGGCTCAATAGCCTCTCTCCCCTTGGATCCATCTCACCCTGGGACTGTGGTTGTTATGTCTGAGACTGAAGCTTTCTGAAGATCTGATTATATCCTTGAAATCAACTGAGTCACACTGGGTGTGAAACAATAGAAAAACAGAGATGATTCAGTTAGGATTTCGGGGCTACTGAGAGATTAGGATTTCGGGGCTACTGAGAGATTAGGATTTCGGGGCTACTGAGAGATTAGGATTTTGGGGCTATTGAGAGATTAGGATTTCGGGGCTACTGAGAGATTAGGATTTCAGGGCTACTGAGAGATTAGGATTTCAGGGCTACTGAGAGATTAGGATTTCAGGGCTACCGAGAGATTAGGATTTCGGGGCTACTGAGAGATTAGGGACAGGGATAAATATGATTTACATTTACATTTACATTTTAGTCATTTAGCAGACGCTCTTAACCAGAGCGACTTACAGGAGCAATTAGGGTTAAGTGCCTTGCTCAAGGGCACATTAACGTCATTTAGCAGACGCTCTTAGCCAGAGCGACTCACAAATTGGTGCGTTCACCCTATAGCCAGTGGGATAACCACTTTACAATTTGGGGGGGGGGGGGGGGGGGGGGTTAGAAGGAATACTTTATCCTATCCCAGGTATTCCTTAAAGAGGTGGGGTTTCAAATGTCTCCGGAAAGTGGTGAGTGACTCCGCTGTCCTGGCGTCGTGAGGGAGCTTGTTCCACCATTGGGGTGCCAGAGCAGCGAACAGTTTTGACTGGGCTGAGCGGGAGCTATGCTTCCGCAGAGGAAGGGGAGCCAGCAGGCCAGAGGTGGATGAACGCAATGTCCTCGTTTGGGTGTAGGGACTGATCAGAGCCTGAAGGTACAGAGGTGCCGTTCCCCTCACTGCTCCATAGGCAAGCACCATGGTCTTGTAGCGGATGCGAGCTTCAACTGGAAGCCAGTGGAGTGTGCGGAGGAGGGGGGTGACGTGAGAGAACTTGGGAAGGTTGAACACCAGACGGGCTGCGACATTCTGGATGAGTTGTAGGGGTTTAATGGCACAGGCAGGGAGCCCAGCCAACAGCGAGTTGCAGTAGTCCAGACGGGAGATGACAAGTGCCTGGACCAGGACCTGCGCCGCTTCCTGTGTAAGGCAGGGTCGCACTCTCCGAATGTTGTAGAGCATGAACCTGCAGGAGCGGGTCACCGCCTTGATGTTGGCGGAGAACGACAGGGTGTTGTCCAGGGTCACGCCTAGGCTCTTCGCACTCTGGGAGGAGGACACAGCGGAGTTGTCAACCGTGATGGCGAGATCATGGAACGGGCAGTCCTTCCCCGGGAGGAAGAGCAGCTCCGTCTTGCCAGGGTTCAGCTTGAGGTGGTGATCCGTCATCCATACTGATATGTCTGCCAGACATGCAGAGATGCGATTCGCCACCTGGTTATCAGAAGGGGGAAAGGAGAAGATTAGTTGTGTATCATCAGCGTAGCAATGATAGGAAAGGCCATGTGAGGATATGACAGAGCCAAGTGACTTGGTGTATAGGGAGAAAAGGAGAGGGCCCAGAACCGATCCCTGGGGGACACCAGTGGTGAGAGCACGTGGTGCGGAGACAGCTTCCCGCCACGCCACTTGGTAGGAGCGACCGGTCAGGTAGGACGCAATCCAGGAGTGAGCCGCGCCGGAGATGCCCATCTCGGAGAGGGTGGAGAGGAGGATCTGATGGTTCACAGTATCAAAGGCAGCAGACAGGTCTAGAAGGACAAGAGCAGAGGAGAGAGAGTTAGCTTTAGCAGTGCGGAGAGTCTCCGTGACACAGAGAAGAGCAGTCTCAGTTGAATGACCAGTCCTGAAACCTGATTGGTTTGGATCAAGAAGGTCATTCTGAGAGAGATAGCAGGAGAGTTGGCTAAAGACGGCACGCTCAATAGTTTTGGAAAGAAAAGAAAGAAGGGATACTGGTCTGTAGTTGTTGACATCAGTGGGGTCGAGTGTTGGTTTTTTGAGAAGGGGAGTAACTCTCGCTCTCTTGAAGACGGAAGGGACATGGCCAGCGGTCAAGGATGAGTTGATCAGCGAGGTGAGGTAGGGGAGAAGGTCACCGGAGATGGTCTGGAGAAGGGAGGAGGGGATGGGGTCAAGCGGGCAGGTTGTTGGGCGGCCTGCAGTCACAAGTCGCAGGATTTTATCTGGAGAGAGAGGGGAGAAAGAAGTCAAAGCATAGGGTAGGGCAGTGTGAGCAGGACCAGCAGTGTCATTAGACTTAACAAACGAGGATCGGATGTCGTCAACCTTCTTTTCAAAGTGGTTGACGAAGTCATCCACAGAGAGAGAGGAGGGGGGGGGGGGGATTCAGGAGGGAGGAAAATGTGGCAAAGAGCTTCCTAGGGTTAGAGGCAGATGCTTGGAATTTAGAGTGGTAGAAGGTGGCCTTAGCAGCAGAAACAGATGAAGAAAATGTAGAGAGGAGGGAGTGAAAAGATGCCAGGTCGGCAGGGAGTTTAGTTTTCTTCCATTTCCGCTCCGCTGCCCGGAGCTCTGTTCTGTGAGCTTTAATGTCATTCCTCATTAATGAAGGATACAAGTCTAACTCTCTCTGTCATTCCATATATGATACTTATAGAAGGGGGTGTTTGCCTTGTTGACATATTAAAGGTGCAATCTGCAATGGTTACTGCTGTCCAATTGTCATTTCAATTGATATACCCATTGATTGAACTGTTGCACATGGCAGTTTTAAAAGGGGTATTGGTGTGAGATGGAGTGAAGGATTATTGAAGGATACAAGTCTAACTCTCTCTGTCATTCCTCATTACTGAAGGATACAAGTCTAACTCTCTCTCTGTCATTCCTCATTACTGAAGGATACAAGTCTAACTCTCTCTGTCATTCCTCATTAATGAAGGATACAAGTCTAACTCTCTCTCTGTCATTCCTCATTAATGAAGGATACAAGTCTAACTCTCTCTGTCATTCCTCATTAATGAAGGATACAAGTCTAACTCTCTCTGTCATTCCTCATTACTGAAGGATACAAGTCTAACTCTCTCTGTCATTCCTCATTAATGAAGGATACAAGTCTAACTCTCTCTCTGTCATTCCTCATTAATGAAGGATACAAGTCTAACTCTCTCTGTCATTCCTCATTAATGAAGGATACAAGTCTAACTCTCTCTCTGTCATTCCTCATTACTGAAGGATACAAGTCTAACTCTCTCTCTGTCATTCCTCATTAATGAAGGATACAAGTCTAACTCTCTCTGTCATTCCTCATTAATGAAGGATACAAGTCTAACTCTCTCTGTCATTCCTCATTAATGAAGGATACAAGTCTAACTCTCTCTGTCATTCCTCATTACTGAAGGATACAAGTCTAACTCTCTCTCTGTCATTCCTCATTACTGAAGGATACAAGTCTAACTCTCTCTGTCATTCCTCATTATTGAAGGATACAAGTCTAACTCTCTCTGTCATTCCTCATTAATGAAGGATACAAGTCTAACTCTCTCTCTGTCATTCCTCATTAATGAAGGATACAAGTCTAACTCTCTCTGTCATTCCTCATTAATGAAGGATACAAGTCTAACTCTCTCTCTGTCATTCCTCATTACTGAAGGATACAAGTCTAACTCTCTGTCATTCCTCATTAATGAAGGATACAAGTCTAACTCTCTCTGTCATTCCTCATTACTGAAGGATACAAGTCTAACTCTCTCTGTCACTCCTCATTACTGAAGGATACAAGTCTAACTCTCTCTGTCACTCCTCATTACTGAAGGATACACGTCTAACTCTCTGTCTGTCTCCCCCCCCAGGCAGCATGACCATCCTCCCCACTGTACTCTTCCTGATAACAGGGGTCCTGAAGGAGACGGCTATGAAGACACCTGATAACTCCATACCCCTGCCTGTCTCAGGTACACACACACACACACACACACACACACACACACACACACACACACACACACACACGGCAGCTATGAAGGCACCTGATAACTCCATACCCCTGCCTGTCTCAGGTACACACACACACACACACACACACACACACACACACACACACACACACACACAGAGACACGGCAGCTATGAAGACACCTGATAACTCCATACCCCTGCCTGTCTCAGGTACACACACACACACACACACACACACACACACACACACACACACACACACACACACACACACAGACACACACACACACACACACACACACAGACACGGCAGCTGTGAAGACACCTGATAACTCCTTACCCCTGCCTGTCTCAGCTGCTCTACAGGGTATAAAGACCATCATCACCTCCCCTCTGTCCCGGGCTGAGAAGACCCCCACTCAGTGGACAGGACTGATCCGGAGCAGTCTGGCTTCTGTTCTAGAATACTCTCAACCAGGTAACATGCACACTGTTCTAGTAGGATTCCTGGTAGCCGGGTGTTTCCTGGTAGCCGGGTGTTTCCTGGTAGCCGGGTGTTTCCTGGTAGCCGGGTGTTTCCTGGTAGCCGGGTGTTTCCTGGTAGCTGGGTGTTTCCTGGTAGCCGGGTGTTTCCTGGTAGCTGGGTGTTTCCTGGTAGCCGGGTGTTTCCTGGTAGCCGGGTGTTTTCTGGTAGCCGGGTGTTTCCTGGTAGCCGGGTGTTTCCTGGTAGCCGGGTGTTCCTGGTAGCCGGGTGGTTTCCTGGTAGCCGGGTGTTTCCTGGTAGCTGGGTGTTTCCTGGTAGCCGGGTGTTTCCTGGTAGCCGGGTGTTTCCTGGTAGCCGGGTGTTTCCCCATTATGTGTCAGGGCGCCGTGTAGATGGCTGTCCGGGCCTAGCCGTGGCCTGCAGATGTTGTTGAAGCACTTGTAAATGACCTGTAATGAGTGTGTAGATGTTGTTGTAATTTACCTGTAGTGAGTGTGTAGATGTTGTTGTAATTTACCTGTAGTGAGTGTGTAGATGTTGTAATTGACCTGTAGTGAGTGTGTAGATGTTGTTGTAATTGACCTGTAGTGAGTGTGTAGATGTTGTTGTAATTGACCTGTAGTGAGTGTGTAGATGTTGTTGTAATTGACCTGTAGTGAGTGTGTAGATGTTGTTGTAATTGACCTGTAATGAGTGTGTAGATGTTGTTGTAATTGACCTGTAGTGAGTGTGTAGATGTTGTTGTAATTGACCTGTAGTGAGTGTGTAGATGTTGTTGTAATTGACCTGTAGTGAGTGTGTAGATGTTGTTGTAATTGTCCTGTAGTGAGTGTGTAGATGTTGTTGTAATTGACCTGTAGTGAGTGTGTAGATGTTGTTGTAATTGACCTGTAGTGAGTGTGTAGATGTTGTAGTGAGTGTGTAGATGTTGTTGTAATTGACCTGTAGTGAGTGTGTAGATGTTGTTGTAATTGACCTGTAGTGAGTGTGTAGATGTTGTTGTAATTGACCTGTAATGAGTGTGTAGATGTTGTTGTAATTGAGTAATGAGTGTGTAGATGTTGTTGTAATTGACCTGTAGTGAGTGTGTAGATGTTGTTGTAATTGACCTGTAATGAGTGTGTAGATGTTGTTGTAATTGACCTGTAGTGAGTGTGTAGATGTTGTTGTAATTGACCTGTAGTGAGTGTGTAGATGTTGTTGTAATTGACCTGTAGTGAGTGTGTAGATGTTGTTGTAATTGACCTGTAGTGAGTGTGTAGATGTTGTTGTAATTGACCTGTAATGAGTGTGTAGATGTTGTTGTAATTGACCTGTAGTGAGTGTGTAGATGTTGTTGTAATTGACCTGTAGTGAGTGTGTAGATGTTGTTGTAATTGACCTGTAGTGAGTGTGTAGATGTTGTTGTAATTGACCTGTAGTGAGTGTGTAGATGTTGTAATGAGTGTGTTTCTATCTCTACTGTACCAATGTGTGTTCCTCAGATGAGTCTCGTCCCGACATGGATGAGGTCAGTATGCTGACAGCCATGACCCTCTTCCTGCTGTCCGCCAGTTCAGAGGTCATGGGAGTCACTGTGCTGCAACGAGGCTGTATGGACCGCTATAGGAACGCCCTCAACTCCCCTGACCCCTGGGTAGGACACGCCCACACCGCTTCAACTCCCCTGACCCCTGAGGACTTTAATGTCTATTGTCTGAGGACACAGACTTGTCTTTTTGCTTTATCCCCCCCCCCTCCCTGTATGTTTGCGTGTGTGTAATCTGGTTCTCCCTCCCAGGTCCAGGCGCGGTGTTACCAACTCCTCCTCTCAGTGTTCCAGCACCCCAACCGAGCGTTATCCACCCCCTACATCCACGTCCTGGCACCGATCATGGTGGAGAAGCTGAAGGGGGTGGAGCGGAGCCGGCCAGGCACTGGCACAGAGCTGCAGGCCGTACAGGAGGGCATCAGGGTCCTGGAGAACCTAGTGGGCATGGGAGAGGAACAGAACCGTATGTACTGTCGGTAGTAATGCTGCACACACAGGGTTAACACGCTGTCACACAGGGTTAACACGCTGTCACACAGGGTTAACACGCTGTCACACAGGGTTAACACGCTGACACACAGGGTTAACACGCTGACACACAGGGTTAACACGCTGTCACACAGGGTTAACACACTCACAGAGCTGCAGGCCATACAGGAGGGCATCAGGGTTCTGGAGAACCTAGTGGGCATCGGAGAGGAACAGAACACCATGGCCTGAATATGGGGCACAAGCCTCTTGATCCCATTTTGACCTCAGATAAACAAAATCTAAACAAAATCTAGTTTGGTTCCTAATTCAATCCCTTCAATATTTTACTACTAAAAATGTCCATCCTGACAGATCATTCAAAGGGTGACATGTGTTTCTCTGCATCGGGACAGCTATTTGGAAATGCATGATTTCAGATGTTATCGTTTTTTTTATTCCTCAATAAAGATCATGCAGGGGACATCTAAGAGTTTGTAAAATATGACTTTCAGGATATTTCAATTCATGGTTCCGTAGAGAGAACCTCAGAGTTGAATCGTGAGAACTATCCCTTACATTTAAATGGATTCTGTTCTCTCATCCAGAGCCACTTACCACATCATTGAGTTGTTTTCTTGTTTTCTGTGTCCTATTTGAGCTTGTTAGAGGTACACGTGTCCCTGTAAACAGCTCCACTGATCTGTAAAAACCTTCCTGTAACTACTGCCTCTTGTCATGTGTTATATATGGGCTGGGAGCGTTCGCCTGGACTTCTGCTCTGTGGCTTTTAGACTCGTGTCGTGGCAGTGTAGCCTAACTGGGAGAGCTCAAGCCCTTCATTCACCTCTATACCCTAGCTCAGACTAAGCCCTTCATTCACCTCTATACCCTAGCTCAGACTAAGCCCTTCATTCACCTCTATACCGTAGCTCAGACCAAGCCCTTCATTCACCTCTATACCCTAGCTCAGACTAAGCCCTTCATTCACCTCTATACCGTAGCTCAGACTAAGCCCTTCATTCACCTCTATACCCTAGCTCAGACTAAGCCCTTCATTCACCTCTATACCCTAGCTCAGACTAAGCCCTTCATTCACCTCTATACCGTAGCTCAGACCAAGCCCTTCATTCACCTCTATACCGTAGCTCAGACCAAGCCCTTCATTCACCTCTATACCGTAGCTCAGACCAAGCCCTTCATTCACCTCTATACCGTAGCTCAGACCAAGCCCTTCATTCACCTCTATACCGTAGCTCAGACTAAGCCCTTCATTCACCTCTATACCGTAGCTCAGACTAAGCCCTTCATTCACCTCTATACCGTAGCTCAGACCAAGCCCTTCATTCACCTCTATACCGTAGCTCAGACCAAGCCCTTCATTCACCTCTATACCGTAGCTCAGACTAAGCCCTTCATTCACCTCTATACCCTAGCTCAGACTAAGCCCTTCATTCACCTCTATACCGTAGCTCAGACCAAGCCCTTCATTCACCTCTATACCCTAGCTCAGACCAAGCCCTTCATTCACCTCTATACCCTAGCTCAGACTAAGCCCTTCATTCACCTCTATACCGTAGCTCAGACTAAGCCCTTCATTCACCTCTATACCGTAGCTCAGACCAAGCCCTTCATTCACCTCTATACCCTAGCTCAGACCAAGCCCTTCATTCACCTCTATACCCTAGCTCAGACTAAGTCCTTCATTCACCTCTATACCGTAGCTCAGACTAAGCCCTTCATTCACCTCTATACCGTAGCTCAGACTAAGCCCTTCATTCACCTCTATACCGTAGCTCAGACCAAGCCCTTCATTCACCTCTATACCGTAGCTCAGACTAAGCTTTATGGATCAGAATATTTTATGTCCTCTCGCTCTGAGATACTGATTCGTTTTTTTTTTTCTTTCATAGAGCAAATGTTAACTAACAAGATGCAATGTTCATCTAGTTAATCAATGTTTGTTGATGTTCCATCTAGTTAATCAATGTTTGTTGTCTCCCTCCATTTCGTCTCTCCCTCTCACGCTCTCCCTCTTTCTCTCACGCTCTCCCTCTTTCTCTCACGCTCTCCATCTTCTTCACCTCTCCCTCTTTTCTCTCACGCCTTCTCACCTCTTTTCTCCTCACGCTCTCCCTCTTTCTCTACCTCTCCCCTTCTCTCACGCTCTCCCTCTTTCTCTCACGCTCTCCCTTTTCTCACGTCTCTTTCTCTCACGCTCTCCTCTTTCTCTCACGCTCTCCTCTTCCTCAACGCTCTCCCTCTTCTCTCACGCCTTCACGCTCCCTCTTTCTCTCACGCTCTCCCTCTTTCTTACTCCCGCTCTTCCTCACACTCTCTCTCTCAACTCTCCCTCTTTCTCTCAACGCTCTCCCTTCACTCTCCCTTTCTCTCACGCTCTCCTCTTTCTACTCTCCCTCTTTCTCTCACCTCTACCCCTTTCTCCTCACGCTCTCCCTCTTCTTCACTCTCCTCCCACACTCTTTTCCCTCTCACGCTCTCCCTCTTTCTCTCACGCTCTCTCTTTCTCTCACGCTTCTCCCTCTTTCTACGCTCACCTCTCTCAGCACCTCTTTCATCACCTCTACCCTCTTTCCCCACGCTCTCCCCTCTCCACTCCTTTCTCTCACGCCTCTCACCTCCTCTTCTCTCACGCTCTCTCAGCTCCCTCTCTTTCTCTCACGCCCATCTCCACTCTTCTCTCTCACACTCTCCCTCTTTCTCTCACGCTTCCTCTCTCCACGCTCTCCTCTTCTCTCACACTCTCCCTCTCTCTCACGCTCTCCCTCTTTCTCTCACGCCTCTCTACGTTCCTCTTCTCTCACGCTCTCCTCTCACTCTCCCTTCTCCCTCTTTCTCCCACCTCTCCCTCTTTCTCTCACGCTCCCTCTTTCTCTCACGCTCTCCCCTTCTCTCACGCTCTCCCTCTCATCCCCCTTCTCACGCTCTCCCTCCTCACACTCTCCCTCTTCATCTCTCCCTCTTTCTCTACGCTCTCTTTCTCTCACCTCTCCCTCCACCTCTCCTCTTTCTCTCCACCTCTCCCTCTTCTCTCACGCTCTCCCTCTTCTCTCACGTCTCTCTCCCACTCTTCTCTCACACGCTCTCCCTCTTTCTCTCACGCTCTCCCTTCTACGCTCTCCTCTTTCTCTCACGCTCTCCCTCTTTCTCTCACGCTCTCCCTTATCTCTCACGCTCTCCTCTTCTCTCACGCTCTCCCTCTCTCACGCTCTCCCTCTTCTCTCTCACGCTCTCCCTCTTTCTCTCACGCTCTCCCTCTTTCTCTCACGCTCTCCCTCTTCTCTCACGCTCTCCCTCTTTCTCTCACGCTCTCCCTCTTTCTCTCACGCTCTCCCTCTTCTCTCACGCTCTCCCTCTTTCTCTCACGCTCCACCTCTCCATCCTGTTCCCTCTTCAACAGGGGTTCAGTTGCTGGCTCTGTTAGTACCCACCCTGGTCTCCTATCTCCTGGATGACAATGCCTTCTCCTCTGCTCCTCCGGCCTCCAAGGGCCTACATGAGTTTGCTCTCCAGAACCTGATGCGGATCGGGCCCCTCTACCCAGCTGCCTTCAAGACAGTGATTGGAGCCGCACCTGAGCTCAAGACCCGCCTTGAGTCGGCCGTCAGAGCCAATCAGGCGAGCAGCAAAGCCAAAGCAGCAGCCCTATTGGCTCAGCCAACTGTGCAGGCTGCGCCCACCATCAAACTCAAGACTAGCTTCTTCTAAATATTCCTGAAATGCACACTACTTTATCATCCTGATGTAATATTGTTGTCGCCTGATATGTCAGTTGTGTCTCTAAGATGTTCTTTATTTAACGTGGTTCTCGGTGGATGAGATTTTTCTACTTAGTTTTCTTGAAGTCAAGGAAACTAGTATGTGAACAATATCATTAAAGGGTCTTTTAATGTCCACTTTCCAAACCCTTTAGAGAGAGCACTGCTTTTGATGTCATTTCAATGTATAATTATTATTTTAGAGCTGGATACATTGCGCCCCAAATGGCACCCTATTCCCTATATAGTGCACTACTTTTGACCAAAGTAGTGCACTATATAGGGAATAGGGTGCCATTTGGGACGATCACATTGAATATGTAAAGGGACCTACTTCAAAATAGCTGAGTATAGTTTTTTTTCTATATTTGCTTCCTTATTGGCCTGACATCATTCCTTGCGGACTCCTGTACTAGTGAGTCTTCATTACAATGTTTGCCGAGACTGACGCATCAACATGAACCTGGCTGTATCCACTCTGACAGGATTCAATCATGCGTGTGTTTATAATGTCATTTGTTTATTGCATGTGGAAACCTTTTGAAGGGTCTACCTTTAAGTAAATGTCTTATTTTGCTGTTGTTTTGAGATGATCCACTGCTTTCAGGTAGTCTTTAGACTTCACCCAAGGCACCCGTTTTAATAATGCATTTAAGTGTTTCGCATCTGCTGTTCATAAATTTATTTTGCTTGCTGTTCCTGTGTATTAAATAGACTTCTCACAGGCCAATCCTTTACAACATTCTCTGTTTGAGAGAGACAGAGTTCTACTGAGGAACCTTACCACTGATATGTGATGATCCATGCTAACACAGCATGGGATGCATGATTACGTGACTTCTGAATGAAAAATCAATGGGAAAGATCGTTTGGAGGATAAAGTAATGATTTTATCAAAAATATTTTGATTGCCTGTATATAATTGGGGTTATTATTTAAAGGTAAAGATTAAGATAAATTAAAAAGGACCTGAAAAACCAATCAATCAGTTTGAACATTACGAGTGGGGAAATAATGTCAACAAGACAATGTTGCGCTAACATGGTGTATCAACTCATGAGTCACTCACGACCCACCCTTAATAAAGTTTTTTTTTTCACCTATTCTACTGTTTTTCTGGTCACTTTTTTCACTTCTGTTTTTGCTTCAAATGCTCCAAATGTTACGAAGTTAAGAATGTGTTTTTCCTTGTACACCTGCACACGGAAGTTGAATTGTGCATGATATCCAACTAATTTACAATGACAGCTCAAAGCTCCTGGACCGGACCGGAGACTGTTGTGGTGACCATTTACCCAGCTATTGGATAATGCCTGTAGTTTTTGGAAAAGGTATCATGTCAATAAAACTTATTTGAGATTATTCATTGTGGATTACATTTTAATATTACCGACAATTATATTGCTGTACCGTGTAGGCTACTGATAATAGTGTATCATATAGTTATGTGTTTATAGAGAAGATGTGTTTTTGAAAGGTTGTCAATGAGGGGATTAGATTAATGCCCTGGGGAATGGGGTAACGTTGATTGCATTTGTTTTGAAACCAGGCGTGAGCTGGGTGCCCGGGCCAAGCCGATGGCAAAGTCGGCTGAAAACTAAAGTGATATATGTCAAGTATGTGGAGTAATGAGTTAGGATTCAATGTTTCCACATGCAAAAGTGCTTGCTCTTTATAAAAATGCATAATTTTACCTGCCTTCAAGGAAAACTACTTTTTATAGAAAATACATGTTTTATGTTTCTGAACTATTCATCAGGCTTTTTTGCTGACATTATGGCCCACCCGGTGATGCTCGATTTGAGCAAGTAGCTCTTCCCTCACCGCTTTCTCCCGGTGACGTGACGGGCCATAACAGGGTTTAGCCGGTTCAGTCTAATCGAACTCCCTCAATGGCTTTGAATACAGGGCCGTTGTTCCCTTGAAGAAGGCATCCAAACTTCCCCAGGCGAGGGCCGCTGCTCGGTGTATGACCCTGTGCTGCGGGTTAGAAATGAAAGATTTATTTGATATTTTTACAATATTATGTATATTATTGATAGGAGTTCGGTTTGTGTGTGGGGTTTTCTTTCGGACTACCTCCACATCCTTACATGGTGTGGGCGTGATCATGTTCTCTAGCTGTCAGAAAGTGAGCGCCCAGTTCCACAGAGCCCAGTAGCACCGTCGGTATACCGGGGCTTATTTCTGCTCTTCAATTCAGATTACTTACGGTAGCCAGCTACATCTAGACCTCACGAAGGAGCAAGGACACGAAAGAGGAGCTATCCCTCCGTTCGTGACCTGAACCGAGCCCGGCCATGGACGAACAGGCAGGGCCCGGCGTTTTCTTCAACAACAACTCGATTTTAGCGGGCGGTGGGAAGGTACTGCTGCCGGAGGGGGACGCAGGGGAGGCGGCGAGGGCTCCTTACAGTATCCCGGGGATCTTACACTTCCTGCAACACGAATGGGCCCGCTTCGAGTTGGAGAGGGCACAATGGGAGGTGGAGCGCGTCGAATTGCAGGTGAATAACTTTATATTTAAATCAACTTTCAGAGGATGTTTTGTGCTGGTAGCGGATTTGTAACACTAGCCGTGGTTTTGCACCAATGTGATTGTGGTTAGTATTAGTTACCTTGCAAGTAGTTAGCTAGCTCGCACCGCTCCCTGGTTGGTTAGTAAATGCTAGCTAGCTAACCGCCAGGTTAGCCACTCTTTCTTGTCAAGCTACTAACGCTAGCAAGCTAACTGAGTCGTGAAAACAAGACGCTAACTAGCCTAGCTCCATGTAGTTAGCTTGTTCTGGACGAGGTTTATTTTACACGTTAGCTAACTAGTCGTTTTTCAAACGAGTTAGTTAACTAAAATGTTAACTAACCGATTTTGACCATAGTAACTAGCTAATGACTAAACTAGTTGAAATTCCCCAAAAGGGTGGCTAACCAGTTAGCTAATGTTATAGCTAGTAAAAAAATAACTAACTGGTTGGCTAGTCAATCTGCTCTCTGCTACTTTTTAGGAAAATGCAATAATTTAAACAGCTGAATCGTATTGTGTCCAACTACATCCTGTGAAAGTATAGGACTACATTAGAAGTTGGTGATGCCCCCACCACAGTACTGTGCATTGTCCATCTGAAGACGGTTGAAGGATAGAACAATGTGTAGGGGACCCAAACGTTTCCTGCATGGCTTTTCCTCCTCCTTGACATTTTGAGCTCAGCTGGCCCGGTGTTGTTCAAGGAAAGCTCAGCTGGCCCGGTGTTGTTCAAGGAAAGCTCAGCTGGCCCGGTGTTGTTCAAGGAAAGCTCAGCTGGCCCGGTGTTGTTCAAGGAAAGCTCAGCTGGCCCGGTGCTGTTCAAGGGAGGCTCAGCTGGCCCGGTGCTGTTCAAGGAAAGCTCAGCTGGCCCGGTGCTGTTCAAGGAAAGCTCAGCTGGCCCGGTGCTGTTCAAGGGAAGCTCAGCTGGCCCGGTGCTGTTCAAGGAATGCTCAGCTGGCCCGGTGCTGTTCAAGGAAAGTTCAGCTGGCCTGGTGCTGTTCAAGGAATGCTCAACTGGCACTTTCTTGTGCACCAGGGACCGGGGATATTGCGAGTGGTGACACTAGTACTGGCTACTATAGCCCAATAATATACTGTCAGCCATCGGTGATAACAAAACTATAGTTTTAACCACATTGAGGCTATACAGTGTTTGTTTAAATCTTTTACACATGGATTAAAGTTTATATTTTGGGTTCTGATGAGGTGCGACAGGCATTTATAAATCATGTTCTTCAAGAATCCGTGGGTATATGTCAGTAATTTATGTAGCAACTGCAGACTGCCCCTTTTTTAAGGTATAAGGACCTTATGTTATTTTCAGAGGTAGACTGGCTCTTTCAGCCAAATAGTCAATCTAAATGTGAATCGACTCTCAATTGCGATACGGTTCTAGAAACATAAATCCCTTTTACTTTCAAATCACGTCAAAATAACTTCAAAGGCAAAATAGTAATACATTTACTTTACACTGTTTTAACCGGCTTTATCACAGTTGCGGCCGACAGTATTTTTCAGTACAACACATTTCTGGCGGGCTTCTTCCGCTACAAACAGGTGTTAGGAGTATGGAAGTTGGCTAATTAGCACAGGTGGCCGCCTTTTGTCTTCCGTAAACACCAGCTCTAACATGGGGACATGGCCGTATCTGAACCCTAACTCTATAAAGGTGTGTAGTAATTTAACCTTTATGTTTTTAGAAAATAATTTCTCGCTGATATGAAAGATATGTTCCTTAAGTTTCCAAAATCGTACCGCAAGCGATATGTGTTCACGTTCATGGGGCTCTTAACTAAAGGCCCTGTGTACAGTCGTGGTCAAAAGTTTTTTAGAATTACACAAGTATTGGTCTTCACAAAGTTTGCTGCTTCAGTGTTTTTAGATATTTTTGTCAGATGTTACTATGGTATACTGAAGTATAATTACAAGCATTCCATAAGTGTCAAAGACTTTTATTGACAATTACATTAAGTTTATGCAATGAGTCAATATTTGCAGTGTTGACCCTTCTTTTTCAAGACCTCTGTAATCCGCCCTGGCATGCTGTCAATTAGCTTCTGGGCCACATCCTGACTGATGGCAGCCCATTCTTGCATAATCAATGCTTGGAGTTCATCAGAATTTGTGGGTTTTTGTTTGTCCACCTGCCTCTTGAGGATCGACCACAAGTTCTCAACGGGATTAAGGTCTGGGGAGTTTCCTGGCCATGGACCCAAAATGTAGATGTTTTGTTCCCCCGAGCCACTTAGTTATCACTTTTGCCTTATGGCAAGTTGCTCCATCATGCTGGAAAAGGCATTGGTCGTCACCAAACTATTCTTGGATGGTTGGGAGAAGTTGCTCTCGGAGGATGTGTTGGTACCGTTCTTTATTCATGGCTATGTTCTTAGGTTAAAATTGTGAGTGAGCCCACTCCCTTGGCTGAGAAGCAACCCCACACATGAATGGTCTCAGGATGCTTTACTGTTGGCATGACACAGGACTGATGGTAGCGCTCACCTTGTCTTCTCCGGACAAGGTGTTTTCCGGATGCCCCAAACAATCGGAAAGGGGATTCATCAGAGAAAATGACTTTACCCCAGTCCTCAGCAGTCCAATCCCTGTACCTTTTGCAGAATATCAGTCTGTCCCTGATGTTTTTCCTGGAGAGAAGTGGCTTCTTTGCTGCCCTTCTTGACACCAGGCCATCCTCCAAAAGTCTTCGCCTCACTGTGCGTGCAGATGCACTCACACCTGCCTGCTGCCATTCCTGAGCATGCTCTGCACTGGTGGTGCCCCGATCCCGCAGCTGAATCAACTTTAGGTCCTGGCGCTTGCTGGACTTTCTTGGGCGCCCTGATGCCTTCTTCACAACAATTGAACCTCTCCTTGAACTTCTTGATGATCCGATAAATGGTTGATTTAGGTGCAATCTTACTAGCAGCAATATCCTTGCCTGTGAAGCCCTTTTTGTGCAAAGCAATGATGACTGCAAATGTTTCCTTGCAGGTAACCATGGTTAACAGAGGAAGAACAATGATTTCAAGCACCACCCTCCTTTTAAAGCTTCCAGTCTGTTATTCTAACTCAATCAGCATGAAAGAGTGATCTCCAGCCTTGTCCTCGTCAACACTCACCTGTGTTAACGAGATAATCACTGACATGATGTCAGCTGGTCCTTTTGTGACAGGGCTGAAATGCAGTGGAAAGTTTTTTTGAGATTAAGTTCATATTCATGGCAAAGAGGGACTTTGCAATTCATCTGATCACTCTTCATGACATTCTGGAGTATATGCAAATTGCCATCATCAAAACTGAGGCAGCAGACTTTGTGAAAATGAGTATTTGTGTCATTCTCAACTTTTGACCACGACTGTACACAATACAGTGCATTCGGAAAGTATTCAGACCCCTTGACTTTTTCCACATTTTGTTACGGTACAGCCTTATTCTAAAATTGATAAAATTAACTTTTTTCCTCAACAATCTACACACAATACCCCATAATAACTAAGAAAAAGAGGTTTTTAGAAATGTGTGCTAATTTTATAAAAAATCAAGAACAGAAATACCTTATTTACATAAGTATTCAGACGCTTTGCAATGAGACTCGAAATTGAGCTCCGGTGCATCCTGTTTCCATTGATCATCCTTGAGATGTTTCTACAACTTGATTGGAGTCCTCTGTAGCTCAGCTGGTAGAGCACGGCGCTTGTAACGCCAGGGTAGTGGGTTCGATCCCCGGGACCACCCATACACAAACAATGTATGCACAACTGACTGTAAGTCGCTTTGGATAAAAGTGTCTGCTAAATGGCTTATTATTATTATTATTATTATTATTATTATAAATTAAATTGATTGGACATGATTTGGAAAGGCACACACCTGTCTATATAAGGTCCCACAGTTGACAGTGCATGTCAGAGCAAAAACCAATCCATGAGGTCTAAGGAATTGTTCGTAGAGCTTAGAGAAAGGATTGTGTCGAGGCACAGATCTGGTGAAGGGTACCAAAACAATTCTGCAGCATTGAAGGTCCCCAAGAACACAGTGGCCTCCATCATTCTTAAATGGAAGAAGTTTGGAACCACCAAGACTCTTCCTAGAGCTGGACACCAGGCCAAACAGCAATTCGGGGGAGAAGAGCCTTGGTCAGGGAGGTGACCAAGAACCCGATGGTCACTCTGAAAGAGCTCCAGAGGACAGCCATCTCTGATGCAATTCACCTATCAGGCCTTTATGCTAGTGGCCAGACGGAAGCCACTCCTCACTACAAGGCACTTAACAGCCCGCTTGGAGTTTGCCAAAAGGCACCTAAAGGACTCTCAGACCAGGAGAAACAAGATTCTCTGGTCTGATTAAACCAAAATGGAACTCTTTGGCCTGAATGCCAAGCTTCACGTCTGGAGGAAACCTGGCACCATCGCTATGGTGGTGGCAGCATCATAATTTGGGGATATTTTTCAGCGGCAGGTACTGGGAGACTAGTCAGGATTAAGGGAAGATGAACGGAGCAAAGTACAGAGAGATCCTTGATTTCACCCCGAAGTTCCCCATATCCGGGGTACTCCTCCCGCAATCTCAAACAATGGCATGGTACGGTTTTTAAACATGTGAATATCTGAATGTTATACACTACTGGAACTAGAAGCGTCTCAACTGTGAATCTAGCTAAACTGTTGTTGCCCAAATGAAATATTCCCACTCCAAATAAATAAATATATAAGCATATAGCAAAACCAGTACTGTATTTTGAAACCGTGCATGCCCGTATATTCGTAGACAGATAGGTTGAGAAAAATAAGTTATCTACACAAACGATACACCATTCGAAAGCTGCTACCTCACGGATTCCAACAGTGATGGCCGTGTTCCTCTATGACCAACATTCACTAAACTATTAATCAAAGAAAGTCAATAACCAACATTAATTTTTTTTTCATCACAACAACAAACTGCGTCTTACCTTTGTTGTTTTTGTTACCAAAAGTAGTGTCTGATCGAATAAAACCCCTTGAAAAGATACTCTAGTGTCTCTCTCTCTCTCATTCCGAGTCGATTTCAGTGAGTTTCCATCGTTTTACATGGCCATGGTGTTTGAAGATGAAGTCAGTAGTTTGTTTCAA